TTTTTTTAAGAAAAATATATTTATTTTTTATTTGCAAGTAAAAGAGAATATCAGAATAATTTTTTAAATAATCGTTGAAATTAAAGCCCTATTTAAATTTCAAAAATTCATTAAAGTCTAATTCAATTTTTGTAAATTATTTAGTACGTCATTCTTTTAATGAACAATATATAGTATTACTCATTTTGCTAATACAAAATTTTCTCCTTTATCTATATATTTTGCCAATAATGTTATTGTCTAGAAATATGCCTGTTTAATTTTATTAGTATTTAATTTTTATTTTATTACGTAAATTTATTTAATATTGTATTTTGCAATAGTTTGGTTCAGACCCCTTTCCTTTTTCCCTGACCATTTTCAGCTTTTTTGCTTGATCTATAATTTAGTACAGCGTATTCGAAAGAGCTAGGTCGAATAATACCTAGATCGGTTAGTGGCTGAACAAAATTATCAAGCTAAATCCTCGCTAAATCAAACTATTATCAACAAAACATTGTCCTTACTATTTTTAAATTTAAAAAATAAATAATATATATATATAGGTATATATAGTACATACATTTCAAAAATCAAATAGTAAAATTTCTCAGCATTATTTGTTGTTTAATTCTTTATTTATTTGCAATAATTCTCTTCTCTCATCTCCAAATTTTTTTAAATTTTTATGCAAAAATCCTTGTCTATCCTCAAAATTTTTTATACCTTTTTTTTATAAAAGTATCTTTATAATAGTGCAAGACCCCCCCCCCTCTCCCTCTTCTCTTTACTCGAGAGCAGGCAAACGAGCAACGGCTTTAAAAAATGGGTGGCAGGAAGGTATTGGTTAAAAAAAGGAGAGAGAGAGAATTATTTAGTTTTCTATTATTTAGTTTGCATAATCTCCCATTGAATCTCTGGACCCCCAACGGCTTTGGCATTCCCCCTCCTGTCATTTTTTTGTTTTTATTTCTTTTGCCATTTATTTTTTCCTTTACAAATTTTCACATTCTTTTTTTTTTGTCATCCAATATATCCTTCTCTCATTTTCTTTCTATTTTTACGTTGACTTTCAGTAAAGCTTTGCGCTTTTTTCTTCTCTTCTTTAGTCGTTGTGCCACCGCTAGTTTAGCTTATGCGGCTTTTCCATTGTGGGGTTTGTCATGCGAAAAGCCCTCTCCTCTTTATGTCTTACTTTTTCTCAAGATTTAAAAGAAAAAGAAGTGAAAATTGAAATGGAAAAGAACTGAAAAAGATGACAGTCGGCCAAGCAGCGTTCCTATCGACCGGCTGGCAATAGACAGCCGTGGGACCTCTACACATTTATACAAGAATATATAGTAGCTCTCTCTCTCTCTACATTCTCTCATCAACTAGTCATTCAATGAAAGCCTCGTCGGCCGCCACCCCGACTGCCTATTATTTGTATATGTCCTCATGGCAGTTGAGTGGTTAGTTGGTTAGTTAGTTTGTCGGTACCCGTCCCTGCCTGGTCCCTCCCTTCCCACACTTTTTTTTTATTTCTTTGACGGTCCTTGTCTCCTCTTCACCTTCCTTTTTTGCCATGCTTTCGCTGTCCAACCACTAATAACACGTCAATAAATTTTTGCGGCGCGCCAACCCACAGACAGTGTCTCAGTATTTGGTGGTACTCGAAAATTAGAGGGGAGATGCTAGGATTATTTTAAAAAGTATTGGCGCAAACTTCGACAAACTATTTAGAAATAGGATCCAAATAAATTTGGATGCGCGAAAAAATATTAATTTTTTGATCAATATTTTTTACTAATTGACAATTAATCGCATAATAAATCAATTAATTTTTAAAAATTATTTTTAATTAAAATTTATTTATTTCGTCTTTTTCTAATTTCTTTTCTAAATTCGTTCAGATCTTTTTTTAAATTTGAGTTTCTTCTAAATTTTCTGACAGATTTTAGTTTTTGTTTGTTAAAATATTTTAAAGACTTAAATATTTATTTTTTTTCTCATTTTCCAAATTTAGTCGATGAGAACATTACAATCTCGTCGTCCATTTACCAAATTTGGAAGAAAGGAAATTAAAGATGAGAGAATATATTTACGTTAAGCATTGGGTGGGGGAGGTTTACCCAATTTTTCCACGTGTTTAGAAATATTTTATATTTAAATTTGCATACTTTGGCGAGACGAACAAATTTTTTATTTCAGACAGTTTTTGGGATATTTTTGGAGATTTTTGGGTTTTTTAGTTTCGGTTTTTTAATTTCTCGTATCCCAAAGACTCTCTTCATTTTATTTAATTTATTTTTAATTTTTGTTTAATTAGGCGTCGAAAAATATTTTAGAAAATATTAATTAATTAAATGAGAGAGCTATTTTTGTAATTAAATATTTGTTTAATTTTTATAATTAATTAATTAATAGTTATCTTCTTTTTTAAAATAATATATTTAAATACTTCCTTTCTAATTAAATAAATATATTTAATTTTCTCTCTCTCCCCTTTTTTCTTCTCTTTTTTTAAAAATTAATTTCCTTTTTTAAAATCCATCTAATTTTAAATTAAATTTTTTATCTCTTTTTTAGCCAAAAAATTATTTAAAAATTAATTTAAAATCAATTTTATATTGACAACCAAATTCTTTTTTCTAAATCCTTTCTCTCTTTTTATTTAATCCTCTTTATTTCCTTTTCTGTTTTAATTTTTACTAATTCTTTAAAAAACTGATTATTAAACAATTACACAAAATTTATCCTCTCTACTTCCTTTATACTTTTTAAAAGCCAAAAGAAAAATCTGAAAGCCAAACTATAAAAATTTTCTTAAAATCTGCTGAAAATTTGTTTTTAGGCGCTCTTGTTTTTTTCTGATTGGGGTTGAGGGCCCAGTTCGGTTCGGTTCGAAAAATCGAACCGGGCCTAGAATTTTGGCCCGAAAACGAGGCCCGAAAAAATGTCTCGAACGTCGGCCCGGTTCGAAAAATCCAACCCTACTTCTAATCGAGAAAATGTTATTAAACATATTTTCATAAAAAAATATAAATTCGCTTCTTTTCTTAACCAAATTTTATTCAAAAATATATTCTTTATACCCCCAAAGCTCTTAAAATTAAAATAGTTTTTGAACTTTTTAAATGTTTCCTTTTTTTATTTTCAAAAATAAAAAAAATTTGGCTCAAAATAAATTGACCAATCCTTTTTAAACGTCATTTTGTAGTGGATGCCGTAATGTGACGCGCGTTTTTGATTTTTATTTTTGGCTTTTGAAACGAATAAAAAAATATATTTTCTAAAAATAGCTCCTCCCTCCTTCTATTTTTTTAACTAAAAATTTAATTTTATATTAAAAGATTAAAAAATAAAATGTATCAATATATTTTTCTTAATAAAAATTATTTTTATTTAACAAAGAAAATTTGGAAGATTGTTTACATCTGTTACTTTTTTTCCTATATTTATCTAAACATTCTTATCTTTTTTCAAATATTTTTTCATCATTCCCTCCTAAAATATTCCCAAAATATTTGGAAATGTTACTCTGATAGTATTTTTCCCATAACTTGTACTTTAATTAATAAAATAAATTTTCCTTTTAAGGCATTTTTTATTTTATTTAATTCCGAAATATTCAAAAATGTTAAAAGAATCTAACAAATTACCAAAGTCATTACTAATATTTTCTATAATTTCTCCCAATTTTAATTTTCAAAAAAATCCCTTAAATTTGATTTATCTCCATTTACACCCATTTTTGATCAAATTTTATTCTTTAAAAATGACCTATTTCAACGTCAAAAATTTTTTCCAAATAAAGAACATATACTAAAGGTGTTCATTCCCTCTCCCCTTTCCAAAAACGTTCTTTAAAATTTATTCTTAGTTATTTGTCCTTAAACCTTTTTTTTCAGTTTTTTGGGTGTGACAAAACACGTCAATGCCTAAAAAACAAAAAAAGGGGCGCATCCGGCAAGAAATACATCTGCACACATATTTACTCTCTATAAAAACCAGTAAAACTGATTTTACTAAAAATTCTTTTAAATTTTTCTTTTGTTTAAACAAAAAACTGTTAGAAAAAGATTTTTGTTTTTTGTCTCTCAATTCCCAAAAGATTGTTGTTTTATATGCCAAAAAAACTCTTTTTGAACATTTATATATATTTTTTTATTTCAATCTTTCAATTCATTTTTGTCTTTAAATAATTCCTAAAAATATCTCATTTTCAGTCTAAAAAAATTAGACAAAAAATATTTTTTAAAAAAGAAAATTATTTTTGAGAGACAGCTGCTCTTTTCATTCATTTTTATTTCACGAGAGTGAAGGTCACAAAATCAGCAAACGCCGATCGAAGATTGAAATTGACACCAAACAACTAAAACGATCTTTCTTTTCTCTTTTTCTCTTTTAATAAATTTATTTGTAGCAGGCTTGTTACGGCGCCTTAACTTTTCGTTGGGCGTTTTTAAATGATTAATTTTTTGATTATTTTATTTCATAATTATCAGAAAAATAAAATTTTGGATAAATTAACTTGACTAACTAAAATTTAATTTAAAATTTTTTTGATGGGTATTTGAGTAATTGTTGTTTAAATTCTTTAAAAATCTCTCTATTTTTCGACCATAACTTCCTAATTTTTGGACCACGAATTTTAAAATTAATTTATTTAAATTACCCAAAATTATCTACAAAATTTTATTTTCTTATAATATTTTGCCTGATCATTAACTTTTCCAGCGCCCAAATGTTTTCTCTCCTTTCCCCAATCAAAATTAAAATCAGCATGCTTTCACAATTTTTACAACAATTTTATTATACTAAGAAAATTCTCGTTTCTATTTTAGAATTAAATAAAAACACAGATTTTAATCTTTAGTAAAATGATTAAATGCTTTCAATTTATTGAAAAGTTTTTTTTGCTTATTTTAATTTATATATAAAACTTCTTGATTCTTTGCTCTTTCTCTCTTTTTTTTTGCCAAATTTATTATTTTCAAATACATATGTTTATTTATTTATTTTTTTAATTTTTAGTCAAATCGTTGGAGCCGCCCTTTTTCTATAAATCATCAATCTACAACATTTTCATCAGTGTCTCCAGCTTATTTGTTGGGAGTTATTGACAATTCTCAACAAGAAAATTGTCTAGATAAATTAGATAATATTAAACAACAAAAGGATTTTGAGAAGGAAGAAGAACAAACAGCCAATCAATTAAATAAAGGTAAAGAGAAGAGACACATTTTGTCCCCAAAATTTTAAATTAAATTTTATTACTTGCTCTTAATTCTTATTATTAAGTTGAGGGGAGGAGGAAGTTATTGTTAAAGAATGGTGGGGGGGGGGGGGATTTGTTTTTTTGGTAAGTAAGAAATTTAGGTAGGGCTGAAAAGGTGAAAAAAATAATAAACTTGGATAATTAATATAAATTTTTAATTTAAACATAACTTGAATATACACTAGCTTCTATTTTAAATTTACAACTAAAAATTAAAAAAAATTTCTTTTATTTTACAAAAAGAATGAAAAAAGTTTTAGAAACATTTTCCTTTCAAATAAGCATTAAAATTTTCTTTTATTTTATTAAACTAAGTTTGAGCATAAATACAAACAATTCCAATAACATTTACAAACATTTAATGCAACAAACATTAGATATATATTTTATCTAAAAATGAAATCTTTTTTTAAATAATTTTACATTTTTGTTCCTTAAAATAATTATAAATGATAAAATTATTTTTAATTTTATTAAAAAAACATAGTGGTAAAATAACATATCAGTGGTATGTCAAAACAGATTTTAAAAGCTAAAAGCGAAAAAGCGAAAGTTGATAAAAAACGAAAAGCGAAAATGCGAAAGTCAAAAAAAGGCGAAAATCGGCGAAAGACGAAAGGCGAAACTGACACATCCCTGATACATAGACTGATCGTTCTCCTTCTTTTCTTCCATTTTATTCCAATTTTCTTTCTACATACATACTATTTCCGCAGTTAACAGTCTCCATACTTAATATTTAGACTTGCCTCAACCTCTTTTTAACTTATTCTAATCATGAAATTTTTTTTCTAATTTTTTATTCAAAATTCTGTCTTAAATTACATAACTACATATTACGTCAATTATGGGGATAAAGTTTAAAGTTTTCTGAAATTATTAAAAGGAAAAATTATTAATTTAACTTAGAAAAAACAGAAAACACCTGGCCAATAAAAATTGGGTGACATTTATTTATTTTCATGTTTCTTTCTTTTTATTTTTATTTACGTCATATTTTTTTGCCCTTTTTTCGAACTTTTATTTTTACCTTTTTTTCTAAATTTGAGATAGAACAACAGCCCCTCCTTTTAAAAAAACAACCGCAAGATTTGATTTTTAACTTTTTTTTCTCTTTTTGCTTTGAGAGTTTATATACACAGATTGGCCAAATATCTTTAGATAGACATGCCAAAATTGTCCTATCATCTGGCAAAATTACTATCATTTTCTTACTCTGATCAAATAACTTTTGTAGGATGTGTAAGTTGATTCACCTAGAGCATTTAAAACGCTTAAGCGATGGTTAAACGATCTAAAAAGATAAAAGAGAAAGTTTTAGTTGATACCCGGTAGCTCACTCACAAATCAGTGGTAGACTACTACGCGCCTAGCAAAAACTACGAGGAGGGTGCAAGTTCGAATCCTGCCCGGGGGCTAAACTCTTTCTGATGTCAATCCCCCTCAATTAACTAAAATTTGTTTTGAATAATTTATTCATAATATTTTTAAGACTTTTTAATACTGGGGTTTTAACAAAAAAATTCCATTAAAATTTTTTTCAAATTAAACTATCATTTCTTTGAATTCCTTCTTTTAATCTTTTAAAGCTGATCAAAAAACTATTAAAAAATGACAAATAAATTATTTAAATTTATTATCCTTTAGTCGGTCAATTTAATCCTTTTTGAAACATCATTTTACAAGAAAAAATAAATAAAACTTTAATTTAAGAGAAAATAAATATAGTTTAAAAGTTGCGCATCATTAAATAAACTAATGGATTTTTAAAACTTTTTAAAGGAAATAACATCATTTTTTTAAATATTTAAATAAATAAAAACATCAGAATTTATTTTCTCAGACATTTTTGACTTAAAAATAAAATAAATTTATTTTTTAAATATTAAAATAAGCCACCTACCTACTAATCTTATTTTTTAAAACTATTATTCAAATTAAAAAAATATTTTTTTTTAAATAAATTACCTATCCCGCCCCTTTTCCTTTTATTTAAATATTTTGATATTCTCTTCTGGTTTACTTTAAATGTTAAAATTTTTTAAAGATTTAAAATCTTCCTCGTCTCCTTTCGTGGCCGCAAATTCGGCCACAATTTCAACAAGCAGACTGCATTCAACATCCTCTACCATATTTTCAACACAATTTTCAACTGAAGAGAGTCTCAAAGAAAATCGACGTCCAAATAATAGAGAAGGTTTCAAATAAAATTAAAATTACTTAAAATTACTAAAATTATTAAATTATTATTAATTTAATTATTAATTACTATAAATTACTTAAATTATTAGGGCCCGGATTTTTAGTTTTTTTTTATATTTCTTTCGCGGAATATTTTGGCATTTTTACAACCTATTTAGGTACCTATTTTCAAGTTTTTACAACCCTAGAAATTCCTGGCCCTAATAATTACCTATATTATTATTAGGGCCAGGATTACCTATATTATTATTGAGGCAATTTTTAATTTTTCTATTTTTTAGTTCTAAAATCTCCAACAACCGCACTTTCAGAGCTTAGCTCGCCTCGTAGTTCTTCTGTAAAAATTCGTTTATTAGACAGAACCCAACAACAACAAATAGGCCAACAAAAATCCCCAACCGCCGTCGTGCCGATGCCTGCTGGCGTTGGCAGCGGCGGCGGCACAAATTCGCCGCAACATCAGCAGAGTGTTGGTTTGGATATTGACTTAGAACAAGTTTTGCGTTCTGAAGCTGCACGTGCTCCTTTCCACGTAAAAATTTTTAAATTAAATATTTAATTTTATTTGGAATGGGAAAAACCCTTATCTTTTTATTGGATGAGATTTATTATTTGAAATTACTCAGAACCCGAGATAATTTAGGGAAACAACTTTAGTTGTCCTCGATAACCATTGAATTTTAAAGACCCTCAAAAACTAATAAAAAACATTTTTGAATTTTCGATGTTTTTTTCGAATTAAAAAATCTTATTTTTTTCAGCAATTTTTACAACAACAATTTTGTGCCGAAAATATAAATTTTTATTTGGCCGTAGAAGAATATAGAAAAATTCCTGAAGAAGAATTAGACAGACGTTTAGATTTTGGACGTCAAATATATGACAGACATTTTGCTGCAAATTGTATAGAACCTGTTAATATTGATAATTCTACTTCAAATCAAGTAAATTAATTTAGAGAAATTAAAAAAATAAATCCTCTTAAGATTCGTGAAGCTTATAAAAATAATCGTTTTACTGCAACTGTTTATGATGTTGTACAGGTAATTTTTATGGAAATTTTTAGAAATAGAATATTTTGAGTGAATTAAAAAAAAGATTCATAAAAATGTCTAAAAAATATTTTAGCAAACTTTTTCTAATTAAAATATTCGCGCATTTCTTTGCTTTATTTGATAATTGTGAAATAAGGAGTAACCCTTATATTTCTTCTTCTCTCAGAGCCGATCTCTTAAATAATTTTTAATCTGACTTTAAAATTATTTAATTAATTTTTAAATTATTTTTAAGTATCAAATCTTTCACTTGTTAAAATATGATTGTTGGCCTCGTTATTTACGTGCGGGTGGTCAATTGACTGAAGAATTTGGTGGAGATTCTAAATCACATGGTTAGGATTGTCTTTTAAATTTATTATACTTTTGAGGGTATATTCAAAATATTTTTTTGTTTTAATCATTTAATTTAACGTTTCTAACTTGCTTTATTTACAAATTACTTTAGTTAATATAGGTCAACAGTATTTAATTAAAAAAAAATAATTTTCTTAATAATTCTTTTAAATTTCAGATTCCGGTGCTTCACAACATCAGGTAGAATAAAATTAAAAACTTTTTTCTTAGTCATGTATCTTTATATTTTTGTGTTTTTTGTCCATTTTGTATTGTCATTTTTTGTCTTTTTAATTTTCTAGCAACCAAAAACTCGAAGTAACAATTCTTCAACCACAAATCGTCGAAAATCTCTTTTTCTTCGCCTTTTGCGTCTTCAAAGATCAGGTGCCATAGATATAGATGATGAAATTGAGGACGACAAAAATAATAAAATTTGTCATTGTTCCAATCCTTTTGTTAAACAAATTAATGGAGAATTACAACAACAAAGGCGGCCTTTAATTCCTTTAAATTCTTGTGGAACAAATATTTTATTTTCTGTTGATGAAAATAAAATTGAAAGAAGAATATCTACTCGATTACCCAAAAAACCTGTTAATTCAATAAATAATACAAAAAGGGCCCGAAAAAGTTATGGAGGAACTTCTACAGTTTCTTTTTGGAGGGATGCTACAAAACAAAGAAATAATCGTTGCAGGGCTTGTGATGGAATTATTGTTAGATATTAAATATTAAATATTTTTTGAGAGGAGGGATTGTTAGTAGTGATGGTCGGGACTCTCGGTCTCGGTTCTCGAGTCGGGAAATTTCCCGGGTTTGTTGAGCTCTCGGCTCTCGGTTCTCTCAACAAGTGGGATTTCTCTCATGTTTACGGGGTTCTTCTTGGATACTTGATTTTTAATAAAATTTTTTCTAAAAATTGTTTGTGTTGGTGGTTAGTATATTTATTTTCTTTGTAAATTAAGCAAAAATTTCCTTTTATTTTCCCAATTTTCCAAATTAATTTTTTTTTAATTTTCTAGTTTGGTGAATCTAAACCAGACTTTCCTCTTCGTTATTGTACTTTACTTTGTGCTGATAGTGCAACTTCTACAGAAATTACACTTTCTGATCCATTCCAATCTGTTAGACAATGGACTGTTACAATGGCTGAAGGTTGTGGATTAGACAAAAATGCTTGTGAAGTTGTTGATGCACAGGTAGAAGAAAGTTTTGTTCTTTGATTTGTTTCCGAAAAATTCCGGGAAAACTTTCAGTTTGGCTATTTCTAAATTTAATTTCAATGCCCTATTTTTCTTCAATTCTTTTTAATTTTTGAACTAAGGACCTTTTAAAATATACTATAATTATTTTATTCTAGACTGGCTCAACAATTGATCCTGTACGGCAAGCGGTTGATGCTTTGAACAATCGAGTGGTATGTTGACTGTTTAAATTAAACAATTAATTTTTTCTTTTTAAGGTCCGAATAATGTCTGTAGTTAAATTCCCTGTCGTCTTTCTCGGACCCTCTGCTTGCCCTTCCAGTGGGTCATCATCAAAACCATCAGCACCTTTACCGGCAAAGTATTCAATTGAAAATTTCTTCTCAAAATATTTTTTTATTTTTATTTAAAGGGTAGTAATTATTCGTTGTAGACCAGCATTAACTGTTGGGAAAGTACTTCGTCCAATAATGTCAAAATATAATGTAGACACTGAACAAGCAATTGTTTGTTTAGCAGGGACTTGTGATGTATTAAAATTACAAACACCTGTTAGCAATATTTATCAGAAAACTTTATCTGTTATGACACAACAACAATTTGCTGAAAGAAAATTACTTCCAAAAAGAGAAACACAAAAAGAACTGTTTGTAATTTTTAATAGAAGAGATTAATTTATTGACTTTAAAAAATCCCCCTTTTTTGAATTTTATCCATTCTGTAAATATGAATCCAGAAACATAATTTCGACTGTAATATGATCTTTTGTGTAGACAGTTGATTTAGTATTCTAGTTGGAGAATTGGGGTGACTAAGAGATATATGTTTCTGGATTCTTGAAGAGTTTCTCTGTTAGAAATTTCCCTCTGGAAGCTAGTTAGTTGGATCTATGTGCATATTCTTATATCCGTATTTCCTCTTAATAAATGTCGACTAGAGTGTTATGAATCCCAAAAATTAAGCTTAAAATTAATATACTTTTGATACATAAATAATATTAATTTAAAAATTTTTTCAGTACAATAACCCCTCAATGGATGCTTTCAGCAAGTGGACAATCATCCCCTGGAAGTCCAGATATTCCTTCACCACCATTTCATCAACACGGAGATATAAGTTTTTGTGAAGTACCTTTAGAACCAGAAAGTGGAATTAAATTGGGTGGAGGGCTTTTATTAAAACATTCCGCAACACGTTCTTACAGTTCTAATCCTCGAGTAATTAATTATATATTTTAATTTAAAATATATTTTTATTTAAGGAATTTTTTAAATTTGGTCGTAAGCCAACAGTTAAATCAAAAGTTGCCAGAAGTGGGGGAACAGAGACTGATTCAACCACTGCTAATGCTACAACAACAGCAACAACAACTCAATCTTCAGATTCCCCTCATCAACAACCAAGTACTTCAACTTCTGCTGCTTCACATTTACGATATAGAAAAGTAAAAACAATTCTGATAAGAATTATTAAACAAAAACTTTTAAATTTTAGTCAGGAGGCAGTACTATGGGAGCGGGAAGGAACAGCGCTTCTAAAGAGGCAGATAGACGTAAATCTTTTGGTGCTGCTGCTTCTGCTGCTTCTCCAATTGAAGGTTCTTCTGGCATTGAACCAGATGAGGGAAGTGGACACAACAAAGGGCCAAGACTAAGCGGAACTGCTTTGGTAAACGATAAAATTATTTTAAATATTTTTTAAATTTTCTTTAGGCTGTAGGTCTTGTAGCACCAAGTGACATTCCTTACTGTGGAGAGACAGAAACAACAGAAGATGAATCAACCAGGCCTTTGTACGAAGTTTGTAGTCCTTATTCAGTGCAAAGCTCGATGGCTAAGGTAGTAAATAATTTCCTTACAACAAATCCCTCAACTCTTTTATTATTTTCCTTTTACATAAATTAAATTATGTCAATAAGCAACTCTTATTATAATTTCCCCTATAGATTTAAATTTTTATAATAAAATATTTTTTTAGCATGAGCCTGTTCCTTTCACAAAAAGTGCCGCATTTACAAGTAGTAATTCTTCAAATATTTCTCCTGGTGCTAATTGCCAACCAAATCAACACCAACAACAACATTCTCCACTTCCTGCAATTTTTGCTTCAGCTATAGGAAGTGGTGATAAAGATAATAATAATGCAATTACTACAACAAATACAGGTATAAGCCCCTCACATTCAACAGAAAGTGGAACAATGGTTTGGCAAAAAGCAGATTATGTTTAGAAAGAAAAGAAGGGAATCGTTAAAGCCTGATTGAGAAAGAGGAATTCATTTAAACTGCCATTTTTTGTTTAAATTTAAGCATAACCTCTATTTTTGTGTAAACTTTTATTAATACCTAGCAGAGCTGAAAATAGCTTATAAAATAGAGGTTTTTAATTGTAACATTTTTAATTGTCAGTTTTCAACATTTACAAAGGTCAGTCCTGAAATTGTAACACTTACTATATTTACCTGTTTTGATAGGCCTGTAAATATATACTAAATATTAAATATTAAATACAGATCTCATTTTGATGATCAAAAAAGCATTTTTCTTTTTTATTTTTTTTCATTAATAAGATGACTAAAATTAATTTAATATTTTTCTATTTAAAAAATAAAGTAAAATGCTTTATAAAATTTTTTCCTTTTTTCTCTTACTTTTTTCTTTCATTCTAAGGAATATTTGAGAGAAATTAATTTTATATACTTAATATATTTGGATATTTTTAATTTGTATTTTATTTTTATAAATATTTAAATGTTTTTCTTTAAATACATATATTTTTATTTAAAATTTTTTTATTTGGAAAAGAAATTTTTGAGTTATACCGGGTTAGTTGTTAGCTACTATACTTAGTGGTGAATAGATTTTTCCAGACCCGAGTCAGGCTGTCCGCAGTTGAAAAAATTTTCCGCAGCTGCAATCCACAATTTTAATTTTAAAATCTGCAAACGCAATCCACAACTCAAAATTATTAGAGGTTCTCACTCTCGGTTTTGGTTATGGGTGTAATCTTATCTTTAACTTTTTGAACATTTTAGAAATTACTTTAGCTAGAGTAAAAGTCAGACTGCGCAATTTTTTCAGATTTAGGGTAGAGAGGAATTATGTCGGGATTCCCTGGCGGGGTACTTTGTGATAAATGCTTCTACAATAAACTATACATTAAGTAGCGTGTGCCCCTAATTGTTTTCAGCATAATATCAATCCAGTAAAAAATCGTTTGAATTTGATTGTGCTTCAGGTCGCAACACTAGTCATTGCACCCTAAATTTTCAGTTTTGATAATTCTCTTATTTTCAATAGATATCGAAATCTTTCATAATTTTCATAATAAAATTTTAATTTTTTAAGTGAATGAACAAAAAATACTCAAAACAATTATTTATATGAAAAACGAAAAATATACAAACAGCAAATTTGTGACAATATATACATATGTTAGGAAATTAGAAAATACATTACAACTGAATAGGAAAAAGCAATCACTTTTATTATCGGGACGACAATGGAGATAACTATCACTACATCACTATATCTTACAGCATCAACTAACCCGCCGGCTGGAACACTTGGAACGAGCAGCGCAAGTTCTCGTCGATGAACATAGTTGCGCCGGCGTTGTTATACTGGGCGGCGTAGTGTGGCGCACTGAAGAGCGTGATGAGCTTCCTGTTTGCGAAGAACTCTGCACCGTCTTGCACAACCTGAAAAAGAATTAAATGTATTTACTGCGATAACTGTTGAATGTTAAGTATAGTAGTACCTGATGAGCACGCACAACCAAGTCAATGTCCAATTGTTTGCAAATACGAGCGACAACGTCTTCGCCAAACATGACACTTGCACCTCGCGGACTTCTCACACAGCCTTGAACACCATTTTCCGGATCGGCCCAGAGCAAGTCGAGCTCAATTGTTGGGTTTGCCGCGTCGAAGTCAGGCACCGGGCGACGGAGAGAGCGCAACTGGTCCAAACTTCGCAGACGATCCGAGATTCCGCCGTGCATACCTAAAGAAAAAAATTTAGGGAATGCCTTTTCCCAATTATATATTTACTTACATAGGACCCTCCCGCCAACCAAAGCAGTGAACGGCAGCCAAGCGAACGCCTTGTTGAATGCTATCCAGGGGCCTATTTCAATTGTCCACAGATTCTGCATTCTGTGCACAGAACACAGATTCTGTGGAAATTCTGTTTCAATTAAATTCTGTGTGCACAGAATCTGTGGTGCCCGCAGATTCTGCGGAAACATCCAATGATTCTGTGGAAACATTCCGCAGATTCTGTGGATGAAAATTTCTGTGGAAAATATAAAAATCTGTGGATTTTTTCCACTGATCCACAGAATTTGTATTTCAATTATTTTTCTGTGGTTCTGTGTATTTTTTCTTCTAAATTCAAATTTTTTATTTCCGCGTTTTTGAAAATAACAGTTTTATTGAAACGAAAAATGGTTTGGACAGTTCGGTACTACCGCAGTATTAATGGTACCTGATTTTTTGAAGTAAAACTTTAAAAATTCTTAAATTAAACTGAAAAATATTGTAAAGATTTAAAAATTTTCCCTCCAAATCACATAACATCCCTTTAAATCTCTTTGATATCACTTTAAAACCGCTGATATACCGCTTAATTTTCTTGTTCATCCAATATCCTTAAATCTCCAATTAAATTAATGTCCTAAAGCAGGGTTCGGATCGGAAAAATCAGGAGATGTCGATCCGACATGTGGCTTTTTCAAACTACGATAGAAGTTGTTGCAAGGGAGGGAAATGTTTGGGGATTGTTTAGTCAGAAATTGAGGTTCCTGGAAATCGAAAATGCCTGGAATCCAAAATTATAGTCAAATCGGAACTTTAAAATCGTAGAGGAGTGATTAAGTGGGATATCCATTGATTTTGAGGTTTAATATATTGGAGTGATTAAGGAGGAAATCTATCATTAAATAGGAGGAGAGATTATGACGGATATCAATGAGAGATCATGGGAGATATCCCAGTATACGCTATACAGATATATTCTATAGATCCTGGTAAACATCCCCTCATTAGAGATATCCATGATGATTAGAACATCATAGCTCTAAATTTCAGAATCTCTCACGTTTTTTATTTTTTTATTGCTTGAATATAACAAAAACTGCGTAAAAAAGATGTACCTTTTTCAAAATTAATTTTAAGCAATAATTTTAGGTAATAAAATTATAATTTTTATATCAAAAAATAGAGAATGATTCAAACTTTAATAATCTTTAAAAATTTTGAAATTTGGTTAAGCCTAGGCCTAGAAAAAAATTGTTAAAGTTTTTCCACAGAAAGTTCGCAGAAAAAATTTTAGGGTGGATTTTTTAAAGAATTCTGTGTATTTTCCGCAGACCACAGAAATAATTGAAACAGAAATGCACAGAATCGACTAAAAAAGCCACAGATCTGTGGATTTTTTTCTGTGCACAGAAAAATAATTGAAATAGAATTCTGTGGTTTTTGCATGTTTTTGGATGTTTTGCAGAATCTGTGGATGTTTCCACAGATTCTGTGCATGTTTCCACAGAATCTGCGGACTTCTTTTTCCGCAGAATCTGTGGAATAATTGAAACAGAATTTCTGTGGTTCTGTGGTCTGTGCACAGAACGCAGACCGCAGAATCTGTGGACAATTGAAATAGGGCCCAGAGCGATTGAGTGTCGTGTGGAAATCGTCGGCGGATCTCCTCGAGGAACCCATAGACACGGTTGATGTTGCTACATTCATGGTTGCCGCGCAACAGGAAGAAATTTGCCGGGTATCTTGTCTTGTAGGCTAGAAGCAGGACAGCTGTCTCGATGCTTTGTCGGCCGCGGTCGACGTAATCTGCGAAAATTTGTTAGAAAGTTTAATAAAAAAGTGGTTGGTCCTTTACCTCCGAGAAAGAGGAAGTTCTTCAGCGGTGGAAAGCCAACTCGAGAGAAGATGCGCATCAAGTCAGAAAACTGTCCGTGGATGTCACCGCATACGACCACCGGCGGATCGATCTCCACAAGAGACGGCTGAACACGAAGAACTTCAATGGCGCTGTTGCACAGAGCTTTGATGTCATTTGCGGTGACCTTAGAAATTGGAAATTATTTATTGGCCGCAAAGTTTAAAAGGATAATAAAACCGACCAGTTGCGTGAAGCGCTGCGAGTTCGTTAGCAAGATGCGCTCGATGAGACCATCCACCTCCGCCAAGGTCAGCTTCGGTTGTGCCATTATTGTTGTGAAGTCTGGAGTGCAAAGGCCAAGTTGAGAAGAGCAGCTGTCGACGTAACAATTGGATCTAGTTGTCGAAGAGTTGCCAGTATTGAAAATTCATCTGTTTTTATAGTAGCTTATGTGATATTATACCAGGGTTGCCGCGGGTACAAAAAATCTTCGGGTACGGGTTTCGGGTATCGGGTTGGAGCGTTTTCATTTCGGGTATCGGGTTTCGGGTTGGCAAAAATATCGGGTACGGGTTTCGGGTTTCGGGTTATAAAATTTTCATTTCGGGTCACGGGTTTCGGGTTAGCAAAAATTTCGGGTACGGGTTTCGGGTTTTGCTAAAAATTCGGGTTATTTTCTGGTGTTTGGGTATTAGAAAAGCTATTTTACATAATAAGATTTTGGGTGATATAGAGAAAGGCAAATTTGAAGAGATTAAAGAGACATAGTGGGATTTGGGGATTAAGAGTGATATCTTGGTAAAATCCACTATATTGGTGAAATCCCCCTCCAATTTTCTCCCATTTTCAGCGCCGCAGGCAAAAATTTTTGGAATTTTGGAAGACCGAGGAGCCAAATTTTTTTATTTTTTTGCGCCGCAGGCGAAAATTTTGAGAATTTTGTAAGGTCTTAGGAGAAAAAAATTCACTTGGCAAAACAGCAGGCAAAAATTTTGTTGAAGTTTAGTTGGTCATGAAGCCAGAACTCTTGTATTTTATGCGCCGCAGGCGAAAATTTTGCAAAATTCATGACTAAATTAAAATTTTTAATGCTTTTTCAAGCTTAAAATATTAAAAAAAAATAAATTTAAAAATCTAAAATGAAAATCAAAGTTTAAAAACATTTATTTTTGAAAAGAAAAATTTTTTAGGCCTCATTTACAGCCCTGGACTCGAACCTTAATCTATGAAATTATCAGTTAGTCGCATTACCCACCCAGCCACCGATCAACATAATGAATTTATGGAAGAAATTATAAATATTTCTTTCCCTTTTCCTTTCTATAATTTTTTAAATTTATTTTACAAGATCGGGTAAGGCTAAATTTTCGGGTAGAAATTTCGGGTTTTAACTAATTTCGGGTCACGGGTTTCGGGTTGGAAAAAATATCGGGTACGGGTTTCGGGTTTCGGGTTGGAAAATTTTAATTTCGGGTATCGGGTTTCGGGTACAAAAAAAGGCCGGGTTTCGGGTTTCGGGTATCGGGTTTCGGGTTTCGGGCGGCAACCCTGTATTATACTAATTTTATGATTTGCCTACATAGGTAATTTAGATAATTAAAAAAAATATTATTGCATCCTAGTTTATTTTTTAGTGAGTTATCTCTTGCGCTGAAGGCTTTTCAAATTTACATTGTCTGATACATAAAACCACCTTCAGTAAATAAAGTAAATATTTACATAATATTTCATAAAATTAATTTTATTTTTAAAGTTTTTAATTTAAATAAATTATTTATTTATTTGAACTAATTCCTTAAATTAAATTTAATTTTTTATTCATTTAATAATTTACGTAAACATATTTTGAATTAAAGTCGAAAATGAGGGGGTGTTTGTGGGGGTGTTTGTGCTTATTCCCACAAATGGGCGTATATCCTTTCTATACATATGTAATTAGCTTTGTGTTATTTGGGTGCGGGGGTGTGTTAAAAGTTAAAAAATATATATTTAAATAAGTATTAAATAATAAATTTAAATTCTACGCTACTTTCCAAAGCAAATCTCCTTCAGAAAGGATTTTGGGGTTTGATCTAAATTAGATGCAAGCATTTTATGGCCTTATTTTTAGGTTAGCATTGGATATTTAAGATATAATCAATTTTAATATATGTATGTTTAAAATTAAAATTTAATAATTAGGGAACTCTTTTTCAAACATAATTTTATATGATTAGAAGGGTGAGAGCAGGAAAATGCTCTCAAATAAAGATATTTTACAAAATAAAAAATTTCCTTAACGAGATCAACTCAATCCCTATTTAATCTTTACTCACAAATACCCAGCTATTAAAAGGCCTAAAGAATAATTTAGAAATAAAAACTTAATAAGATACCTATATATAATTAACTATTTAATTGAGTATATATATTAATTCCCAAACATTAATTATATGCTTTTTTCGAGAGAATATTAATTTAATATTGTTTATTCGTACATTGTGCTTTATGTTAGCTTTGTGTTTGTTAGCTTTCCTTCCCTCTTATTAATTTATAATTATTGCTATTTTCTATTTATATTCTCTCCAATATTTAATTATACCAATAATTATTATTTTTTCATTTTTCTCAAATTAAACTTTCGTTTCTTGCCAAATCTTTAGTTTTGGGCTTGATAAGGAACTTTTTTGGTTCATTTTTAAAATCCCCTTTTTATTCAATTACTCTCAATTTTCATATAATTCTCTTTTATTAAATAAAAATAAAATCAAAAATTTAAAATTAAACCAGCTCTCAACCAATTTCCGTTCTTTACTAGTCCCCCAACCCCCCTCCCCCCAATCTCTAATTCCTATCTTTTTCTTCCCCTTTTTATCTGTACTTTCTTCACCTAAATTTAAAATTTTAATTGTAATTTTATTATTAAATTAAAATTTCCGTTTCTCTTTTTTTTTAATTTTACAACATTTAATTAAAACAATTGTTTCCACTTTCCTCTCTCTTCTTCTTTTTATTTTTTTAATTCCCAAATCTGGTTCAATTTTTTAAATTTAAAAATAAAAGAATTAAATTTATTTATTTTACCTTTTTGTCGTCACTCATTTTCCCCCTCTTTTTTTATATTTTTATTTTTTCGTTCAATCACCCCCACCCCCCCTTTCCCCAATTCTTTTTAATGACGTCAACAATTAAAAAAAGAACAAAAGGAATAAATAAAAAAGAGAAGGTGTTAGGAATAATTTATTTTTTTAATTAAAATTACGAACACTTTTTAAATAAATAAATGGGCCGAAGAACGAAAAAGGAATAAAAAAAGGATTTAAAACAACTGTGCAAAAATAATGAATTTGCAAATATAATTATTTTGCTGGAAAAGGGGAAGGGGGGTTGTTGGCCTTTTTCCATAAAAATTATACATAAAATTATTTTTGATTTTTAATAGGTCCATCCATCCCTGTTTGTCCATTTATGAATTTGTAAAAAAAATTAATATTTAATTATCATTACTTTTATTTTTTAAATTATATAATTGGATTTGGACATTAAATTAGTAGGTTTCTTGATTTAGCTTTCTATGTTGATGAAAAAAATTTCAAAACATAATTAACTTAATCGAGGATATAAATATTTATTTTAATATATCCCTCATTCAATTTTTTGATTTTGTCAAAAAAGGATAGAGTTATGAAAAATAATTTCCATAAATTATAATTTTTAAAAAATACATTTAAAGTCAAAATTTTAAATAAAATACCTAAATATTTTTTAAATCCAACCCTCTTTTCTTGCCCCAATTTCCAATTGGCCGAACATATGACGATTTTTAATTATTTTACAAAGAAAAATAAAAACAACAAAACTTTTCTGTTCACACAATTTTAAATAATTTTCGCGCATTAATTTTATTATTATCAAAGAATAACCCCCTTTTATTCTTTTTTTTAAAGAAATTTAAAATTGAGGAAATCTTTTTAAATAAAAAAATTAAAAATTAAAGTTTATTTTCTTTTTAATTTACTAGACATATTTTTTATACAAAATCAAATTTTTAAAGGAATGATATCATTACCTTAAAAAATTGTATAAATTTAAACAAATTTTATATTTCCTTTTTATGGCATACTTAGACTGTAATTTTATAGCACACTATAATTTTCATAAGTAGAATAATTATTGAGTTTCTTAAGTTTTTTTTCTTTCGAGTATCAATATCATTTTATTAATTTATTCTTCAACTCCCCATAACCCAAATTTCCTTTAATATTCAATACTTCGCTTAAACCCCTTCTCATATAAATTTAACTTTATTTTCGTCTTGCTTATTTTTTAATTATTTGCTTTTAAAGGTAATGGAAACACCAACAAATATTTTAAGTCCATGTCATAGTCCAATACTTTTAACCGAATTTCCACAATTAATTCAACGTTTGGACTTGGAAAAACAATTCGAATATCAGAAAAGATTAAATGATCAAAACAACATTATTTTTGTGGAAAATGATAAAATTGAAAAGAAAATACGTTCATCTAGAACAGGGCAAAGGTAAGAAGGAGAATAGTTAAATAAAAAAATCGTTTCTTTCATTTGAAATCTTTTAACCTATATTAAGCTTTTAAATAGTCCAGTAGAGACCAGATAAATTTTAGACTTTTCTCACTTCTGAAATACAATATTATCGTTAAGTTGGAAAAAAAGTAGTAATTATTCAGTCATATACAGTATTTGAAGGGAGTTTGATATTAATTGTTCAGTATTAAACGCTAAATGTCATTTTATTATCTCCCACTTTTCTATTTTACTTTTTTTTATTTTTTTAGCTAATTTAATGTTTTTTACTTAGTAAGGATAGAAAATTATTTAAATTTTTTTGAAAATTTCAATAATTTTATTTTATAATTTAGCGAATACTCTAATAATAATATTCTTCCTTCAACAACCTGCTCCCAACCATTTTTGCAACAAACATTAATAACAAATAATAACAAACGTCGACATGATTCTGAATGTAAAAGAAATTTCAAAAATAAATTATTAAATAATAATAAAAGATTAAAAGAAGAAGAAGAAGCTTTAATTAAATTTTCCCCCTCTTTAATACAACAACGACAACAAATAAATTTATCTAATCCTCTTTCAATGTCTAGTAATTCAACTCCCGTTTTTACTCAACAACCTTCTAATTCTGGTAATGTTTAAATTTGAGATGAATACTGGAAGGGTACAAACCAGGGGTCTAACTCGAAGGATCGAGCGAGCCGAGACTTTTCAGCTCGAAAAGCTCAATAACGAACCGAATCGAAAAAACCAAGCTCGAAAAAATGCACCGAACGTCGGCTCGAATCGAAATCGGCAACCCTATTCATAATACATAAATATCTCTAACTAATTTCTTATAATTTAATTTTAATCTTAAAAAACATTAAAGGTCAAATAACAAAAAATAAATTATGTAAACAAAAATCTGCCTCTTTCGATTCCTCATCACAAAATTCTAATTATTTATTTAATAATAATCAAAGAAGATTAACAACAAATGAAGGAACAACAAATAAAGAATTTATTAAAAGACGTTTATTAGTCTTTCAAGAAATTGAAACTTACAGAATGCGGTTATTAGAAGCTGAAGAAGAACAACAAAAACAATTAGAAAATATTAAAGAAGAAAGAATACCTCCTACAACAACAACTCTTTTAAGTAAAGGTAAATTAATTTTATTTTGTAATTTATTCAAATAAAAAGTTTGGTTATAAAATTAATTTAGGGTAAAGGATATGTGTAAGTTGCAATAATGTTTAGCTAAAATATCCGGAAAAGATTCGTGGATTTTTAAAATTAATCCCAGCCATTATCGAAAAACTTTCTTAAACAAAATTGTTACAAGGATGGCGATAAATCATCTTATCTAAAAAATTTAAATTGAGGTGGGACCTCCGATTAAGAACAAACTCTGGGATACCTTTGACCCTTACATTTAATAAAGCCTTCAATTCATTCATTCGCCATAGAAATTTTATTGAAAGGGAATAATTTAAGTAAATTGACTTTTTGGATGTAACTGTCTTTGCATTTGCGTTTTTCTAAAAAAAATTTCTTCGCGCTTTGCGTTATAATTTGCAACAGAATTTTTAAAATTAAAAATTTCAAATACAAAAATTTAATTTTTAAAAAGTTTAAAATGTTAAATTCTCAAAAATAATTTAAAAAAAATTATGAATCATAATTAAAATAATCATTCTTTAATATATTTGCTTTTAATATTTAAAACTTTTGGGACATTTTTTGTCACTTTATACTAAAAATATTTTTTGATTATATTTTTTATTTATTTATATTTTATTTAAAATTTCTGGGAAGAAATATAAAATTCTATTAAAGATCAATGAAAATATAAAAGAGGATTTAAATCTATTTTTAATAATTTGGGGCTTAAGGATTGTTTCTCTTTATCATTTCTTTTATAAAATATTTTAAATTAAACTAATTATCTAAAAATATTTTTTGTTTGATTTTTTCTGTAACTAAATATAATCTTTAAAAGTGATGATTGTTTTTTAAAGTATACCCTTTCTACGTTAAACTTTAAATTTCTTTATCACTGCCTTATATTTATTTATCTTCATTTCATCAAAATTTTAATATTTCAACCCAGGTATGAACTTGACATTTATCCTTTCATACCTTTTAATTTTTTAATTAACCCTGATCCACTTAAAAATAATATTAAGTAGACATTCTTGAACAAGCTTGAATTTATTGTGACATTCTTGAATTCGAAAGATCCCTTTTTTACTTCAGCTCCTCTTATTTATTTTTTAGAGGGAAAGAATTTCTTTTCCCTCTCTATTTAAAGCTTTGTAGTGTCTTGGATATAAAGAAAGCTTTTTTAAAAATATTTTTTAATATATTTTTTGTGTGCGAACGTCGAGAACACTTTTACTCAGTTTTTCCACTTTTGACAGACAAAAAAGAAGGAAAAAATAATAAAGAAATTGACAAAATAACGAAATAGTTGAAGAAGTAAAGGGAGGTTTTTAAGCAAAAAGAGAGAGAAATGAGAAAAGCAATCAACTGAAACTGAAGGAAAATTGTTAAATAAATGACGTGAATGAGAATAACTACAAAAAAATTTAAAGAAAATACTAGAGAGAAGACAATTTTAAAATGCTTAAAAGAGGCGGAGTTTGAATGTAAAAAATAGTGTTAGAGACAGCTAAAATGAAAAAAAAGTACTAGCTACTAACATAAATTTATATTTATTTGTTAGCTAAACAACAATTTATAGAAAGAGTAAAAAAGAATATGGCTAAAATGGCTGTCAAATTCTCTCTCTTATATGCTTTTTCTTGCGTAGACAATTCACTGAAATAATGAAATTTGTACCAGGGGTGTGCGAGTTTCGCCTTTCATCTTTCGCCTTTTGCTTTTTAAAATCATTTTCGGCACACCCCTGATATGTACACAATCGAGTATATTTTTAAAAATTTCTGAAAATATTTATTTAAAAATTGGAATTGTTTAATAATCTTCTATGTAAAACACAAAATTGTGAAACAAACTGTGAAGGAAAATTTTTTCCTAAATAATGCCTAAATGCCCTAGAGTTACTTTTTATTAAACAGATTTTTATTTATGAAAATAACAACGCCGCTTCCCAATTTTCAATTTAATAAATAGGTAATTGGGGTCTCAATTCCTATCACCAAATCAGACTAAAATAATAGAAAAAATCTGTTGATATTTACTAGGCAATTGTCAATTTGTTTGTGAATTATTATTTCAGTAAATTGTCTCTTTTTCTTTTTTCCTTCTCTAATATTAAATATATTTTATGTGCCATGTGTTTTGTTTGAGGCTTTTTTTGAAAACCTTCAAATATCCAACGATAAAGCGGAAAAGGATTGTGAAGGGAAAGAGTGCAAAGGAACGTAAAACAAAAAATGTTAGCGTGAATGAGAGGAAGAAATTCTTTTTTTTTTATTTTCTTATGTCTTTTGTTCTCCCCTCATTTTTTTTACCTTTCCGTCCCGTTTATTGATTAAGCTAGGCCAATCCTTTATTTACTCTCCCCTCATCCGTTAGCCGCTTTTCCTCTCATTTTTGTTTTTAAAAATATTTCTTTTGCGTCACACCTTTCTTGGCTTTTTCTCTTCAAAATTTTTTTTCAATTTTTATTTTGCGCTGCTCTTGACCAAGGATCTCTCTCCTCTACCTTTTATTTTTCATTCAAAAAAATATTTTTCTTTTTTAGAAAATAATTCTTTTTACTATTATTACGTTAGTGCCAGTTTATTTTCTTTTATTTTTTTTTGTAAAAAGAAGGAAATAAAAAGTAATATTCTACTATAATATTTCCTTTTATTTAAAGCAAATTCTCTCATTTTTATTAAAAAATACTAATGACTACTTTCTCCATATATTTTTGCTTTTACTTAGTTAAAAAATTCTTTAAAATTTCAAATAAACATCCGGTTACGTCATTTAAATTAAATTTTTCTCAATAACAAGATTAGCTTTAAAAAAAGTTTTTTTTAATTTACTAATTTAAAAAAATTTTATTTTCAATTTTTCTAGTTAATTCCAACTTTATTTTGTAAACAAAATTTCAAATTCTTTTCTTAATAAACTGATTATTTTAGTTGCACATTATTTGTATACCGATAACACATTTTAATTTTAAGTATTTTACTCTTGCTTTCTCGACGGAAGGGAGATTATTTAGAAAGAGTTTGCAAAAGTTTAGCCACCGGGCAGGATTCGAACCTGCGACCATCTGCTAGTTGTTGCTAGGCGCTTTCGCTCACTATATGCAGGAGCTCTACCTCTGAGCTACCGGGGCATCGACTAATGCTTTCTCTTTTTCCTTTTTAGATCGTTTATCCCCCGCCTAAGCGTTTTAAATGCTGCTAGGTGAATCATCCTTACAATTTACTATATTTTTTTCTAGATCATAAATAATAATTCCTTTTAAGAAAATTCTTTCCCTATTTTTGGAAATTTTGACGTAAATAGTATTTATGTTTTTGCAGAAATTATGTAAATAAATATAAATAATCATTTAGTTGTTTTTCTCGGATTCTTCACGAATTCTTGGATTTTATTATTTAATTTCACTTCATTTTCTCATTAAATTGCCAGGTCTTCTTCACCTTTTATTTTAATATACTAAATAATATTTATATCTGCCTGCCATTTTCTCTTTAAAAATTCATTTTTTTAATATATAATAATTAAATATTTATTCAAATGCTTATTAAATTATTTACAAATAAACACAATTTAATATTCATTCAATCTATCATTTTCCAATTTTTTTACACTTTTATTTGGCACATTCATTTTATATTTTAAATAAAATTATATTTTTATTTAATTTTTTCTCTTTAAAGCTTTCCCTTACTTTTACTCTTATTAAAAAGTTTCCATATCATTTAACTTGCCAAAACTTTCTAAATATTTTTTTATTTTTTTCTTTCCACAACATTTACTTAATTTTTATTTTTATCTAAAAATTGCAAGTTCCCACCCTTTTTATTTTTTATGTAAATATTTTTTGTTTAAAAATTTTTCATTTGACTCCATTAAAGAGAAAATTATTTTTTTAAATTACTTCCACTCCTTAAATTTATTTAAAAAATATTTCTTTTAAAATTTAATTGAAATCTTTATATTATTTTGAGAATTTAATTATTCATTCTCGAATATTTTTAGAAAAGTTCCCAATATTTTTTTATTCCTTGATTCAAAAATTACAAAATCTGAGGAATTATAATTAAATTTTAACAAGAATATTTCTACAAAAATATTTTTTTACAATATTTTTGATGCTACAAACACGTGTCTCCAACATTTTTTATTTCTATAATCCCTTCCCTTAATTTAATTTATTAAAAATAATTTTTTAAAACTCACTTTTGGTTTTCTCCCTCATTTCCTTCTTTTTTTTCTTTTCAATTTATTAAATTATTTTTACAAAATTACTAGACGTGCCAAAAACACATTTATTTTTTAAATAAATATTATGGTTATGGCATCTAGTACTATAACTACAACACCATTATTACCTTCCTCTCCTCCTCCTCCCCCATCTTCCTTATCCTCCACTTCTTCCTCTTCTTCTTCCACAATAAATACTTCTTCAACAACTTCCCCAACTTCCCCTATTCAAAACAAAACATTAATATCAACGTCAGCATTTATTTCAACAAAAAAATCTCCAAATGTCCCAGAACTTAAAATTGAGAATAATAATGGAGGAAATAATTCTTTAAATAATAATGGATGTTGTTTACATTTTAATAATTCTTTAAATTGTAAAAATGGAGGAGGAATTAAAACACCAATGAGTGCAGCAACTTTGTTTTCCAATGGAATTTGTTTTTTAGAAACTCCGACACCCAAAATACCCGACACTTTGAGAACACCTTCAGCTTTACTTACATCACCTACTAACTCCTCTGCTAGTTCAAAGTCTTCTGTAAGAGAAAAACAAAAATAAAATTATTTAAAGATTTGTTTTAAAAAATTCGAGCGACTTTTCCCTTTTTTGTTGAAGTTTTTTCAGTGAAAAAATAATTGTTACAATTACGCAAAGGTAATTCTTAGTTCTTTTGTTAAGCCCTCAAATGTTGCGGAAGTTCTCAAAAAATTCATAAGCTCCCAAAAAATGTTCCGAGAAAAATCATTGCAAATCGAATTCTAATGAAAATTAACAAGTTTATAAATAATCTGAAAAAAATTTTTATGTTTAAAGTCTCAATAAAACATCACTTTCAGGTCTTTAGGTTGAAGTCTTTAATTTCTTTTAAAAACATCAGGGCCAGAAGTGCCGTCGAGCAATCCGGTCCTGGATTCCCTTTAAAATTCTATTTTTTAATTTTAAAAATCGATTTTCTCTCTAAATATAAATTTTTTCTTATTATAATGAGGAAAGTCAATAATTGAATTAGGTAATTTATTATATTCAATGCTCTCTCCCTCTGTTGCTAATTTTAAGTTAAAAAAGGAAAAGTTGCTAGCTAAAATTAGAAATTATATTTAAAATTAAATTATTTCTGGCTAAAAATTTTTTGCAAAACTTTGTTTTGCAGCAATTAATGCACATTGATGAATTAAATACTCCCCTCTGTTTGAATTCTGCTACACCAAAAAGTCAACATCCACAAGCTTTCTTTGGAGATCACGAGCCTTTATTAACAGGTGTTTAGAATAAAGAGAATGAATTGGAGGGAGGGGGGGAGGGGAGGGGGGGGGGGGTAATAATTGGGAATTTTATGGAATTTTTGATTAAATATTCAATTAATTTTTGTAGCAAACATCGAAATAACCTCAACTGTTGTCTCTGCCCCTCATCAACAACATCCATCAAACTCTGATCAGTCATATCAATGTTCCTGTTCCTGTAATGCTTCTAACTGTTTGTTTTAATATTTTTTTATCTTATAATTAAGTAACCTCTTTATGGATAATTTTTTTTCATGAGATACTCAAGATACTCGGGCCGAGACAAGATTTAATTAGAAAATCCCGAGATTTTTCAAATGTCGATTCCACTTGATCGATCTAAACTCCAACCTTTAACTTATAAAATTTTTATTTTTCCAATACATACATACACAATAAACTTTTGGCTATATTTATTAACATTAAATTGGTCAACTACATGCATATATTTATCCTTTTTAAAGTCCAGCACCTTTAAATAATTTAAATGAGGTCGAAAATTATATTTAGACTTGTTTTTCTCTCTAAAGGCTCATCCACAAACTCCCTTTCTGAATGTGACCATCGTTGTTCAACAAAAATGTGCCAAAATGGAAAATCATTGAATGGGCAAACTTGCAGTTCTGAAACTTCAATTAATTCCTCCCAATCTGTTAATACATCAAAAACTGACCAAAAATTACAATTTCAAATAAAAGGTTCAATATCTACAAATTTGCCGTTAAATGCTCAAAACTTGAATTCTCCAGGTAATTAAAAAATAAATTTATTTTCCAAAATGGATTTTATGTATTATTTTAAAAACACAAAAAAGAAATATTGACCGATATAATAAATAAAAAAATATTTTTATTTATTTTTAAATTTTCCCTTTTTTCTATATTCGCCGAATTAATCATTTAATATATAATTAAATAAATACACATTTTGGCATTCTTTTATAAATATTTTTTACATTTTTGTTACTAAGGTTTTTTTAAATATGTAGATGTAAAAATTATTTTTAAAAAATGCGAAATTGCAATTTTTATATTTAATAAAGACTCCTCCAAAATTTGCGGGAAAGTTCGCGTTGAAAATTAAAGTTTTAATAGGTAACTTATAAGTTTTGGAGAGTAATCAACTCTTATTTTTTACTTGGCGATTTATGGGATTTCTTCTGGAATTTAAATAAAATTATTCGAAAAATTTTGCAAAAAATATCTAAAATCGATTATAGATTTAATTTTAACTTCCAAAAAATTTAAGGAAGGAGAATAGTAAGGGTAATTGTCGAGATTATTGTCTATCAGGCTATAACCCGCCCTTCTTAAAAATTTTTATTTGCAAGAAAGGGAGAGGGCAGAGGAAAATTCAATGCGCAATTCTATTTCCTTCCCTCTCTTCACTTCAATTTTATAAAATTTTAAATTAAAAAAATTTTTTTTAAAGGTTTAAGTGCTTCTTTCTTCCAATTCTCGCCTATTGTTGAACATTTTCTTCAATCTTTTACTAGAAATCAAGGTTTACCTGTATTGGACCCTAAAACTCCTAACGCTTCTGAAACGCCTGATTTGACTAAAGCAAGTCTTTTTAAATTAAATATTTTTAATAAAATTATTCATTAACTATTTTACCGTCTTACCAATAATTCGGTAAGTTGCCACTACCGAATCAGACAAATAGAGTTCAAAAGCCTTAAAATTTTTTATTGTTATACTGTGCCATGAACATTCACTAACATTTGTAATTATTATCCTCATTAAATTTATCCCCCCCCCTCCCCAATCCCTTAATAAAGAATTAAAAAGTTAATAAACAACAATAATATATTAATTAAAGGTTATGTGGATTAACAATAATAACAACAACAACAATAATAATATTAATGAAGAAGAAAAACTAAGAGGAACATCAACAACAACAACGTTATTATCTACAGATAAAGATAATCAACAAAATTTTAATTTAAATAATCAATTTTCTAATCATCAACAACAACAAAATAATAACCATTTATGCCCAATTTATGAACAACAAAGAGGAATACCAACAAATTTACAACAAAAACAACAACAAAATTTAAATAATTCTGGTATTCATAAACACCAACAAATGGCTAATAATGTGCCTTCTGGAAGATATCAGGTAAATTTAAGGAAAATATGTATTTAGGATTCTTTTCAAAGGGATACTCCCAAAGGTACCGCGAAGCCAGGCTATAACTTCGTTCAAAATTATCACATCCTGGACGCCCTAAATGGTTTGATTTAGCTCGTCGAGGAGCATCGGACCATACGAGGGTGTCCCGGATTCGATAATATTGAACGGAGTTATAGCTCGGCAGTAACACATTGGCCTGCTCCGTTTGGTAAATGTCCAGTTGACTCCCTACATGTCCGCAAAGAGAATGCACACTTTTCTTCCCTTTCTTTGCATTTTTGGCGTTAGGAAAAATGCCCGCTTAAAAGAAAAGTTCTCCCTCATGTTTCCTTTTCTTTATTTACCCCTTGACTTAAGGAGAGAAAATAATAAAAATTAATTAAACTACTGTATATAGCGATTAATGACGTGTAAACCAGCGATGTCGGGTCAGGTTTCGGATTGGGCTTTTGTTCGAAAAAAGACCGGGTATCCGGGTGGGTCAGTTAAAAAATTTAATTCGGTTTAATTAATAAAATTTAAATTAAAAAAATTAATTTTCATTTATTATTCCGTTATTTGGCGCCGCACATAGTTAAAGCTAGATTTATGATCCCCATTAAAGACTGTTATCCCATTGATCTTTTAAAAATATATTTGAGAATCTTATCCCAAATTTATGTTTTTTGATCATTTATAAAATAAAGATATTTGTTTCCACTTTGTTATTAGTTCATTTCTCTCTCTTCCATGCATGTACTATAATAGAAAAGGAAAAATGAGGGAGAATTTTCCTTTAAGCGGGCATTTCTTCTAACGCCAAAAATGCAAGGAAAGGGAAGAAAAGTGCGCATTTTCTTTGCGGACATGTAGGGAGTCAACTGGACATTTACCGCTCCGTTTTCCAATAATATTTAAAAGGAACTGAAAAAGGTTTTTCTCTAAATTCTTAATAAAAAAGTAACTGGAGATGACGATAATAATAAAAAATAAATATTATTAATCATTTTTTAATTTATAAAATAAATAAAAAAGAAATTCTAGAATTACCTATTCTCATTTATTAAATAATAAAGGGCAATGTTCTTCATCGTGATTATTATAATTTTTTATCAAAAATAAATTAAGAATTTGGGAGTGAGTGATCTACGCTCTAAAATTCTTTCAAATAAACTTTGGTAAATGTCCGGTTGGTGTCCTACATGTCCGCAAAGAGAATGCGCATTTTTCCTTCCTTTTCTTGCATTTTTTCCTGCAAGGAGTGGCGCCCATTCTTCCCTTATGTATGGTATGCCTTTTGGCACGTCGAAGGAAAGAGGAAAAATAATTAAAATTAATGACTAATAGAGTACAAATAAATATTTTTTAATAATAATTCCCACACAAATAATTCCTAAAGAGAAAATTTGTGGATTCCAATTTTCGTCGATAAAGAACTCGATATTGGATCAAAGAAAAAATCCCAAATGTTAATTATTGAATATATACAAGGCTGGATCTGCCTCAAATGTGGTAATGATATAAGTATAAAGTGGAAAAATAGATACTTCTGGCGGTAATTAAAAACTAAATTCATTATATATGTATTAAAATTTTTATAATTAAGTTGTCCCAGAAAAATTGCCAAGCAATAATTTCTGTACGTTCTGATATGTAGTTTTTTTCTCTGATCATTTAAAAAAAATATTTATTTGTACTTTATTATTAATTAATTTTAATTATTTTTCCTCTTTCCTTCGACGTGCCAAAAGGCATACCATACATAAGGGAAGAATGGGCGCCACTCCTTGCAGGAAAAAATGCAAGAAAAGGAAGGAAAAATGCGCATTCTCTTTGCGGACATGTAGGACACCAACCGGACATTTACCTAAACTTTTTATAACATTACCTATAAACCAGTTAATTTTTTTATTTAAAAAATAAATAACCAAATTCTTCTAATATTTTTTTTTGTTTTATTAGTTAATTGCAAGAGAATGATAATTTATTAGATATATATAAATACCATAACCTCTCTATTATAAATTAATTTAAAATGTTGCGATAGTTTGTTTCCAATCAAAAAAAGAATATTTTATTGCAAAAATTATTTCTAAAAATTTACTGTATTTATTCACTCTTCTCGATCCCCATCTTGCAACTCTTGACCTTCAAATTTAAAATTAACTTAAGTATATCTTACTTTCCTTTTTATCCCTTACCATTACTAATGGTATAACGTAAATAATTTTAATATGTATTTATTGTTTACAGTTAGACCCGTATATCTTGAAAATATCGACTCACGGTATCTTCACCATACCTTGAGTCGACTCTATTTTACTCTCTTCGAATTTTTAAATTTATCTTCTCTATTTTCCCCCAATTATTTCAGATACATCAAAGTATTAGTTGTAGTATAATGCCTGCTACAGCTTTAGGAAGTCAATGTTGTTGTGAAAGAACCTGCCCTTCAATCCAACACCATCAAAATAATATCCCAACTATGGTATCTTCCACTGCCCAAACTTCAGCTTTAGTTCATATGGCCCCAACTACAAATTCTTCTTTACAACAATCACGGCCAAATTCATCTGCCTCTACTGCTACAAGTTCTGGTTTAGAGGCCATTCATCATTCACCTCATCAACAACTTCAAATGAATTTTGGGGGAGAAATGTGTCAAATGGTAAGGAATTTCTTTTTACTAAAGATTAGATATATGTACTAGTTATAGTTTAACTTTCTCTAAAAACTTTTGGATTTTGTTTAAAAATTTAAATCGTTTCCCATACACATCTAAAACTTCTCTTCAACTTATAATTTTGTTGATTGTAAGCAGAGGTCGGTCGGAAATGACGAAGGTGCCTGAAAAAGTAACTGTCAGAAATCGGAATTCCGACCGACCTCTGGTTTAAGGTAAAATAACTAAGAAAATATACCTACAAAAATATTTTTGTAGTCAACAGAAATATTTTTAAATCAATTCCTTCTATTTTTTTATTTATTTTTATTTTAATTTTAAGAATTTCAAACATGAACCAACCTTCAACGAATGGCCATCATTTCAACCTGCTCCAATATTTTTACCTCCTGCTCAATCCCACTCCGTTGGGCCTACTAGTCTTAATCACCCAGATAATTATTTTGATGGTGCCAAAGAAAGGCGTTCAACTTTTTCGGTTGTTTCATCGATAAACGACGGGAATGCCTTAAAACAGAGACCGGCATCTTTAAGTGGTCTTCTCTGTGTTGGAAGAACTCGAACTGCTCGTTTGGATGAAGAAATGGAGGAAATTGGAAGGGAAGATGTTGATGTTAGTCAAAGAAATAGTAAAACACCTATACAGGAACGTCCACATCAATGCCCTATTGAAAATTGTGATAAACGATTTTCCCGTTCTGATGAACTTACTCGACATATTAGAATACATACTGGACAAAAGCCTTTTCAGGTAAAGAAATAGTCAAAGAACCGTACATATTCAATAATAATTTTTTTAAATTTTCTAGTGTAAAATTTGTATGCGAGCCTTCTCCCGTTCTGATCATTTAACAACACATGTACGTACCCACACAGGTGAAAAGCCTTTTTGTTGTGAGATTTGTGGACGTAAATTTGCTCGTTCTGATGAACGGAAGCGTCACACAAAAGTTCATAGTAAACAGAAAGGTGTTGGTGGAAGAAGACTTTCTGTTTCTTCTGGTGGAAGTGAAGGTGTTGGTGGACATTTAGTTGGGGAATTGTAAACTTTGATGTGTTATGGAATAAATTTAAAATTTGTCTTTACCTAAGAAAAATTGTTTTTTTAATTGTTGGATAGATTCTTAAGGATTGTGTAAAGTTAATTGTTTGTTTGTTTTTAAACAATTTATATTTTCTTTTCTTAAAACTAGTTTCTAAACTTTTTATTTCTATACTAACTTTATTCCTGAAGGGATAATTTTTATGTTTTTATTTTAAATTTTTGTTTGTTTAAAAAATTATATTCTGGTCATGTCCACTTCTTTAACAATTACATACACTGCTCCACATAATTATAAGTCCACCCTTTTTTTCGGGATTTTTTGCCTCCCAGTGATCCAAATTTTCTGAAAATTTAGAAACACACCTTTTAGTGAATAACTAACAAGGTGTGATTCGATTTTTGGCTGAATTTTTATTTAAAAAATTTTTAGACCAAAATTTGCATTTTCGGCCTCCACAAAATTATAAGTCCACTTTTCAAAAAAGATATTTCCAAGTTTAGGAAAAATCTACCAAAAATCCAGCAAAGATACATAATAATATTATGAAAAAATAAAAAAGAACTAGACCCATATCTTTTCCTGGAACCGAGATCATGAGACCCCGAAAATCAACGTAAAACGGGGGTAAGACTCTTTAAAAATTTTTTCGACCCCTTATCGATTATGTTCAATTTTGATTTTGGGCTCATTCGAAAGCCCTTGAAATTTGCTACAAGATAGCATTAATGATATTTTATAGAAAATTCGATTAGAAAGATACGGGCCGCTAATCTTCTGATGCAGCAAAAATCGTCTAAATACCTCATAAAATGCCTTATAATGACACCTAGAAAGTTTATCGTCTTGTGTCTCTCTATGGAATTTTTCTGAGAAATAAGACTAATGCTATCTTGTAGCAAATTTCAAGGGCTTTCGAATGAGCCCAAAATCAAAATTGAACATAATCGATAAGGGGTCGAAAAAATTTTTAAAGAGTCTTACCCCCGTTTTACGTTGATTTTCGGGGTCTCATGATCTCGGTTCCAGGAAAAGATATGGGTCTAGTTCTTTTTTATTTTTTCATAATATTATTATGTATCTTTGCTGGATTTTTGGTAGATTTTTCCTAAACTTGGAAATATCTTTTTTGAAAAGTGGACTTATAATTTTGTGGAGGCCGAAAATGCAAATTTTGGTCTAAAAATTTTTTAAATAAAAATTCAGCCAAAAATCGAATCACACCTTGTTAGTTATTCACTAAAAGGTGTGTTTCTAAATTTTCAGAAAATTTGGATCACTGGGAGGCAAAAAATCACGAAAAAAAGGGTGGACTTATAATTATGTGGAGCAGTGTATGTATTTAATCCAAATATCCAATTATTCCTTTTCCATTTATTTAAAGATTCGCCATAATTTAATAATTTTCTAACAAAGCTTTTTATTTAATATCTTTTTGTTTATTTACCCGGTTATTGTTTAGAAAAATTCCAAAACGTGTTAAATGCAATGCTCGTTATTATTATTTTATGCATTTTCAATATATTTTTGATATATAAAATTTTATATTTTAAGATTTCGATAAAAAAGTTTAATAATCCACCGGCACTCTTAATAATGGTTGTCAGTGAAAAAAACCTGTATTTACTTCCAATGGCCACTTTTATTATCTTTTCTGATTGAAAGGCAACTTTCGATTCTACAAAATCGAAAGCTATCTTAACAGTTCCCTCAAATATTCAGTCACTGTACCACACAAATTCTGTACTGATTCCACTATATGACCTAGTCGATTTACATATACTTTAGATCATTATTCACAACTTACCTGGCATTTTATAAAAAAAAATAATACCAAACTAAAATTTTACTGAAAAGTAGTTACTGAAAAAAACTTTTTACTGAAAAAACTTTAAACAATTACCTATATATAAAAATATATTTATTTATAAAATAAAAACTTTTCTGTCAAATAAATTCAGAAATAGTATTATTATAATATAAAGTATTATATAGGGAATTGATGAAGTGAAATTTTAAATGATTTTTTGACTATGAAAACAAAAAATTTAGGAATAAAAATAAATATTTTCCCTAAAAATAATTATTTTTTTAAATGTTTTCCAATATGGAGGGTAAAAATAAAAAGTCGAAACTCTAATTATTATATAAAAATTAGAAATTAAGGGTTTTTTGTTAATGTTTGGTTCTCAGCTTAAAAAATATTATAATTTAGATCAAAAGGGACAGAAAGGGGTCAAGGAACCTCTAATCACAAAAAATTCCAGAGTTCCTATTTTGCCTAATTCAGAAGCAAAATATCGATATTTTATTTGAATAGGAAATTTTTCATAAAAAATTGTTAAAAATCGAGTTTCGACTTAAAATAAATTTAAAGGGAATTAAAGCCAATTTTTTGAGAATTAAAAAAGAAAATGCAAAAAATTTAATAATATTACTCTATCTATTTATTTAATTATTATTCCACTTTGATTGCCCATTTTGGTCTATTGATTCCTCAATTGTATGAATTTTACTTCTAGATGCATTTCTCGAAAATTCATCAGTTGTCCAATGTGCTGGTTCTGCTGAACACATTAAACAAAAAGCCAAATTTGAAATTGTTAGAACTGCAGCAGTTAATAGAAAAACGTAACTAGAAAATTTAAAAATTAATTTTAATAATTATTTTAATTCCCTTATATTAAATTATCCTTTCCAATAAGCAACATAAAAATATATTTAGAGAATATAGTTATATTAAAGCTATTAAAAATTACTTTATACCACCTAATATTATTAGAACTTATACTTGGACAAAAATTGTCACAATTGATGGGGACTCTATACTAACAAGAGCTGATTAAGTAATTTTTAGAGATATCTCATTTCCTTCTCAATTCAAGTTATATAAACTCAAAAATTACCGCCATTCCTCTGCCTTGTTATGCGGTGCCAAAGTATTCTGCATAATTGGAACGAGTAGAAGAGTTATTGTAATTGCTAAAGCAAAGTTTATTTTACTATTTAATTAATTAATCTCTTTACCCAAAGAAATTTGTCCCATAACCACAAGCGCATAATGTTTTGCTACCTTAAAGGGGAAAAATAAAATTTTCTTTTAAAAAAATTCTTTACCAAAGGCCCAGCTTTAAAAAATCCCCCAGTTGTAAATCCAAGCAATCCAGCTGATATTCCTAATAAAACTAGACATAAAGTTGGTTGGTCTGTAGGGAAGAAAGCTAGCATTGAAAGGAAAAGACCAGAACCAAAAAATGCAATTGAATTGTAAAGACGTAATTTATTTGTTTCAGACAAGAATCGAATCTTTTAAAAATAATAATTTTTATTTAAAAATTAAAGTTTAATGGAATTTAATAGAGGATTGAGAAAATATAGAAGGAGGATCCAGTGGAGTTAATAAAGTTAATGAAATTTTTGTATTATTTAGGATTTGAGGCTAACATAGATTTTTTCAGTTTAGAACTCCAAAAAGATTTTCCTTGGTACATATACCCTTGCCACATAAAGGTTGGGCCCGGACCAAACATTATATCGAAAAATCAAGTATTTTATTTTGGCCGGATTTACTCAAACTTTAAATAAAATAACTCACAACTGTTAACTTTTGATATTTTTCTCTAGCTCTATTAACAATTAAAGGGAAAACATAGGATAGTGCCAGATAATTACCCAAAAAAACTCCTTACTTTATCACTAGTAAACCCAGCAAGTAATTTAATACAGAATTGGGCTAAAGGTGCCAATGAAGCTGAAAATCCAGTGTGTGCCACAGGAAAGCGAAGAACTACATTTAAATAACTTGGAGAATAAAGGAACATCTAAAAGAGATTTTTCTTTTAAAAAAATTATTTATTTATTTATTTTCACCATATTAACACAAACAAAATTTCCAATTGCCGCAATCCAAACAGCCCAAACAGAAGCTGTACGTAAAATTTCGCGAATAGGAATTTTCTTTTGAAGTTCTTTATTTAATTCTGTTTTGCCAACTGCTATTTTTCGAAGTTCTACTTCTCCAACAAATGGATGCTTATCTTTAATTAATTTTTTATGTTAGATAGATACTTCGTATAATAAATAAAAAAATTTCTTAAAATATCAGAAAATTAATTTATTACTTTTTCTGTACAAATGTTAAGTCTATTTTAAAATTTTATTTATTAATCTCTCTAACAAAGGAGAGGTTGTGGGGGTGTCCTTGGGTATGGTCTACCTGTATGTATGATCTACCTGTCTACCAAATTTCATCCCGAAGTCCCACGGACACCCCCACTCTTCTTTGTACGACCCTCTAATAATAAACGATAGTTTTTGCTAATAGTATGACTATTAAAATTCTTGCAAGTTTTAGTAGGTCGATAAATTTTAATAAAAAATTTAATCAAAATCTTGATTATTAAAACAACATGAAACTAAAAAAATATTACTTGGGCTATTTCTAAAAAATAAGGCCCATAGGGAGAAAAGAATAGAACAAGCACCACCATGCGCAAAGAAAACTGAAGGCCAACCAAGTAATTCACAAAGAGCACCGCTTACTGGCATCTAAATGAATTAACAGATTTTTTATTAAAATACGTATAAATTAACAGTAATTGCTGGTGCTAATTGAACGTAGGCAACTAAAGCAGAAACGAAAAGACCGTTTTGTTTATAATATGTCCATTTTGAAGTGAATGAGCCTGTAAAAATGATAGTAAAATTTCAAAAATATTTTTTTTTGGTTTTTACCAATAACTGGAAAGTTGGCAGAGAATGCAATTCCTTGAAAAAATTATTTTGAAGAAAAAATAAATTTAATTATCACCTTGAAGAAATCGACAAGCTAAAACATAGTAAAACCCAAGTTCAATAGCAGCTGGCAAAAGACAAGTGGATAAAGCTGAAAGCATTCCCAAGCAGGCAAAAACTGTTCTGATTCCACAATGGTTTACCTTAACGGACAAATTATTTAAAAAATAGAGTAGAGGATGTTTTTTAAACTCACCTTAGTGTCGACTTCCTTTCTTTAAAAGGGAATATCCCCAATAAGAGCTATTAAGATATAATTTTTTTATCAAGAAGAACACCCTTCACATTATCCAAATTGCAAATCTAGGGACTCTATAGAAGGGAGGAAATCGTTACTAAGGAGAGTTTAACAAACAAATGCCAAAAGATTTTTTGTTTACCAAAGAGACAACAGCAAAGTTGGAAATTAAAGCAGCCAATGCAACTGTTGACGTAAGAAATATTCGTTGTCTAGCAGTAAAGTGTAGTCTTGGTGGTGTTTTGCTGTTATTGTTAGGTGTTGAACTATTGTTGTCCAAAGTAGAAAAAGAAGAATTTGTTCTTTAAAATAATTAAAATTTAAAATTCAAATTCAGATATTTACCCAAAACTTTCATTTTCAGTTACACTCTCCAATAGTGACATACTTCCATCACTCCCATTTATTTGTTGTTGTTGTTCCACAGCTTCCATCTCAATTCCCTCGGCATGGTCAATACAAATTAATGCAAAATTAAAACACAAAATATTTGACCAAACAGAGGCTAAACACAACAAACAAAGTATCATCATCAAAAAACGAGTCCTTGTGTGGAAAACTTTTGAAAATCCTGTTGAAAAAAAGTTTTTTGAGGTTGTTGTTGAGGATAAAGAATTTGATAAGGAATCCAGAGAATTTGGGTCCAAAAATATTTCAACGAGTGGTGATGGCTTTTTTTCCTCATTTTTAGTTAATTCCATAATTATTTTTATTTTATAGTTGTTTTTAAAATAAATTTAAATAATTTTAATTTTCTGAGCTGTAAAAGAGATTCTTTTTTAGTTCTTTGTCTTTTAATTTTCGCTTATCAATAAATAAAAAATAAAATTTTTGGGAAGTTTTTTAATGATCGGGACCTTTTTTTAATTAAAGGCCGTCTGATTGACTGTTAAAAAATATAAGGAATGATGATATTATTAGGTGAAAATATATATAAATTTTGGAATGAAAAGAATGTGTTAAAACAAAGGAAGGAAAGGGGAAGTTTTTTTAAAAATATTTTTTGAGCTATTTTGTTTCTCAAAAAAATATTTTTTAGATAAAATATTTTAGATAAAATTTAAAAAAATTAATTTAAATAAAGGAAATGAATCAAGGAAGAGAAGAAGAATTTTTAAAAAATGAACAGGTAATTTTGAGAAAAACACAGATGTCTCCAATAATTTTTAAAATTATTTAAACAATTGAAATATATTTAGGATAAATTTTAACTTAAAAATCTGTTCAGAAAAGCTGTAAGAACTAATTTAAAAAATATTTTTCTAATAATATTATCAAAAATTAAAATTAATACCAGAAAATAAATTTTTATTATTTTTTTCTGGATGGAATTCAAAAATCATTAAATTTTAAAATTTATTGGAATAATAATTTTTTAAATAAATTTAATTGACAGCAATAAAAAATTAATAAAAATTATTTAAAATATATTTACAGCTGCTCAATGAAGAATATTAATTATTGGGGAAAAGATAAAAAAATAAAATATTTTAAAATTAAAAATAAAATAATTAAAATATTTTGGTGATTAATGATTTTCTAAAGAAAATATATTTTGAGAATATTTTATGTAAAATTGAGAAATTTTAGAGTTTTTTAAAAAATATTTTTCTAGAGAAAAATAAAATAAATTTGGAAGAAACTTTTAATTTGGTAATAATATTTAATAATTATTGAAATATTTTTAGAAAATTTTTAAAAAAAATAACAATGAGGAAGTCGAAAATAGACAGATTTAAATTTTTTAGTGTTTAATTATAAAATGGGGGTAATTGGTTAATAAAAGAATTAAGCGAATATTTGTATTGAGCTTAGTATTATATGTTAATGTTATTTTTTGCAAAATGATGGAAAGAATTGACGAGGTAATAGGAATGTTAAGGATTAAAAGGTGACAGAAAATTGGGAAAGTCTAGAGAATTTTGGGGAAACCACTGAAAATATATTAACATTATTATGATTTCCACGTGTTTTTAGAAGCAAATACAAAAATACTTTTAACGTCGAGACAATGATTAAATACAAAAAATCAAACAAAAAAACTCATTGAATTTAAAATTAATTAGAAATAATCTCTACTCTTGTTTTGGAATAATATCAAAATAAAAATACAACAATTAACGATCTTTGTTTCATCGATTCATCAAATTAATTTTTACCGAAAATAGTTTAAAAAATAAAAGAATATTTTGGGTTAAAGATAATTGAAAAAGATTAAATAAAAATATATAATTATTTTTAGAAAAATAGGGAAGGAGGAGGGGATGGATAGGAGGAAAGACTGCGCAGTTTAAAATAAATATAAAATATTTGTTTAGAGTATTAATAAATTAAAGTTTATTTAAAAAATGATTAATTAATTAAAAATTAGGTAATCAAAGTCTGATTAATTATTAATTAATTAAATATTATTTTATATATGAGTAGGTTGGTAATTAATTAGTATATTCTGTGAAGATAGAAAAATTAAATAGAAAAATGTTAATTTATTGAAGAAAGTTTATTTTTCGAGACAGGTTGTCGCTAAGAATCATAAAAAGTTGAAATTATGGAAAGTTTAAAATATTTATTTATTAAAAATATTTTAATCTACAAAATATTTATACGTATTTAACATATAAATATAAAAAAAGCCACCACCACATTCTCCAAAATAATTTTTAAAAAATAGTCTCTAAACACAAAAATTACCCTCCCATCAAGTATTTGACGAATAAAAATCAAAAATTAATTTTTAAAAAATATTTTTATTTATTTATTCAAATCCCCCACCCAAAGTAAAGTTGCCCTCTTCTCTGACTGGCAATTCTGCTAATTTTGCTCGCAATATTTCAGAAATTGAACGTCCCATTACAGAATTTTGTTGACGCTAAAATAATAATAGAGGAGTTTTATTATTAATTTGTCTCGAAAGAAATAAAATTCTTAAGAAATTTTTTTTTCAAAATAATTTTTCCAATAAAATTTATTAAGGTGAAATCAAGTCCTAATTGAGAGAGTAATACAAAATAGCGGACTTTAAATGAAAAGATTTATTTACCTTTAAAAAAGTCACCTTTTTAGCCTCCTTTGCAGCAATTATTTGTGACATTGAAAGAGTTAAATCTGTTGCTGTATTCGATTTAGATAAAGGAGGTGTTGAATTATTTTTGGATATTTTCTCAAATTTCTTTTTAGGTATATCTACATCAGTACTGTCTTCTGTTTCTAATTCTGTTGTACTTACATAAAAATCTCTTTTAGAATTAATAATTTCTGGTTCAGAATCAACTTCTTCTTTTCCTTCTTTTTCATTTTTTTCAATTTTATTTTCAATTAATTTAATCTCTTCTTTCTTTTCTTCTTCCTTATTTTCTTGCTCTTCTTGATCAGTTGCAGAAGCGGTCGCCATTTTTGGCACCGCAAAGGAAAGAAGCTTGAACTTTTCTTTACTTTTTAATTATTGAAGAAAAATATGTAGAGGAAAATATTAGAGTAAATATTTGAATTCTATATTTATAAAAAATTAAATTAATAATTAATGAATATTGGGACCTATTTTTATCAAAAAAACTAATCACTTTTTCAAAAAATATTTAAAAAAAACTAAAAAGAAAATTAAGCTCCTGTTATTCTGACACGGGGGATAAGACAGATCGTTTGGCATAAGGCCAATTAACTATCGGTTCAGATATTTTGCAGAATTTTGTTTAAAAAAGAGGAATACCGCTCATCCTCACCAATAACTAAAAAGATGAACATCAACAGAAATCTCATATGGTTTAAAAAAATGGACCCAAATCAAAGGACCCACCGCAGGAAGAAGGGGGAACTATACTGGAATTAAATTTATAGTATAAAAATAGTCCCAATAAATAAATAAAATTTTCAATTAAAAAATATGTGAGAATAAAATTTTATGATGGGAATTTGAAAATAAATGAGGAAATATATTAAACGTTACGCTCTACCGCTTTTTTATTTTTAAGTTCAAAAATGAATGTATTTAAATACTTTTATGTATTATTTACCAATTTATTTTTCATTAAAACCTTCGTTAAAAACTCCCCAAAAATTTCTGGAATAAAAAAAGGATTCAAAGTATTTTTGAACAAAAAAATAATGGCATTAATGCTATTTAACAATGAAAAGAGAAAATGCGCAGAGAGGATTTGAGGGAGGAAAGGGGATTGAGTGAATAATTTTTTTTTGAAAGAAAAAAATCGTTATGGAAAGACAGATTGTCTAATATGTAGAAATTTTAAATTTATTTATAATTCTTGTTAGTTTCTACCAGAGGCGATCGGAAATGACGAAGGTGCCGGAAATCGGAACTGTCGGAAATAGAAAATGGCTCAAAAGTCGGAAATCAGCCTAAATTTTCGGAAAACGGAAGTGTCGGAAGGAAAAAAATGTCGGAAATTGGAAGTCGGAATTCCGATCGAACTCTGGTTTCTAGACAAAGTTTAATGTTGTTTATAAATATTGAGATATCAGAAATACTGCAAAAACAGAAATATTATTTTTGATAAAACAGAAAAAGTAACATTTTTCGATTCTTATCTTTTTCTAAATTAGGCAACATTTAAATGTCAAACAAACAAATATAGGTAGTTGTTGTAGGTGTATAATCAAAATATTAATTTTATTTTAACACTTCCCTCCTTAATTAATGCAATTTTAATTTCAAAAATAGAATTTGTTATCAAAAATAATTTCATTATTTTAAAAAAAAAGTAAAATAAAATTGCGCAATTTAGTTTAAAAATATTTAATAAATTATTAAACTTAAAAAAATATATTTATTTTTAACATCCCATCACTTTTTTTTAAAAACAAGACGGGGACATTCTTTTTATTTTTAAATCAGAAGAGGTTTTTAACATCAAAATATTTTTTTTCAATTATAATTTTTTGTCCGGAAATGTATAGTAGTAATTCCACTTCAAAATTTTTTTTCTTTAAATCTTTTTAAATAAAAAAATTTTTTTAGGTGTTAAAATGAATTGAGGGAGTTTAGTTAATACAAAAATAATAATATTTAATGTGTTCGTCGTTCAAAGATAAAAGACGAAAAAGGTGAAAAACCAACGATAATGCGCCGACAACAACAAAGACATAAAAAAATATTTTTGAAAAAGTTTTAAATGTAAAAGAAAATATATTTCTTTTGTTAAGCATTTGACAAGAATACATAATGCTTTAACTATATTATGTATTTACAAAATCATTTCACTCTATTATTTAAAAAAGGAGGGAAAGGGAAAAGAATTTTTTTGTTTGAAAATTAACAATCTTTGAATACTTACATAAATTATTCAAAGAAATAATTTTGCAAATATGTATAGTGAAAAAGTCTCCGGATAGTGAAAAGTCTACTACGTTAATAATTAATGACATTCTGAATGGTTCCAAATATTTGTGAATATCAAATATTAAGCTTCGTCTTTCAAAACAAATTTAATAAAACAAAGGGAAACTTCCGTCTTTGCAATTTTTCCAATTTAAAATTGAACAAATTTCAACAAAATATTTTACAAAAATGTTTTTCTGTTAAAATTTAGCATTAACTTTTAAAATACAAGGAAAAAAAGAAATTGTATCAAGAGCTTAAATTTCTTTATTTTTATTTTGTCTTTTTAATAAATTTTCTTAAATTTTTAAAAAGCACACAAAATCAATTTAAAACCCCTTTCAAATGGTCTACCAACTGTTTATTTACCTTTCACATTTTGTGTCCACGAGACCAGGAAAAGGAGGAGGGAGGTTGCTAGCAGTTAAAAACATTTTAATTCGCCCCATTTCGCGCACATTGCGCTAACATTTACAAAATTTAATTTAAAGCGCTAGGAAAGTTTTGGAGTAAAAACAAATAAAAAAGTAAACATTTTAAATAAAATAAATTTAATCAAATAAATATATAGGCATTAAAGAAGATTACAAAATTGAAAGTCTCGACAAAAAAACTTTATTAAGGACTGAACCTATTAAAATTTCCTAGATATCTTTAACACCATGGGCTCTCAAACCACAAAAAAACACAAAAATTCTTTTTCAAATTTAAAAATAAATTTTACAATTTTCAAAGTAACCCCTCCAATTCCTTCAAAAAATCATCACAAGCCTCATCCACAGACTTTGTTGCATCTATGGCAGAATTTACTGCCGTCATTTGTTTTTGAGTAGGTTTTATTTGCGAAGATCTTGGCAAAAGTTTTGTAGGTCCAGCAACAGAGGATGTCGGAATTTTTGGTCCAATCACTGTTGGAACAACGGGACGTTGAATTTTTACTGCTGTAGGTACAAAACGAGTTGTCTCTTTCGTTACATTTCGCATTTGAGGGCCAGCAGTGATTGTTGTTTCTACATTAGATGGAGGAGCATCAGTTTTATGTTTAACTACCTAAAAATTAAGAAGTCTAAAATTAGTTTTTAGTAATATTTTCAATATTTAGTGGCATATTCTGACTAGCGTCCGGCAAATGGATTTTTTTGGTAAGGTAATACAAAAAATTCCAAAAATAATCGAAAATGGAAAAAATCGGAAACAAAATCTCAAGCTCTAAATTACTAATTTTAAAAATTCAAAAAATACTTGTGGCTCCGCGGAAATAACAGCAGCATCAGAATATCCACTAACAAGTCCAGTTTTTGATTGAGTAGATTGATGTTGTGAATGACGACCATGTTGTGGTCTCACCACAACTTCACGCATTCCATGAGACGGAATCATTATTGGATAACCTACAAAATTAAATATTGAATGGGGAAAGATAAATTTTTATTAAGTCTAAAAAACCTGGCGGATAATTTGAATGAGGTGGAAGAGCCATTCCAGGCATAATTGGCCCTGTACCGATAGCAGGTGCAGCCAAAGAAGGGGCAGAACGGGAATAGATTGGTTGTAGATGCTGCATAGGAGGTTCTTCAGAAGATAACATACTCTCAGGAACTTAAATTAAAAAAAAATATTTTGATTTAAAATATAGGAAATTGAAAAATAAGGATTTATAATTAATCAATAAGTATTGCAAATTAATACATATATGCATTCTTAAAAACTATTTTTATTTGTAAAATCGGATATTTGAAAATTCAGAGTAAGATCAAAAAATTAAATGTCAGAATTAAAACGGAAAAAAAAGTAAATGATTCTCAATTAGTGTGTTTAACAAGGGCATAGCCAGCAGGCCCGTAGCCAGGGGGGGGGGTGAGGGGGGGAATTCCCCCCCCCCCCCCCGAAATGGGAAAAAGGAAAAAATTTGGGGAAGGGTTGGGGCAAAAAGTGAATTTTTGGCCTATTTTCCCCCCTTGGCCCCCCCCCCCCCCACGAAAAAAAATCCTGGCTACGGGCCTGATAGCCAGGGGGCTTCTGAAGTTGGGAATGCCAAAACGCCAAAATTTTGGCGCACACTAATTTTAGCCCCCCCTGAAATCGACACACAAGCTACGCCCTTGATATTCAATAACATCTTTCTTTATTATCATAAATAAAAACATACTCTCAACAGGTGCATAATCTTCATCTTCATAATTTTCATCAGCATCAACATGTTCAGCAGCTTCATCAAAAGCGTCCTTAAGTGGTCGATTTCCAAATCTAACTCTTCTTCTCCTCCTTCCATCTTCTCTATAACTCTCTTCTTCTTCATCATATTCTTCTTCCTCCTCATCCTCACTTGCGTATAGATGGGGTGGCAAACCAGGCGGAGGTCCTTTATAAAATCAAAAATTATTTCCTAAAAACAAAGTAATCTGAAGCCTTACTATTAATATAAATAACGTTGAAAATTTAAAAAAATATCCGTAAAAATATAAAGTCCGGGAATTAATAAAATTAAGAAAAAAGAATCTTAATGAAAAACCTGGCGGATATTTATGCTTCTTTTTAACAGCACTAGAAACCGGCTTTTTCAAAATTCCAACTTTCATCGCTGATTGAGGCATTTGAGGCCCAAATCCTATTCCATGTATAGAATTAACAGAATATGGTGTATTAGCTGCATCCGGGGCACTAGCGCCAGTCGGAAGAGGAATTTCTTCAAAATTTTCACTTTGCGAAAAAAGCATTGCCCCTAAAAAAATAAACTTTCATTTTAAATTATTATACCTAAAATTCTTACGAAAATTTTCTTCTTTCCTGGCCCGTTCAACTTCATATTCATAAAGCATCCGCTCCAAATTTTTAACTTTCTTCTCTTCTTTCTCTTGACGACATAAATTAATTATTTGAAAATAAGATGCACGAAGTTTATTTCTTTTTTCTTGGATAACATTAAGCGAAAGTACACGTTGTGGGTCAAATTCTTTAATTAAAAAAATTATTTTAAAAAATCAAAGAAAAACCTTGTTCATCCAAACGGCTCATTTGTTCAATTAATTCGTCAGGATCACGACTTTTAACCATTGCTTGCCTTACAGCATTTCTTTGCTTTTTGTTTCGTTTAAGTTCTTTGGCACGCATCTGTTTACGTTCTCTATCAGCCGGATTCATCATCCTCCCACCTTTTGTGATTCCAGAACGCTTTCCCATCGTAGATAAAAATTTACAATGAAAGTCACTGAAATACAAGAAAGTTAAATCAAAACAAAAAATTAAGAAATTCAGAATAAACTTGACTAGACTCTAAACGAAGAAAAATATTTTTTAAACAAAATGCCAACACAATGACAATAATTCCACTTTTAGTAAATTTGTCTAACGCAAAAAATTACTGTATAGTTAGGTAAATATTTCTAGTTAAAGGTCTGTTTTACCCAAAAATTTACTACAAAAGGCCTCAATCATGAACAATCAAACTTTACTACACAAGACATTTTGTATCGACATTTGTTTGCTTTTTGCTGTTTCACCAAATGGACGTTGACGTCGACGCTTTGCTCCTCCGACTTCATGATCGCCGGAATGTCAACATTGTGGAGACCGTAAGTATCTGCATTTTATCCCAATTCTTATTTTGTATATTTTTGATAAATTGCAGGTTCCCGCTGATGAGATGCTTGCACTGCTTAGAATGGCACAAATTGTGTTCCAGACTCAGCCGATGCTTGTTGAAGTTCAACCTCCTGTCATCATCTGTGGCGATATTCACGGACAATACAGCGACTTGTTACGCATCTTCGATACTCTTGGATATCCACCGGCAACCAGCTACTTGTTTTTGGGAGGTACAAAGGACCGTTCTAATATTTTTAAAAATCTCCCAATTTTCAATAGATTATGTTGATCGAGGCTCGCACAATTTGGAGACGATTGCTCTTCTTTTCTGCTACAAGATCAAATATCCTCGAAATTTCTATCTACTCCGCGGCAATCATGAGACATCAGTCACCAACGCAATATACGGCTTTCGGCAGGAAATTGCAAGGCGCTACGGGGATCCTAGAAACGATCTAAATGGGATGTGGGGCATCTTCAACATTGCATTCTCTCAAATGCCCATTGCTGGATTGGTCGGAGGTGTATTCTATTGCTTTTCTTCAGTTTCTTCATATTTTCAGGCCGAATTCTCTGCATGCATGGTGGGCTTTCTCCAGATCTTACATCCCTCGATCAACTGAGGCAGATTCCCAGAGGATGGTACGATCCGCCAAACAACCGGGGTATTACCATGGATTTGCTTTGGTTAGACTAACTCATTAAATCTCTAATGACATTTTTGTTTTAGGGCCGATCCAGACCCGCGAATCAAAGGGTGGCAAACAAGTCCAAGGTGAGACTGCACAAAATAAACGCTCAATCCCTCCACTTTTTTTAATTTTAGAGGTTGCAGTTATCTGTTTGGCGACGACGTCATTCTTCAATTGACCGCTTTGCTAGATATCGATATGGTCGTTCGTGCTCACCAAGTCGTTCAGGATGGGTACGAGATCAATGGAACTCAAAAATTAGTCACAATCTTCTCAGCTCCAAACTATGCTGGACAAGTGAGCAAAGTAATTAAAATAGGAAAATTCTCTATTTTTTAGTTCGACAATGCTGGAGCGGTAATGATGGTCGAGGCTTCTTTGCGGTGCATGTTTTTCCAGTTTCCACCAACGAAAAGGTGTGAAAATTAGGATTTTTTTAAATTTTCTTTTTAATATTTAAGAGTTACACCACCTCCAGTGGCTCCTCCACCAAATGCAACACCGCTAAAGCCGCAGAATGGTTCAAAACCCTCCCCGGAAAAAGAATTAAAGGCTAAGGAAGAAAAACCAACCTCTCCAGAGAAGTCGACCTCGCCTAAGAAAGATGAGAAACCCTCGCCTGATAAGTCTGCTAGTCCTGAAAAGCCAAAAGATGAGGCGAAAGAGAAAACAGCTTCTGATGTGTCGACACAGGATTCTGTTGGGAAAACTCAGTCTACTTCGGAAAAATTGGCTGCAAACACTTCGACTGCATCAAATTCGAGCGGATCGGATTCATCGGTGACGAAAAAGAAGGAAAAGAAAGATAAGAAGTGATTGAGTCATCCATAATTGATATAGTAGATTGTTGTATATGTGTGTATATTGTATGTTATTTGTATGTGTTATAAGTATATTCCTGTTTATATTGAATGTAAATATATAGTATTATATGTTTTTGTATCCTTTAAATTTAAATGTTAGATAGGGCTAAACTAGAAAGGATTTTTTAGTACATTAAATTATTAATTTAGGAAAATATTTTCTTCGAGTAGCTTCCCTATTCCTATAAAATGACGAGGCCTTAAAGTAGAAGAAAATTATTTGTATTATTTATAAACCAAAAATAAGCAAGTTATCCCAATCTACTCTTGCTAATTGTTTTTCTTTTTAAAAAAGATTATAAAAGAATTTTATTTATTTTTTCTAAATCCAATAATTTTACATAAACAATTTAGTAATTAATAAATCCATTACTTTACATTAAATTTAGGGATGACACAAAACACATACAAAATTATTCATAAAATAATTGTATTTTTGGCATTTTTATTATTCAACGGTTCTTTCCCTCTCCTTCTTTTTGATTGTCGAGTCACCCATCGAGAATGATATATATTCTCCTTTATTTTTTGATCGAGAAAGACAATCATCTAAAAAAGACATCTAAAAAGGAATTGTTCATTTAGGCATTTTGCACTTTACAAATAAAAATAAACCTTTCCATCTAAACCTTTTCTCTCTCATATTTTTCTATTTTAAGCATTTCTTCTCTAAAAAATCAACGCCCGCTACTTTTCGTTATTTTGTTGAAAAAGTTTTGCAACAATTTTCATCAGCCGTTTTTTGCGTCTTTCCGAGTTTTCTTTAAAAAAGGTTTATTCATTCCCGTGCCCTCTTTTTTCCATTTTTGTACGTATAATTCATCCATTTTCCTCATTTTTCATTTATTAAGCATTTTCTTCAGCTTCCTATTCCTCATTCTCTTGTATTTTATTTGTAATAAAATCGTTATAACAATTCTTAAAATAAATTTATCAACATTTTCTAAACAAAAACAATTATTTTCAAACAAACTTTCTTAAAAGATCAAGTTTTGCCGTGAGGTTTGCTGTGTCAGTATGCCGTATATACCCTTATTTAAATCTAAGGGGGATCTGTCCACACTGGCCTTTCAAACCTCTCGGCAATCTTTTTCGATTTAAAATAAAATTTAAAAAAATATTAAATTATATTGCAATTCGAGTTGAGATTTCTAATGAGCATTGTACGCCGCTAGTGAGACAAAAAATGTTTTATGTAAAATGCCCCTCTGAAATCTCAACTCGATTTTGTGATTTTTTTTTAATTAAAAATAATTTTCATATTATTTACCCCTTTTCAGTCTTTTGGACATTTTTGGATTTTTATTAAATTTATGTGAGGGATTCGCGCAATACGCGTTGATTTAACAAATATATTTATTTTATTATTAAAAAACTCCGAGAAAGTTTAATGTGAGGGCAAATAACTGCGGTCAGTTATATGTACATATTTATAATATTGCAATTATTAAAAAAAATTAAAGACGTAGAAAATTCATTAAAAATAAACAAAATTTTCTAAAATTTAACAAAAAAATATTTATTTTCAAATGAATTTTTATTTATTTTTTAATTTTTTCCTTGTTTTCTCATTCTGTTTTCAATTAAAAATTATTAATTCGAATTATTCTGGAAAATGGAAGGACCGTTTACCTTATTACAAATTAAAGTTAAATGGTGACAGTAGACCTACTAATTGTAATAAACAAAATTCAAGTGTGTTTTGGAACAAAATTGGGGTAATTTTTAAATATTGACGAGTATTTTAAGCTTATAAGGAGGCGTTTTCAATTAATTTCGTATAAACATTGTTTTCTTATTTATCAAGTCAGTTCCTGAAGGTCCAGTCAACATAAAAACAACAAAACCTTTCTATCCAAATTTAAAATCAAACTTTGTTTTTCATTCACCAATTTCTTCTAAATCTTCATTTCCTTCTAAATATTCAAGTTATTCTTCTCATCATTTATCACCTCCATATAATCAGCGACAAAAGCACAATCTACCATCTCTTAAAAAACCTTGGTGGCCATTGCTTCATTCAACATTTCCTCCTTCACCTCCATTACCTCAATTTATTGGACCAGAAAAGAGAACAGAACATTCTGCTTCTTCGATAGATTCTCTGACTATACAACAACTTTACAGTAATAAATAAGTTTTTTAAGAATATTTGTTTTCTCAGTCCATGAGAAATTTTTGCCAAAAAATCGCAGAGGCAATACAATTGCTGAATTCCGCACTTTAAGAGAATCAACTTTTGTCCCGATAGAGAAATATAAACTCGTATTGAAGAATCCTATAATCAACAATTGTGTCTCCCTTCTCATGGCATAATAAAAAATACAATATCCAACTAGCCTCTTAATTAATTAAAATTCAAGAAAGAAGGGAGATCACAGAATCTATGCCTTTCCGGAGCTAAACTTTCCCTCTCTCTTACCAAAATTAAGAAATATTTATTTAAACGAAGCACTTTTAAGAAAACACTCTCAATGCCTTATGCCGTTTGTTACCCCGCCTTTTACAAAATCTTTCATATGAGGAGTGCATTGTTAGTGGACGAAAAGCTGCCAGGTTTGTACTAAAATTTAAAAAATTACTGTATACTAAAGAGAGGATGATTTATAATGTAATCATAATTACCTAACTCCGATTATACTTTACCGGGAATGGTACTGATTATTGTTGTTATCCGTCCTGGTTTACCTCGCTCTGTTTGTAAATTTCCCCCTTTTGCCTCCCCATCTTCTTAGTTAAAAGACCTTAGTACTGTCCCCGTTTTATATTTCGGTATTCACCTACAAATCTTTTCTTCCATTTTCTTCTTTCCATCTGCATCTAAAAATACTGAATGGGGCTAAACTAAACTAAAAAAAGCTAGTGCTGAAAATATGGGCACAGAAAGAATGGGCAAAAGATTTCATCTTAGATCAGAATAATTAGTAGCCCTCATAGACTTCCGGGAATCTTAGTTAACCAAACATTAAAATTATATAAATAGATATATTCGTCCAATAATTCGTAAACAAAGCGAACAAGCAAGTGAAGAAGACAAAATTCTAACAAACAAAGTAGATCAAGTTAATCGTTGGCATAAATATAGGTTAAAACTGCCACAATCAAAAACAGTCAAAGAATTAATTGAGCCTTGGTATTTTAGTGGATTAACGAAAGAAAATCAAAAAATTGGAAAGAAGAATTGCGGGAATTAAAATTTTGACAAACAATTTTTAGAATAAAATCAAAAATCGAGTTAACTTTTAATTTTATTCCGAAAACTAACTACATGTACATAAAACGTCGGTGATGTAAATCTACTGAAACATACATATTAGTAGAGTTTTTGGTAATTCCAAGGCTGGTCCCCCCCTTTTTTTCTGTTCGCCTGACCATTTTGAGCTTTTTTGCTTGACATATAATTTACAATATATCATTCGAAAGAGCTGTTCGAGCTGAGTAGAATGATACTATGATCGTTTCGATTTAAAGATTCTGAGCAAAATCAAGAGGCTAAATCCTCGATGGACATGCTTTTTGTGATGATGAAAGGGATTAAAACAAATGGTCATAACTATGTTTATTTAAGTCGGATTTTGATGAATTTAGTACCGTACAACTCAGCTTGAAGAGCTCTTTCGAACAATATATAATTTGCCATAAAAAGTTAAAAAAATCGGAAAAAATAGAAAGGAAAAAAAGGGGGGGACCAGCCTTGGAATTACCGAGTTTTTTAAAATCTCACCTAGTGCAATACTAATAAATATAAAAATTTTGTTTATTTAAAACAATTTAAGACTTAATTTTAATTGTTTATTTTAATTATTTCATACATACATATATTTATTTTATCCATTTTTTAAAAATTTCCAGTCGATGCAAGTGTATTACTATTTTATTTGTACCTGTGATTGCCAAATAAATAAACCAATTAAAAATCAGTTATACTATCACGGATAAATTGAACTTTATAAACCCCATTTTTCATCACTAAGTTTTCCGCTATATATGTACAAAATGGTCAGAATTTTCCATTATGCCTTTCTTATTTTGTCTACAATCAATTAAAAAGGATCATTTTCTTATTTCATATCTTACATCCCCATTTTTCCTCCTAAGTTTCCTCCTATTGGTATGGAAGGAAAAAGTCTGACCATTTTGCACATATATAGGAGAAAATTTAGGGAGGCAAAATGGGATCTGTAAAGTTCAAAATTACCCCAGCACGCTCCCACCAGTGATTTTTTTTATTAATTTTGCTTCCAACTCCTAATCATCAATTTTAATCTCTAAATTTTCTAAATTTAATTAACTTTTTGAAAATAAACTTAAATTAAACAAAATATTTAAATTTATTTAGTCAACTAACCTTTTTAATCACAAAAACAATAAATTCTCCTGATCAATTGATTATTTAATTATTTGTCAAATTTAAAATAAAATATAGAATTTATATATTTTTTAATATATTCAGTGGCGCGCAAGCGCTGAGATTAAAATGTTGGGAGGTTATAGTTAAAAGTACATGTGACTCTACCAACATAAAAAATCCCAGAACTCGCTGACGCTAATAAATATTTATTTTTTTTAATTTGTTGTGCTGATATTTTTTTAATTATTGGGAACAAATAAAAATAAAATTTGGATGACATTTTAGTGGTCGAAATTCCCCAAAAAATCGTCATTTATGATTTATAAAATATTTTTTGAAATATTTGAGCAAAAATTCTAAATTTCTATCAAAAAACAGGGGTAACTACATAAAAATTTTTTGATAGAGGGGAGCATTTTTTGACACGCTTTAATGTTACCAACCTAAACACTCCCAAATGCCCTATCTCTTAAAAATATAATTTATTTTATTAATTTAATTTATTAAATTGGCAAGTCTTTAATTTAATGGACCCACTTAAATTGATTATACAAAAATATATTAATGTCAAATTGTTAAATTTATTAAAAAAAAGAGTGTGGTTTATTAAATGTATAAATATTTTTATTTTAATAAAAATTGTGAGGAGAGTTCAATAAGATGAAAAGAAAAAATGAGAAAAATAGAGAAAAAAGGAGTATATTTTAATGTTGACTAACTGATTATAATAAATATGGTTTACCTGTTTATTACTAAAAAATTGCCCTTCCTTCCCTCATAAAAACCTTTCCCCCCAAAAAATTTTTCCGTTCATTTTCCCTTCACAAATAAATACATTTACTACTAACTTTTAATTTCTCAAACACTCAATCATGCCCTATCAATAAATGAATGATAAAAATTTAATTTAGAGAATATTATGAAATAAAAGGAAGGTGAGTAAGGTACCTATATGGATTTATGAATTAAATTATTTATTTAAACAGAAAAAAAGTTGCTTTTAAAGATTTTAATCAGAATTTTTGATTATTTAATTAAAATAAATTTTAAAATATAAAATTACTAATTTTTCTAGATTGCCCAATAAATTGAGAAATATACTACTACATATTTTGTAATAAAAATAAACGTCGAGTAGAGGGACTAGACGGATTAAAAGGACAAAATTGGTTAATGCCTGATAAGAAAATGGAAGAAAGAAGAGAAATGTTAAAATATATTTTAATCAAAAATCAAAAAAAAATAATTTTATTTAGAGGGCCAATCCTCTAAAAATAAATAAAAGAGAAAAAGAGAGAAAAGGGGTACACACAAATTCTCTGATAAAAAGAATTTTCTTTTGAATTTTGTGTTATCAGTAAAGTAAAAATTATTAGACGAGAAGAAAGGCTTATATGTACAGTTTTTTATTTAAAGATGGCCCGAAAAAAAGAAAAAGCATTAATTTTTTTCTGTATTTTGAGTAAACGAAATTTTGGAGTGATAAAAATATTGGACAAATGATTTTTTATAAGAGAACGGTTTTAGGGGGATGAAGAGGAGGGAGGGGGGATGGTAGTGTCAATTATAGAAAAAAAGTATTTGTAAAATATTTTTATTTTATTTATTTTTGTATTTTCAGTTAAATTTAGGCAAATAATAATTTTAAATTTTTTATTAAATAAAAAAAAGAGAGAAAAAAAAGAGGGGAGAATATTTTGTAGAGAAGTAGACTGTTTGTTGCGTTTAATAAATTTTGACGACGATTTGTTTTTGCCAATAGAAGAGTGGTTTAAAAATGAGGAGAGAGAGTGATGATGGGGAGAGAGGTTTGCAAATAATCGAGAAAAAAATAATAGTTTTAGGGACGTATATATTTTAGAATCGGATTAATAGATCCTATTGACTGACAAAATAATAATAATATTTATTTTATTTTGAATTTTTATGTGGAGGATGAGAATGTGGAGAAGAGGAAGGAAGAGTAGAAGAAATGGGAAAGGTAAGCATGGATTTTATAGGTGAATTTAGGAAGGAGAGAGTTTACTGAAGGGAATTAATTTAGAAAAATTAATTAGAAAAAATTCTTTTGGAGAAATAGTTTTTTACAAGAGAAAAATTGACCTAAGAACTACGGTAACGGAAACAGATTGAATAAAAATAATCGTATTAGGTTATTATTTTAATGGATAAATACATAAACTATATACGGTATTCTCTCTCCATCCTCTTATTATCTGCTGGTTTTTGTCTCTGAACCCGCAAAAAGTATAGCTTTTAATTTTCCAGTTTTTGTCTCAAATTATTCAGTAAAATTTTATTTTGAAGGGATTAAATAGGCAAATTATTTCAGAAAGTTTCAATTATTTTCTGCCCTTATTTGGAAAATTAGCTAATTAAAAAATCGCAAATATTCACAATAAAAAATATTTTTTTTAGATAAAATTGGGGCATTAGGTTTACAAACTGTGAAAAACTCTGCAGAAAAGGTGCCAATTAAATAATGCATGAAAATGAACAAAAATAAAGAGAAGAACGGTTCCCGCCTCTTTGCTTGCGTCATTTAAAAAAGATAAAATAATTTATTGCGCGTCTAATCGGCTCCTTGAGAGAACAACGGATAAAAATAAAAACAAGGAGAAATTGACAGAGGTGAACACGCAGAGGTACAACCACCTTGACAAGTGGTAAAGAGAACGAACGGACACGGGAAGGGGAAAAATAGATTAAAAAAGGGGGGATTGTCTCAAAGATCGAGGTCAGTCGGACACAAAATGAACGGGAAAGAATAAATGAACACACAAAGAATAATGCCGAAACGGATACAATTTAGGGTAATTAATTAATCCTCCTTTTATAAAATCTCTTTTAGTTTTGCAAGATTTTAAATTAAAAGTGTTCCCATTTTTACAAAAAATATTTGGTGATTGATAAGCTTTTAAAGAATTAGGTAATTTAGGGGAAAGAAAACACTCCCCCCTCCTCCCCCTCCTTTATTTATTTTTTATTTATCAATCCATGGCGGCATTAATCTAGTCAGCTGACTTTAATGTTTATTTTTGCTGCAAATATAGACCGTTATATGCCGGAACTGGAAAAATAAAAATTTGTGAAGGGATTAATCTAAATAGGAAAAATAAAGATAAAAATGCCTTCTTTGGTTATTGAGCATTTAATGAATAAAAAAATAATTTTTTAAATGAAGAAGTGTTTTTTTAATTTTTCTGAGAGAATTAGTCTTAATGGTTTTTGATATTAAAAATAATAATAATAATAATTTTCTAAATATAGAAGTTAATTTTTGTAAAAATATACCCCACCTGCGCGTCAATAACCATATGATTTGCTCTTTACTTTTTAAATCACACAAACGACCTAGACAGATTGACCTAGGAGATTTGAGACTTAAAATAGGAGAGGGGAGAGGGGAATATAAATTAAATAAAGGGATCATGGAAATAGAAGAGAGAAACGGAGAGAATAATAAATTAAATAAATAGCAATTTTAAGTAAAATTTTAAAAATATTTTTTGAATAAAGTTCAAAATATTTAAAGAATTGATGGACAAGACGATTAACAAATTTATTATTCCACCATTTTTTCTTCGTTGTGTGAATATGTAGCATTTTCGACATGTAGAACTCACAAAAGGACGATCATCCCCCTCTTTACAAAATTTTCTCAGTGACGATTAGTAGAGTTGGCGGTCCCCGGGAAATGCCCGGATTAACTATGAAGTAAATATACTGTATTCATTCAGATTTACTCAGACCTCCTCCTACTAGTATATCAGTTCGGCCAGAGACTATTAATTACTCCCTCCAGCGAGAAATTGAAACAATAATTATCCAGTGTAATTATTTAACTAAATACGGTAAAAAGAAGAATGAAAGAACCCTCTAATATTCAAATTTTTGGATTTAAATAATATATTGTTTATGGAGAAAGTTTCAATTTTTCAGTCTTTTTAAAACAATATTTAAGCCTTTTCTTAAATTTAACATGACTAATTAAACAAATTTAGATTAACATTCTTTTATTTTTACAAATATTTTTGGATATCAAAAACGGACTTTCATCTTTTGAGATAATTTAAAAAGACTTTTAAAGGAAGGAGAAGCATTTTTTATGACCTTAAGAAGTATAATCCTTCAAACAAGAAAAATAGAATGAATCATGTAAAAATATTAAATAGATATTTGTAGCAGTTTAGGGGAAAAAAAGAAATCTACATATGGACATTCTTTATTTAAAACAATCTTTTTTTAAAAATGTGAAGGAGGAAAGAGGAAGTATAAATTGTAAAAGTCAACGACTACTTATGGAATCTTGGATGTTAATTAATGAAAATAACTTGGCTGGCTTTAAAATTTAAAGGAATTATAAAAGGAATATATAAATAAAATTTTGGAATTTTATTAAAAATTGGGGAAGTAGGCTAAAAATACATAAATGTTTACTTGTTATTTTTAAGGAATTAAAAAATCTTCCATTTATTTTTTTATGTTTACTAAAAACACTTTTTTTATTTATATATTGTTGATTCCCTACATTAAAAATTTGTTTAGAAAAATATATTATTTATTTGCGCGGGTGGTATTAGTTTTAGATTATATATAAATATATTTATATAATATATTTAAGTGAAAATTGGCTTATCCGGTACTAGAAAATACTAAATATGGAGAGGGTTTAAAAAGAGATTTTCAATCATTTTAATAGTTGTTATTCTTTAATTTTGCAATGTTGTTTATTAATGTTTACATAATCTTGTTTTTAGTTAATAAAGAAGGGCAGAGGTTTTAGAGTTAAAATTCCGAAGACCCGAAAGCCTTGAAAAACCGGTTTGTATCATAGCCACAGACCCGGCTCTGTGTCGAACTCTACTTTTTCTCCTTCAAGTCTATATTTTGTTTATAAATATGTTTTAAAATAATGTTTGTTAATCGTTAAATTTTTGACTGATAGAAAGTAATTGTAATTAGGCGCAAACAAGTCTACAAACTACTAAACATTACTATAACACTATTAGTATATTTTTCAGACATTATCAGTAAAAACTAGAAGTATTTAAAGAAATGTGAGAGAAACTGAGAGAAAGTTTTTTAGAAGGGGAGTGGAGAATGAAAAAGTAAATTTTGATTTACCCTAATTTTACCCTAAAGTAAATTTTGATTTTATATATGTATAATCTTGGACAAACAATAACTTTTAATAAAAATTATTAGAAAAGAGAATAGATGTTTGTTAATTCAGTTAACCATCCAAAACTTTTGAAAGTTTTTAAAAAGGTTTATTTTTTATATTATCATAAATGCTTTTTTACTTTTTATTATCTTGTAAAGCTAAAACATAAAATTTATTTTTTAAAAGCCAACGAGACAAAACTTTTATTTTATAGAAAATATATTTATATGTTTTGTTGTGTTTAGCTTGCAAAATAAGGACAAACAATAACAACAAAAATAAAATGAGATTGATAAAAATTTATGTACATATATTGATAAAAAAATAGAAAATTTATTTTTTTATAAAGTATTTATTTATTATTTACATTATAAACAATAAAATTGTCCACATTTTTAAGTCTCATTTAGGGTCGAGGGCCAGATCCGGCCCGTTCCGAAAGATAGAGCCGGGCATTGAATTTTGGCCCAAAAAGATTCGGTCGGGCTGGCCCGAAAAAATGGGGCACGAAAAAAATGACTCGAACGTCGGCCCGACTCGAAAACCCCAATCCTAGTCTCATTGTCAAAGAGAGGTGCGCTTTGATCAAAAATTTCTGTAACCCGTAAACGGCGTTTATAAATAACAAAGAAAATTTGGCCCAGACATTTTTTTGTTTATATTAAAAATAAAATAAATAAAAAAATAAAATGTTTGAGGACAATTTTTGTACAAAATCAATCTGATTAAGTAGAAAATAAATATAAATTCTGCGCACAAATCATTAAAAAAAAGAGAGGATGTTGAACAAAAATAAAGAGAAAATGAATGAGTGAATGACTTTTTTTAAACTCTTCTTTGGCCGTCCAGACTGGTTGTTGTGAGAAGGGGAAAAAGCTTTTTTTAACTAAATAGTAGACAAGCATCAACAAAAAAATAAAAACACGCGCACATTGAATTGTTGACGCATCTGCAGAAGAGGAGCCAAAAAATGAGGAAAATGAATTGTCAGGAAAAATTGATAGAGAAAATAAAATGTATAATTATAGTGATTATTATACATTTATTTATTTATTATTTTCATATTTTATTTTTTCCCCTCATTCACTTATTTTTCTTTCCTCAATTTTCTTCATTTTTTTTCCAAAAATTCTTTTCAGAATTAATTTTTATCCTCCAGGTAGACGTCTCCTTTGTAAGCTACTTATACTAGAAGGCCCAAGGCAAAATCCAAGCAATTCACGAAAAGCTTTACGAAAACGTTTATCAAAAACCTGAAAATAAAAAAGAATATTTATGAAAAAACTTTTTAAGAGAAAGCAAAAAAAATACTAAGTAGATTAGTCTCTACGTCAAAATATTTAAATAGTTATTTTAGTAAAATATATATTTAAATATATTTAAATGTTACTTAAACGAAAATAAATATAATCATTTAGTATTTTCTAATTAAAAGCCCCTAATTTATTAAAAAATAAATTTAGAAATAGGAAACAAAAAAGTAGAATTATTTTTGAAATTTTAATTTTTAAAAGATTAAATAAAAAAATATTTAAATGTTATTTTGACTAAAATTTGACGAAAAAGAATTTTTTTAATTAGATAGCTTTAAATAATTGTAAAAAAATAAAAGATAATGAGAAAATTAATTCTGTCTAAAATTTCTAAATTAAAAAAAAAGATAAGGGGGAAAGGGGGGATAAACATTCCATCAAGATTGGCAAAGAATTTATTTTCAACTTACAGTATAAATTAAAGGATTTAGAGAAGAATTTAAATATCCCAGCCAAGTACATAAAAACATAGCTAACATATGAACACATTGTTGGCCCCCAGCAAGCAAACATAAAGCATTTGAGAGATGAAGAGCAAAGAAAGGAACCCAACAACAGAGGAAAACAACTTTAAAAATAAAAAATTTAAAAATGAGAAAAGTTGGGGACTTTTTTTTGTTAGAAATTTATTATCGAAAATTCATTTATAAATTAGTATAATTTGGAATGTTGGATTCGAACTGAACTTAAATTAAACAAAAAATTATCTATTGGTGGACTGCAGAGTATAATTTTAAAATTGTAAAGAACCAGAAATTATTACTTTAAAAAAATAATAATTAGCACCAAGTTAAAACACCAAAAATAAAACAATTATTTTTTAAAAATAACATTTAAAAATTTAAAAATTTTAATATAATTGATAAAAACCTTTCTAAAAGATTATTATGCTATTTCTAAATTAAATTTTCCCTTCAAAAATTTACCTAAAACAACGGCAAGTGTAACAGTTGCTTTCTGTTCTCTTCTCATTTGTTTAGAAGCTTTTTTAATTAAATGTTTTGAAGGACGATTTTTTTCATCCATAGCAGTTAATAAAGATCTTCTAAAAACACTTCGAATCCTTTGAAGAGGGGACGGTTGTTGACTTGAACTTGATTTTGTGTTTATACTTTTATTGGCTAAAGAACCATTTCTTTGATTTGATGGAATTAATTTGTGTGAGGGAGAAAAGGAATAATTGGCTAAACGGCTAGGGACTATTCGGACTGAACGATTGCCGGTAGTTGAAGTACTTTTTTGTTCGTCTGTTATTAAAACACCTGTTGGGCTTCGAAAACCGTTCTCGAGTACTAAAAAATTATTTTTTTATGATTAAATGGGGAAGAAAAGAATTAGAATTTTTGAGATTTCTATTTCCAACAAACCCCAAAAACATAACTTCACAATTTAGAAAATAATCTCAGATTAAGAGGTGAGAAGATAAAATTATTCTACGTCCCTTTGTCGGAATAAGGGGGTGAGGGCATTTCGTACCAATGTATGAGTATGAATTTTGGGCGAGCTTATGAATACTGATAAGGAGGGAATCGGAAGGTATTCTATGCTCCTTTGACGGAATAAGGGTGTGGTGGCATAACTCAAAACTAAAATTACTTAAATGAATTTTTAAACAGAACTACTGAATAAAATTGAATTGTCAAAATATATTATGTAAGGATCTAATTATTTCTTATCAACATTTAAATTTACATTTAAATAAACCAACCCTCTTCCTTACAAGAAGTTGTTGGTCTAGACCATTCAATTATTCCTCTTAACCAATCAGTTAATTTATTTTTTAAAGTTTCTCTATCTTCTTCTATTATTTTATTATTATTTTTATTATTTTCTTCTTTAATTATTAATTTATTTTGAGAATTATTTGTTTGTTGTAATAAATTTGGAAGTGAAAGTGCAGAATCTATTTGATTGTAGATTAATAAACATTGAGATTCAAAATTATTATTATTTTCCAATAAAATTTTCCTTTTAGGTTCTATTGAGGATGGAAGACTTTTTGGTTGTTGATGCTGATATTGTTGTTGATTTGTTGTAGTACTGTTATTTGTAAATGTTGAACAATTGTTGGAAAACTAATTTTTATAAAAATTAAATGAAATTGTGATGAATTTCATAGCATATTAAAGCATATATTTTGCTCAACCCTACTCATTAGGTGCATACCCAGAAGGTGCCGAAACTGATTTTAAAAAGCGAACGACAAACAAAAAAGGTGAAAATTCGGCATATGCGAAACGGCACTTTCCCGTCTCCAATTCGTTGGATCTTCTTTTCCTTATCTAACTTTAGATCACAATTTTCGAAAGAATTCTTGAACGAATTTCCAGAAAATTAACATAAAAAATTGTAACGTTCTAAAATTTCCAGATATCCCTCCCAACCTTCTCCATCAACTCTAACCTGTTTATTTAATATATTCCTTCTATTAGTAACAAAAGGAGAAGCGGAGGCAGAAGAACCGCTATCAATAAATTGAAGAACTTCCTGAATTCCATCACCAAAACTTCTATGAGTTGATAAACCTTCGTAAATACTTGGTTCATTTGAACAATTATTTTCTTCAAATTTAGAACATAAAGGTAATTTTTCAGAAGAAATTTGTTTGTATTCTTCATTTTCTTCTTCTAACGGTTCATTATTGTTTATCTTTAAGAAAAAAATATTTTTTCTTCAAATTTCACAATTTTTAAAAAACATTCGTAAAAGTTTTAGAATAATTTTAATTTTTATAAGGTAAAAATCCGGCAAATACAAAACGGCACTCTTCCCCGTCCCAATAATACCCAATTAAATTTTTCAATATTTCCTTCCTCACCTTATATCTCCTCTGCCTAACACCTCTAGTTTTGCAAGGTTCTTTAATTGTTTTTAAACTTGGCCGTCTCCTTATAATAGCTGAAGGCATTGAATTACACCGTCTAACGAGTAAAATATTTTGAAAATTTTGAGGAATTTCATCACTAAAAACAAAAAATTAAAAATAATTCTTTTTCTTTTTTCACTTTTTAATATTTCCTCCAATATTTCCATTTCTTAAACTTGGTAAAACATTTGATTGGGGAAGTGATAAAGGGTCAATAGGCAATACTTCTTTAACACTTCCATTTGTCATTGAATGATTTATTGGGGGTATATTCCTTCTGATCACAGTTTTCGAGTTAATTAATCTTTTTTCTCTTCCATCTTCTGTTACTTCCTCATCTTCTTCTGATGGACTTGGAAATGAAGAAGTTTGTACACTAAGCTCTAATAAAAGTTGGTCCTTTAAATGACTTTTTGCAATTTGCCTAAAATTTTATTTTTTGAATATTTATCTTCAAAAATTTGTTTATTTGCCTTGCCATTCTAGCACCTCCCATTAAAGCATTCAAAACAAGAGCACCTTCTGTGCCAGATGTTTGCCCTTTTCTCCGTAAATCCCGAGCTTTTTCCCTTTCTCTAAGTCTTCTAAAAATAACGGCGTAGAGTGCAATCATTGCCAAACAGGGAACAAAAAATGAAAAAATTGAACTTCCAATCATAAAAACTGGATTGGTAAATGAACAGTCATGTTCTTGTTCAATGTGGTTAGCACCTAAATTAAAGAAGATAATAAGAGATAAATATTAGCTGTACCAAAAGCAACAGGCACAGCAACTGCAATTGAGACAGCCCAAACAAGGGCTATCGACAAACAAGCCCGCGAACTGTTAGCACCAATTTGGCAATAAGCAAGGGGGTGAGAAATGGCTATATACCTACAAAATATTTTTGAATTATTTTTTAAATTAATTTATTAAATTACCTATCAATTGAAATTGCAAGTAAATTAAGAATTGAGGCGGTTGAGCAAGCAACATCAGCACCAATATATAAATTACAAAGAGAAGGTCCCAAATCCCAAACAAATGAATTCCACTAAAAATTATTTGAAAATTTATTTTTAGAAGGTATATTCTCTTTACTTCGTAGTAAACAGCAAAAAACATAACACAAAGGGCAACTAACAAATCGGCAGAGGCTAATGAAACAATTAAATAATTGGTGACAGATTGAAGTGATTTCTCTTTTCTGACGGCAAGTATTACCATTGAATTACCTAAATTATTAAAAGATTTAAAAATTAATTTAAAAGTCGAAGGAAAGAGACTACGAGATTAAAATCTATATCTAATCAACGGATTTATTTCTTGATGTGTATTTATTTCAAATTTTTAAAAATAAAAGTCGATCCTGATATGCTTCTGAAATTTGAGTAAATTCGTTAATTTCACTTAAGGGGTTTATTTATTTATCCAGAGAAATTTAGAAAGTTAAAAACTCCATTAAAAACTATAAAACAAACCAAAAATAGTCAAAACAGGAACTAATGCCAATACCAAAGCGTAAGGATTGCGATCCACACCGGTTGCCGAAAATTCAATTAAATTATTATTTTCCAAAGAAGTTTGGTTATTTAAAATAATTTCTCCTTCAAAAGGCAAAGGAAGTATTGGAAGAATGGCCACCACTTCCGAAGAGATATTTTGGCTTTTTCCTTCGTTCATTCCCTCTGGCAATGCCGCCAGTTCTTTTTTGGGACTGTTGACTTTTGATGGCACCACCTGGGGCCTTCCTTTTCCATTCAATGCAAAAAGACGGTCAAAATTCGTGATGACGAAGGCAAATTAAAAAATAGGCCTGTTGCCTATTTAACCAGAAGATTATGTAAATTTAACAGAAAATTATTTATTTAAAGGGCTGGAGGAATATAACGTTTTTATGGAAATTTTTTGTTGTTGAAGAAAGGAAGGATCTCTGAGCAGCAATATTTAGAAGAAAATTTTTTTGTTGTTTTTTTTGATGAAAATGAATTTTCTGCCAACCAAAAAATGTTTGGGCAAATGAAAAGTAAAAAAAGATGGTGACAAGCACGCAGAAAACGAAATTGATGCTTCCGCCCTCCAAAAAAAAGTCAACACCTCCTAAAGCCAAAATTTTGGCACTGTCAAGAATTGTTGAGTAGTGCCAGCCTTTAACACTTTTCTTTTATTTTTTTCCACCTAATTAATTACTGCAGACGGAAATTACGAAATTGATGGTTGTTGTCATGTATTTGTGTGTGTGTACTTTTTTGAATTGTTGATTAATTTATATTTTGTAAAGTCATTAATCAAAATAATAAATTATATTTATTTATTTTAATAATACTAAATACATATTTTAAAATATTTTTTAATCTAAAATTTAAAACGAAATTAATACAATTATTTTAGTAATCTTGCAGAATTTAAAAGTGACTTTATTTGGAGGATTTATCAATTAATAATTCAAGTATGTCTTTCAATCAGAGGTGGGTCGGAATCGTCTGGCTCAAAATTCGGAAATCGGAAATCAAAATCAATTTTTTTTTTCGGAAATCAGAATTCCGACCTACCTCTGCTTTCTATGTGGTTGCAATATTGAGGAAAAGTTAAACAAGAAAAATAAGTTATCAACTAGATATTGTCTCGATTAATTATCCACTAACGAGAGAGTTTTTAAACAATAATTACCCAAATTAATTATTCAATAAAATAACGGTATTTTATTTTTTATTAGTTAATTCCTTAATCTTTCCACTCTAAACTAAAGTTATTAGTTGGAAGTAAACAAATATGTAAATTTTAATAAAAAAAGACACAAAAAAATTAAAAATTGCCAATTTTAATCAAAAAATTATTTAAAAATTCCCAACAAATATTTTAAAATTAAAAAAATTTAGGTAAAATCCTCTCCATTTTATAAACCAATTTTCTCACTATACATAAATGCACATAAATTAAAAAACCTAAAAAATAAATATTCTAAATATCAAACAGTAATTCATTTTAAATGGCAACATTTAATTTCAAAAAATCCAATTTTTTGTTTTAATTTTAAAATTTTAATTTTTAGACCAAAAATCAAATACCCAAATATTTTTTCTTAAAATATACCTAATAAAAATAATGGGTTTTTTGGAGAGATTAAAAAAAGAAAGAGAGGTTATTGAGTCGGAAAAAGGATATTTTTTGGGAATTAATGATTATTGCCAAATTTGGCATTTTAATTGGAAATGGAAGAGGAGGGGAAAGAGGAAAGATTTTTTGATTAATTTTTTGGCAGAAACCCCCTTTTCCTCTAAATAATTTTAAAAGATAGAAGAAAACAATAAAATAAAAAATTTTAATGTTGTCTGGAAGGAATGGGATTATAAAATTTTTTAGGACTGTTATTTTTTTTTAAAAAAGAGAAAATGAATAATAAAAAATTTTATGTGAAATTTAATATAGTTGAGGAATCAGTCATTTTAGCATTCCTTTAATAACAAAACAAGAATTTTTGGTTAAATATTAGACAAATAAAAAACTAGTGTTAAATACCTTTGGTGTAAATTGGGTGGTGTGGTGCATCATTGTGCGCAAAAATAGGGCAAATGCCCCCTACATATAAGGCAAAAGAGTCAATTTGGTTAAAAAGTAGAGATCCGTCTTTCAGATCAGAGAGGATATAGAGGAAAAATCCCAAACGAAAAGAGAAGAAGAATATATTCGGAAATCTTTCTCTCGTTTTCCGGTAAAAAAAATAAATAAAAATTTAATAGTTGTAAATTCAGTAAAAAACTACCTATTATTTCACTTTCTTTTTACTTAAAAACCAAAGGAAGAAGAGAATTGTGGGAAAGGTTGGAGAGGCAAAAAAATGAGGAAGAAAGGAAGACATTTATGGGGTGGATCTTTACAAACACTTGAGAAGAACAAAAAATTATTAAGAAAATAAAAAAAATATTTTTTATTATGACATTACTCATATTTTTTAAAAAATATATTTTTTGTTTTAATTTTTATTTATTTTTGAAAAATATTGGGAAAATATTTAAAATTCAAAAAAAAATTAAAGAAAATAAAAAAGAAGGGTAATTCTTCGCCGTTACTAATTTGGATTGGATTAGCATTGGAAAAATTGGAGAGAATGTTTTTTGGAGGTTTTTCTCTTTGAGTAAAACCACGTGAGTAAAATTCTTTGTATTATTTAATTTTTGTATTGAAAATATATTTTGTTTTTAAAGAGAAAACTTTAAAGTTTTCAATAAAATGAGGAAATTGGAAATGAAAATCAGGAAATGAATAAATAAATATTGGAAGCTAATTTAATATTTTGGCAATTTTTGTTGACAAAAATGTTAAAACATACCGTATATACTTCATTAATTACCCTGGGTAATTATTATCCAAACCTTTCGATGGAGGGAGTAACTAATAGAGGTAGGGTAATTATTTGAGGAAGGGTTATTAATAGAGTATAACCGGTAATCAATTTAAAAATCCAAGATCAATTAATTGTAACAGGGAACAAGAAGACACCATTTTTGTGTAACTTCAAAAGTAAGAGCAGGCTTTATCTACTGCAAGCCCAACTATCGCAGCTCACATTTTTTGGGTAGTACCAAAAGAATTTTCATGAAATATTAAAATAAACTAACCCCTTAAGCTTTCTCCCATTCTTTTTTTAATTTTTGGTTATTTAAAATATTAGGCACAATAACTTTTGGCAATTTCATTTACGCGCAATTTTGTAAGCTAAAAAGATATTCTTCATGCGTGACATGCACTTAAATAATTCTTTAGAAAAATAGAGTCATCCAAATAAATAGCTTTTATTCTTTTATTGTTTTTGTATATTCAAATGCATAAATAGTTAATTAATAAAATATGGGGAGAAAAATAGATAAAAGGAGGTAAAAATGTGGAAAAATAAAAAATTTGTTTTGATGAATTTTTGTTAAAAATATTGAAGGAGTAGGAGCGAATTACAAAAATTAATAGTTTAATAAAAATTATTGTTATTAGTTAATCTGGATATTATAATTGTAAATAATTTATTACAATTTGTAAAAATTAAAAAAAATAGGTGCTATCTTTTATACGCCCACAAACTGTGTGCCAGCCGACTTTGATAAGCATTATCTTTTTTCCAACATGATGATCGGGATTGATCGCTCATTAAAGTTATAACTCGATAAATGTGGAAAACATCCATCGAAAAACTTTATAATTTATCGGGTTATACTTTTTGGTGAGTGATCAGACCAATCCATCAAGTTGGAAAAAAGATAATCTTATCAGAATCGTGTATAACGGATAAGTAGCAAAAAATATTTTTTCACTTTTATGTTCAACAAAATAAATTTATCCCTGTTTATTACAATTCCGAAAATTAATTTACCATAATATTTTGCCTAACTTTAAATAGCAGAGGGAGCCTTTAAGTTTCTAAATAATTCTTGTAAGTCAATAATTTATCCCTTTTAAATATAAATATTTTATACCAAATAATGTGCTAAGAAAATTACAGAATAAATATTTAAGTTTAACATTTAGCCATTAAATTTAGTGAAATTACTTAAAAAATTTTTTTTCAAGATTAAATATCCAAATATATATTTACTTAATCGTCACTCTAATATCTGAACCAAATAAAAACTTTTAAAGTACGATATATCTAAATGCTTAATATTTTTTTAATTTGAATATTTAGCTTGCACATAATCCTTATTTTAAATTTAAAATCACGCAAATTTAAATAAAAAGAAAAAAATATTAAATAAATTTTGCATGTTTTTAGAAGTTTTTAAAGGAAGTTTTCTTTTAAATAAAAATAAAATTTGGAATATTTTTTTTCTAATTTATATATAAAGAAATTCTGAATACACATTATTATTTTTTAATTTATTTTATGCGTATAACGGCGGAAGTTTAAATTAAAATATATTAACCTCAGCCTCAGTACTTTTAAAATTACCTTACTCATTTTTCCTCTAATATAATAGTTCCTCTGGGATTTTTTAGATTCCAAATTTTTTATGTAATTTATGATGTTTATAAAATTGTTTTTTTTTTATCAGAAATTTTTTATTTTTGTACTTTTATAGAAAAAATAATGAAAAGAAATGTAAATGTTTTAATTAAATTATTATTTTTATAGATTTTGAAAACAAGTAAAGATTAAAAAAGCTAAATCAAGTTCTGTTAAAGGAGACGAGATTGGAGGGTTGTTTTTTGGAGTTTGGAGGGTAGTTTGTAGAAAATTGGTAAAATATGCAGCTATATAAAAATATACACCTAAGTACCGAAATATAGAAAATTTTGCATAAATAGGTACTAACCAAATTTTGCTCAACCATAGTTATAGTAAGATCCAACTAAAATACATATAAAAATTTACAATTTCAACAAAACTTTAATATATATTTTAGGTAATATATTAATCCTCCCTAATTTAAAATTATAATTTAAATAGTAAATATTCTATTTTATCAATTTTTAAGTAAAAATAGCTTTTTGTCTTTCAAGTATTGGATTTTTACAAGTAAAGAAAAGAAAAAAATATTTGAAGGATTTGTGTGTATATTTTACAAAATGAAAAACGTTCTAAATTTTTATAAAATATTTTAGTTAAGAGGAAAGCTTTTTTTGTGTTTAGAGGGGCCAATTACTTAAAAAAATAAATATATTTTAGGAAATATATTGAGGGAATGTTTATTATATTTCTTAACATTTCCCTTTCCACCCCCTTTTTTAGTAATAAATATTCCAATGTATTTTTATTTTTTAAGAAAAAAATTATAAAATTGAAAAAAAAAATTCGAGGGACCATTAAATAGTTGTGACTAGAGATTGGACCAAGAAGGAATCTCCATCAAAAATTTCGGATATCAAGATCGATAATTTTTCGAGATCTCAATTCTCGTACGACGCTCCCAGTTCCGTTAAAATTATAATAAAAACAATCATAATAATTAATTTAAAGAAATAATTAAGAATTAGATTTCGAGAAGAATTATAAGTTAGGTAAGCGAAATTTCGAAGCGAAAACCTATTTCCCTTAAAAATCGAAAAATAGGGAAAGTTCAAATTTTATATAAAATACCTACGATGGTAGGATAAACACTATTAAAATATTAAATTATTATTTTATTTTTCTAAAGTTTTTTCACTACTAAATTGTCCAAAGAAATGGTTATATAGTAAAAGATAAAAGGAAAAAGAGAAGCTAATAAATAAATCGTCCAAATAACAGCTCACTTGGGCCTATTTTCCTTAAAAATATTTATTATAGTTAGTAGTATATTTTTTAGAATAATATTTTAAAGTAAGAAAGTCATAAAAATAAAAAATAAAAACATTTTTTGACTTTAAAAATTATGAGAAATTCTGTGTGGTCTTTTAAACCCCAACAAGTGGGAACAAAAAATAAAAAATGTCTGGATTCAGGGAAGAAGTGCAATAAATTTTTATTTAATTAAAAAGCAGGAATTTAAATTTTTGTTTGAAATAATTAAAATATACTAATAAAAACGAGAAAATAATTAAACATTGAACAATTTGAAAAAAACAAAGAGGGGAGATTTCCTTTGCAAGCGGATAATTTATAAATACAAATTTTTGTTTGAAAATAATTCCAAAAAATTTTTTAACCAGTTAAAAGCTCAGAATATTAGACACATAAATTCATTGGACTCATAAAATTTTGTTCGGCATCATAGACTTCTATCGAGCTACTAAAAACTACTTAACTGTACCAGAGCCGAAATTTTTTGTCAATTTAACCCTAATTTATTTAAATAAAAAAAAATATTTGATTATGATTTTTAATATTATTTTGTAAGGAAACAAAAATTGCTCTCCTCCCGAATTATAGGAATCGGGTTTGGAAAAATCTTGTTAAGAAAAATTTGAGTGAAAGTTTTTAAGAAAGAGATCAAAAGAAAGAATCAAGCAAGCAGAGGTGGGTTGGAATTCCGATTTTCCGAAAAAATTTTAATTTCCGATTACCGACTTTTGAGCCAGTTCCGATACGATTTCCGACACTTTTGCTTGTTCCGACCCACCTCTGCAAGCAAGAAATTTAGTTTATACATTATTAACTGTTTAAAAATAATTTTGTCTATAGCAAAGCCTTCATTTTGCATTTTTAGACAAGGATTAGCAATATTTAGTTAAAAACAAAAGAGAATAAACAATAAAAAAATTTATTTAGGCACATTTACATATCCAAACAATTGTCGCCTTTGGAGAGAAAAAAGAAAGGGAAAAAACTGACAAAAGATGAGTTATTTAGTTTTTATATATTTTCTCCAAAAATTGAGTTAGTTTCAATAGAAAATTGGAAAAATAAAAAAATGAAAAGAACATTTAAAAAAAAGAGAAGCAACTTTTATTTATTTATTTCCCTCCAAAAAAACTTTTTTTTTTGTTTCATCGCGCTTTACTTAAGACATTAAATATTTTAATTTCTTTTTTTCCTTTAAAAATTAATGCAAAAATTATGTTAAATAGTTTAAATTGTAATTGAGGGGAAATTAAATTATTTAAAATAAATAGTCTAAGAAAATCTCAGTCTTTCTAAAATAATTAAAAATAAAATTAAACTAAAAATTAATTAAAATAAATAGAAACTTTTACAAGAAAAATTAATTAAAATAAAAATTAATTTATAATAAATAAAAAAATTAAATTAATTTACAATTATAATAAAACTAGGCAAAATTAATATTATTTAAAACAAACTTTCCAAAAAATTTAAATAATAAATTATAATATTTGGATTCTTATACCAAATAATTCTACTAACTATTAATTTAATACCCACTAATTGGTAAAATTATTAAAATTAGCCAATAATTTTGCTTTTTTGGAATAATGAAAAGGTAATAAACGAAGTTATGTTTTTTTTCCTATTTTTATTTTATTAGCAAACAACACAGTATGAAAGATAGTGCTAATAGATGCCGTAAGTTAAAAAAATTTTTTTAAATTTATTTAAAAATTAGAATAACAATGTAATAAATTTTAGAAAATAAATGAATTTACAATTTAGTGTGAAGAAGAAAATATTCTTTGATTAAAAAATATTTGAAGAAAACAATTTTAATTCATTTCCTTATTTTGCCTTAAAGGAAATAAAAAAATACTTTTCACCCCTTCTCGTAGTTATTGAAACGAGACTGCTCATTCTTAGATACGTTTTTCAATTTAAAAAAAGGAGGGAAAGAAAATGTTGGAAGAAATGAGTAAAGAAGGAAGAAGGATATAAAAATGGGGGGAAGGGGTGTAAAGGGGGGGATTAATACACGGAAGTGCCCAATCCTTGTGCCAACAAACTTTCCATTTCCTCCTTTTTTGTTTATTTTTTATATCATCATTATTTTGAATATCTTTCAGACTTTAATGGACCTTTTGTTGAATAGTGTACTAATTTTAATTAAAATTTTGAAGGATTCATTTAAAGAGATAAAAGTTAAACATTAAAAACCAAATAAAAATGAACAGGAAAATTTTAATTTGAAATTTATTTGTTTTTGGAAACATAAAATTTATAAAGCGATTTGATAGGTTTGCTTTAAAACTTGTAACCCTAATTCTCAACATGTTTAAATTAATTTCAGCAACATACATTTCCACATTTTCCTCTAATTTTTCGAATTTGATCGATTATAACTTTTTTATGTTTGATCCATCCGTTGAATCTTATATCATTCGAAAGTCCTCGATAAGCACTATCTTTTCTCCAACTGGACGGATCAAGTCTGATCGCCCCTTAAAAAGTTACAAGTTGATAAGTGTGGGCTTTTGAATCGTGGGCTTATTGCTGACTTTTAAATGGGATACTCTTCATTCGTGTTGGATCAAGCATAAAAAAGTCGTTCAAATTCTGATAAAAGCAAAATGCTGGGATATAAACGCATAATAGTACATTAATTTCTTCATAAATTTAAAAATTTAATAATTATTATTTTCAAATTATATTTAGAAATCCTAAAATCGTAACCTATATCTGTGTAAAATTTTATATTTCAAGTTACATATGTATATTTTGTCCTTTAATAAGAAAAAAGCAGAACTGCCCTTTTTTATTTAAAAAAATAAGCTTAATAAACTTAAAAGGTTTTTTGTTTAAATTTTAATTTATTAAAAGTTTTTAATAAAAAAATATTTTGAACTTTTTTGTTAAAGATTAAAGAAAAAACTTTGTTTTTATGAATTAATTAATAAATATTTATTTATTTGTAAAGCTTTTCTTTGTAAATATTTGGGTTAAAGTTTATTTAAATAAAATTGTTTTTAAATAAATGAAGCGTTTTTAAAAGGTAAATAATGAAATAAATAAATAAAAATATAAGGAAATAAATTAAATAATAAATAAATGAATATTTATATGATTTTTAAAAAATATTTTTGTTGATAATATACTTTTAAAAATAGCTTGGAGGTATTAAATAAGGATGGGTAGAATTCAGTTTTTGTTTTTTTTATTTTTGCATATTTTACTTCCGCTGGTTAATTAAAAAATTTTGGGAAGATATTTTTGGAAGTTTAAAAAGTATTTAATGTTCAACGGGAAATACAAAAATTGTATCAAGCTAAATTATTACTATATGGCAATCTTAAAATAATTAAATCGATAAGTAATAAATTAGTGAAACTATAAATATTTAATTTACAATGCACTCCAAAAATTAATTGTTCCATAATTATGATTTAAGTTTAATAGTTTTATTACGATTAATATTTTATTAAAAATGGAATATCGGAAAGACTTTTTACAGCGACCACGTTTATGGCAACAATAAACTTCTTTTTTTTTACACATTAAAATTTTTAAAAAATATTTTTGGGAATATTATTGCCAAATTCAAATTTTAGGCACTCATTTTTGTTTATTTAAAAAAGATTCTGGTTCCGGTTCGTTTAATATTGTTTACAAAAATAAAATAATTAAATTAATGAATGCTTTATTTTAGTTTGTTTAAGTAATTTAATCTACTTTATTTCGTCACTATAATTACACGTAAATAAATAAATATATTTATTTTTAGGTTTTTAAAGAGAAAAAAAATAAATTTAAAAAATATTTATTTTCTAGAATTTTTAAACAAAATTAATTTAAATTTTTTAATCTAAAAATTAAATCACACATTATATATTTATTTATTTAAGAGATCAAAAAATAAAAATAGTGCTAAATAAATTTAAAAAATAAGCATTAATATAATGTAAAACTAAATAAAAAACAAATATAAAAAATATTTTTAAATATTTAGTATACACATCTTAAATATATTTCAAATGATTTTGTAGGGAAACCCCTTCTATTTAAAGACAACCTCCGTATTATAGAGTGTTCTAGATATTGGTGGCATTTCCACTCGTAATTATCTAACATAAAATGTGTATATATACTATTAAAATAGTTTTTGTTTGGCCAAAATAATTATTTATATTTATTTATCTTTTCCAATTCATTAAATCCTAAAAAAAATATTTTTTTCTTATTCCATCAATTTTTTATAATGCTACGGCTGCTTTTCTTCCTTCCTTTTTAACTCTTGTTTGGTTTGTTTTAAAAGAAGTTTGTTGCTGTTGTTGTTGTTCACTTTCTTCTTCATTTTCCTCAGAAATAACGTTTGTTTGTCTTTGTTGTTGCTGAAGTTGGGAACGAATTCGATCATCTGCTTGGGCTACTTTACGCAATCTTGGTGGGAAAAGACTAAAACGATTAGAAGATTCGTGGTTTGTTGGGAGAGAAACATGTCGAGAATGATGAATAAATGAATTTGATGTAGGGTTTATTTGAGAATGCCCCATTGATGGACTTGCCAAAACTGCATTGGATGATATTGACCGAACATGTCTGATATGGTCCTGAAAATGTATTTAAATTAGAATTTTTACCAAATTCTGGCAAATGTTAAAGAGATTTGTCTAAAGGGAAATATTTCCCCTACTACTTTTTCCTTAATTTTCCCTCACAGAAAGGTATCCTGAATCATTTGGAAAAGTAAACTTTATGGAGGAATGGAAGTGTTTGGTTCCACGTTATTTTTCATCCAAAACATCAACTAAAATATTTCATAATATTCTCTACCTTATCCAAATGACGTTTCTCTTCGAGAACAGCATCAGCCAAAAATTGCTGAGAAGCTGATGAAAGCCTTACTTCCGGACTTTTATTAAGTGCCACAAATTCTCCCAACATATTTAATAAAGTATCTCTCAAACGTAATTTATTACTACTATTTTTATTATTTCCCATATTATTATTATTTGAAGAAATAGATTCTTTTTGTTGTTTTTCTTTTATTTTTTGTTGTTTTATTTTTTTCTCCATTGTTGTTATTGAAGACATTTTTATTAATTAATTAATTTTTATTTAATTTTCTTTGTTTTGATTATTGATTCGAAGAAGAAAAAAAAGTTTTGCTTTTTTTCTGTTTAATAGAAGAATTTAATTAATATTATAGAGAAAGGAATGATTAAAATCAAGAAGGTTTTCTTCTATTTAATAAAGGAATCGCGCAAGTGATCCTCCTCCCCCTTTTCTCTCTTTTAACAGAAAACAAGAAAAAAGGAAAGGGCGGAGAGGTTTGTTGATTAAGTTTATTGGAAAAGGTGTTGAGGGTTAGTTGGACGCTGACTATTTCGAATACTGGGACATTAAAATTTTTCTAATTTAATTTTTATATTTCTATTAGGATTATGAATAATTTATAGGGAGATCAGAAATTAATGGAACACTTTATTTTTTTCATAACTCAATCCAGAATTATGATAAAATTATAAAACAAAAATTATTTGAAAAAATTAATTAAGATATAAGTAATTAGGCGGTTGATTTGTAAATTCTAAATAAAGGTAGCTGCGATTAAAAATTTTAGCAAAAAATCACAGCTATTTTGCTGAAATTTTTGGATATTTTTCAAAAATTGATTAAGGGATTTAATTCAAATTAGGGTTCAACTACTGCACGGGATGTTCCGGCCGGCTTATTTTCCGATTTTTAGTCTTAAATTTATGTATTTTTTCCTAAATTGGTAGAAATCTGACTTCGGGACTTCCAAAATTTCAAAATTTTCGCGCGCGCTGAAAAATCACCACAACTACTGTCCCCGTGAAAACAGCCACCTGACTGTAAATGCTGAACTCTAATTCAAATTTAGAACTAATATCCTTGATCTTATGAAATTAAAAAGGAAAAATTGGTCCCTAAGTTTAGTGAATAGTTGACTGCGCGTGACTTTCCCAAGATATTTTTTAAATTGAAGTTCTAAACTATTTTTATGGAATTTGAATAACAAAATTTCAAAATAAATATCAATTTCGAAATGAGAAAAACTTGCGCCGTATTGGCCTTCATAAATAAATAGGTATATCGTTATGGAATGTAAAGGTTAACAAAAAAAGTTTAAAAAAATTAGGTAATATATTTATTAATTTTCCTAAAATGGATTTTTTACAAAAAAGAATAAGGCAATAAACTTAAAGGAAAGTAAAAATTATTAAACCGGTTATTTTAAAATTTTTGAGATTTCTATTTATAGAATACACATAAATAATTTTAATAAATATTTCTGTTGTGGAATTTTTCTTAATATTTTAAATATTGCAAAAATGTTTACGAAAATATTTATCAGAAAATAATTAGGCGTTTCTAGACTAAATATAATTATTCATGTATATCTAAAACACAAATAGGAATATATTTATTTTAGAAAGAAAAATTTTGTTAGAAATTGCGGAAAGGCTTCTAAAATTTAATCTGAAATTAAAGTTAGATAAGAAATAGGGTTGCCAAAATGGCCCGACTCGGACCGAAAGATCGAGTCGGGGCTAAGATATTTGGCCCGAAAAAGACTCGTATGGCCCGACTCGAAAACAGCAACCCCAAAAAGAAAAATAGAAAAAGATATTTAATTTTTAAAGTAATAAGAATAAAAATTTTTAAACATTTTTTAATTTAATTTTTAATAATAGAAAATTAATCAAAATTCAATTCAAAACAATTCTGACAGTCTTTAAATGTTATTTAATATTTGTTTATGTCTGTTTGATAATAACCCGAATAACAAAAATTTAACAAAAATTATTTTTAAAGATTTAATCAAGTGTCATTTCCGACGAATTAAGAATAATTAAATTGAGTGTGAATTTCTTTTTGTTTAAGTCATTTTAAATTAAATCTTTAGAAAAAACTTTTTGATCTATAAATTAATTTAATTATTATTATTTTTTGTGTTATTTAAAGACCAAAAAATACTATAAAATAAAACCGGTTAAATTTTTATTGAGATTGAAAAATTAAATTTAAAAAATAATTTTTATTTTCCTGAAAAGTTTTAAAATATGTAATTCCAACAAAAAATGAAAACAATCAGGGGCCGTAAAATAAGACTCGGTTGCTGGTTAGGTAACCACCAACCGGCGGTTTTTACCGGTAAAATAAGATGGTCGTAAGTTAACCGTGACCTTGTGGTTAGGTGACAATGGTCGGGCCGAGTTCTTATGTTACGGCCCCAGGAAGGGGATTGGAATGTCACGTCAGCTGACTTTGATTATTTTTTGTATTTAATATTTTTCTACCCAAAAAAGTTAGAAAAAATAAATTTAAAAAATCTGTTTACGAAAATAAATTCACAAAACTTTTAAAATAAATTATATTTTAAGAAAATATTTATTTATTTATAGAAACTTTAAAAATATATTTTTAAAAAATAGTAAATGGTTATTTTTAATTATCAGCTGCTTTTGCAGCAAGGGCACCAAATTGGCGCCTATCAAATGACTAAATTAAAAATAATAAACAAGTGATATTTCTCTCATTTTTTAATTTTATTTTTAGTAGTAATTTGAAGGTTTTTTGATTAAAGTGATTGATTAATTGATAAAAATAAAAATTGGTTTTACAATTTTTGGGTGCAAGTAAATATTTAATTTAAAAATATTTTGAGAGGTGATAAAATGTTAATTAAAATTATTTTTTTTAATATTTGGATGAAATGAATTTTCAGAATTTTTGACTACATTAAAAAAATTTTTTACTACAAATTATTTTTTTCAACAATTTTATTTTCTAATTAATTTGGAGTAATTCAGATGATCGTTGTTTACTTTTATTTTTAATTTTTTTGTTGTAATTTTGCTGAAGAAAAAATTATCAATAACAAATACGATCAAATTTATTTTTTGAGATGGAGTTAGTAAACGTTAATTCAAAATATAAGTACTAAAACTTTAAAAAATAATAAGTGAGTAATTTATTTTTTAATCATAATACGTAATTTTGAAAGAATTAATGTCAGTTTTTTAAATTCTTCTGTATAAACCTACATAGAATAAAAACAATTTTTTCTAATAGTTTTACAATAGGTTTGTTAAATAATTAGTGGATAGTTTAATAAATTTTGTAGGATTTCTTAAAAGCAATATCTCCTAAACGATATCCTCTATTTAAGAGGCTATCCTCATTATCCTCTATCGTCTTATTAATTAGTCTGAAGGGTGTATCTTATATTTAAGGCCGATTTTTATTTAATTTCTTTAAATTAATTTATAAATTTTAATTGTTTTCCAAGTTAATTCATCCCAAAAGTACATATATTTATATTTTTATGTTTGTGTAGACAATATTTTTCTCAATTTAATTTTTAATTATCTATTCAAGCATATAATGACCGGCCATTAACACCAATTAAAAGCCAACAAAATCTTTTCATTTTTTATAAACTATATCTCAACCATAAAATAATTTTTTTTTCGTTTATTTTTAACGGCTGACCAATTTTCGAGAACTTGTGCTGAAACAAAAGAAAAATAAAACAGAAAATGGCGCCAATCAGTCGCTATCGATATACCCCCTTTTCTCTCAATCCTTTTGACATTTTTCGTGATTTTTGTAATTATAATCAATTATACTGATTAAGAACATCCATCCCCCTTCTCTCTTTTTTTCCAATTAAATTAACGTCATTAAAAAAAAGAAAATTTATTTAATTTGTTTAGGGCCTTTTTTTAATTAAAAAGAAATATATATTACAATAAATTAAATTAAATTTAAAAAAAGTTTTTAATTGTAAGAAGAACATTTTACTCAAAGAAAAGATTATTTGGAAATAATTAGAAGAGTATAATCATCTGACAAACAAGGAAGTTAAGAATTAGGAATATTTTTTGTAATAAAATTGGGAATAAAAATACATAAACTACAAAGAATATACATAAACTTACATAAAAAGTTGGTTGTGATTAGGGGTAAAAATAATTAGGGGGTGTAATCACTTATGTATAGGGTTTTCGGTTTTGGACCGAACCGAACCAAAGAACCGATGATTTTTCGGTTCGGATATCGGTTCGGTTCCGGATATCCAAAGATTTTCCAAGAACCGACAACCCTAATTATGTAGGTAATATACCGTAAATGAGCGAATAAATACTCTCAAATAATTTCTACCACTCAATTAATTACTCCATCTAGCAAAAGGCTGAAATAATAATAACCCAGGGTAATTATTCGAGCACATATGTTAATTAAAATATTGACAGAAATAGAGGGAGGCTTGGAACAAATTGATATGAAAAATTAATTTAAAATAGGCACAGGGATGTCAAAAATAAAACGGATGTCACGAGTTATCCAAAACCCAATACTCGAAAATTTTTGAGAACCTGAGCCGACTTTTCACAACTCGTGTCAACTTTGGAAATTGCAAAAAAAAGAAAATACACAATAATTTTGTTTTTATATAGGTATTTTATAGGGTTTCGCCGGAAGTTCCGGTTCCGGTTCCGGGTTCCGGAAGTTCCGGTGTTTTTTTGGTTCCGGTTCCGGTTCCGGGAACCGGAACTCAAATTGGTTCCGGTTCCGGTTCCGGCTCCGGTTTACAAATCGGTTCCGGCCAAACCGGAACTTTTTTACACCCCTAAGGATTGATTTTTTTTTAAAAATTTTAATAAAATACTAGTACTCTCATACTTGTAATAAAAAAATCGAAAGAAATATGTTTATTTTCTTTCAGTTGATTTCTGATGAGCGTGTGTCCGAGTGGTTAAGGGTTTGGGCTTCACTCAATGTGTTAATGATTTTATGTTGGGTTCGCTTCCCAATCGTAGGACAATAAATATTCAAATTTTTCTTTCAATAAATAAATCATTTTATGAGTTTAATTTTGTTTTAAAAATTATTTTATTTTTACATGGAGTAATTAAGGGTTTTTGGCCCTCTAAAATTCTTAAAATATTTCGTATGATTTTTTTGCTTACAGCCTTCTTAAATTTTCAAAATTTTCGCCTGCGGCGCTGAAAAAGAAAGTTGAATGGTATAAAAATTATTTGGATGGATTAATGTGGATTTTGATGTGGACCCCATTACAATTCTGATTCCTTATATCGTCCGATATCAAACACTTATACCACCGAATCCGTTATACACCACTCTCTAACCCAAATATATCACTCATCGCCGACAAATTTTCGGTTCAGTTTTGGTTAATCAAAAGTCTCGGTTAGGTTCGGTTTCGGTTAACCGAAGAAGTTGGTGAACAGACAACCCTACTTAAACTACAAAATTTTAAAAATTTGCTAGCAAAAATTTTTTTAAAAGTTCCGGTTCCGGTTCCGGTTCCGGGCCGGAACTTTGAAAAGTTCCGGTTCCGGTTCCGGGAACCGGAACTCAAATTGGATCCGGTTCCGGTTCCGGTTCCGGTCAAAATTTCGGTTCCGGCGAAACCCTAGTATTTTATCAGTTTTTTCAAAAAATTACATTTAATTTTTAATTTAATTTCAAAATTCCAAAATTATTTATGTATTAGTAATAATAATTCCAATAAAAAAAGTTTTTATATATCGCACTCATTCGGTGTAAATATTGTAATAAGTTTTTGCTCAAGTTTGAATAAAATATTATAAAAAATATATAAACGTCAGTCACACCCAAAATTTTGTGTAAAAATTAATATAAAATTTGGCCAATATTTACGGAATTCAAATATCTAAAGAATGTTAATAATTTTTCGTTTTTTTATTATTAACACATAGGTAAATATCAATTATATATTTATACCTATAAATTTTTAATTTATAGTTTTTTTATGAAAAAAAATCTTAAAAATTTAGACGTCTAGAACTCATTTAAAATAAACTGGAATTAAAGAAATTGTTTTAAATTTCAATTTTTTAATTACTTAAATTTACTATAATAAAATTTTATTACAAGAAATATATAGTTTTAAAAAATTAATTTGTCTAGCCGAAAATTAATTTGTCTGATTTATTCGGTTATTTTTGCTTATAGTACATATTATACTTATTTTGGGGTAAAATTTAAAGATTATTTCGATTATTGTCAAAATGAGATATTTAAATTTATGGGCGGATTGAAAGTACTATGATTAATAGATTCGAAATCTTGCGGTTTTATGATTCAAAATTTAGATATAGATATATACATATTTATTACAAAACACAAATTACAAACAACAAATGAAAATAAATATATTTAACATTTGTAAATATCGAATAAGGTTTTTATTTTTTATATTTCTTTACAATATTCTAGACAAAACTGGCAACATCTAGGCAAAGCAAATAGCATCCTATCATTATCCAATCCGAAGACCATCAGCATTTGAACGTTCCCACACTTGCCAATAAGTTCTCCTCACTAAAATTTAAAAAAAATTTTATATTATAATTTATCTCTCCAGCTACCTCTGGCAGACTCTGGCGGTTTTAACGTCGTCATACTCATTGTCCCAGGCCCGTCGACGAGCAGGTGACAAACCAAAAGCCGTATTAGTCTCCGAATTGCTGATGGCCGTAGTGACTCCAGACTCTCCTCGAGGAGGCGAACGAGAACGGGCAGAACGAGTAGAGAGCAAATCTGTTTTTTAAAAAAGATTATTTTAAATTTTAATGGTTGAGTGTGTCAATACAAACCATTCGGCAACTCATCAACGAACGATGCTTGCTCGCTGGCATTATCTGTCTGAAGAAATAAATAAACATTTTTCCAAGACAATTACTCAAAATCAAACACACCTCTCCCCCTGTGTTGGTCTCCCCACTTTGCTCACGCCCTCCGCTGGTACTTCCCGAACGACTGCTGCTCCTTCTAGTTGACCCCGAAGTTCTGCCGGTACCCGATTCATTAGATTGATGCACACTCGTGTCACTTCTCTCACTCGATGCTACGTCACTACGGATGCTTTCTTCGTTGCCGTCCTCCTCTTCCTCCCCTCCTTGTCCCACCTCCTCCTCTTCTCGGTCACCGCGCATCTGCTCAATTTGGTCGTCGGAATCGTTTAGGACTAACTGAAAATTAAAAAATAATTTTACAAAGTTAATAAAGAAAAAAGAAAAGATTTACATTTCTGGCCATTTGAACAGCAGGACGAAGCAGAGAATTGTAGAGAGAATCCATCGCGTAACAGCACACTGGAAACTTGATGTTGTTTAGATGTTGGGTTTAAATTAAATCTTAAGTTTTCCTTTTATACCAAAAATTTTAATTATTTATAATCCCTCCAAAAACATTCTATCAAAGCATGAGATCAGATAGCATTCAACTTTTAAATTTCGTTCAATTAAATCCTATCTGTAGAATTTTAATTAACGTAAATGCTGAAGTAACGTCCCTCTCTCAAATAATTATCACGCCCCTATCAATTACCCCCCCCCCCCCCCACCAGCGAGAGATCGAAAAAATAATTACCTGGGTAATTATTTTAGCTAGATACAATACCATGGTCGTTTATACACCCACCTAATTTAAAACCTTTAAGAGGAATTTAAAAAAAAAACAAATTAGAATTCTTTATAATCTCAAACAAAAAATATACTTAAAATATTTGTATAGGAATGACAAAAAAAACAATTATTTTTATTTATTTATTTTTATCCTATTTCTTTAGCTGCTTGTTCATATTGCCATTGTGCTACTTTCCCCGTAACCATCATTCCAAGTGTTACAATAACCTTTAAAAAATTATTTTTTAATAAAAATATTTCCTCTTTTACCGTTGTAAATGCAAAAACTATAAGAAATAAACGATCCAATATTGTAGCAAGAAATTCCCATTCAAGAGAGCATTGTCTCTTTACCTTCATTGCATTAACCTCGGCTGCTACAGAAGTTCGTTTCTTTCCTTTTTTGGATTTATTACCTCCAGCTGTAGGAGGACGACTTGCATCTCCAGGCAATTCTCCTTAATTTTTAGAGAATTCTTAAATTAATTTCTTGGTTAACAGAAAGGAAGAGAAGTCCCCTATCCCCCTTCCTTCCCTCAATCTTTAATTTAATCTTCTCACTTTGTCTGGGACTAACAACTCCAAGTCCATCAATTGCATTTTCCCAATTAGTGACAGCTTCAGAACTTCGTCTAGAAGATATTATATTTAAATTAAGGTCTGTTTGTTGTTGTGAACGAATACTTGGTTGTGTTGTTCTATCAGACTTTAAAAAATTATTAAAAATAATCTTTTAATTAAACTATACTTGATCACTTTTCCTACTAATTATTGAGCTAACTCTTAACCAATTCTTTTTTGCTCTGCCTATTGTAGTTGTTGAATTAATTGGTGAGACTTTTCGATGCTGATGATCAATACCATTTAAATTGTTTGGACTAGGTGGAACTACAAATGAGCCTATAAATAGAATAAAAATAAATAAATTGCGAGTTCAGTCTCTGTTATAGTTTCTATTAGTGTTTCACCGGAACCGAAATTTTGACCGGAACCGGATCCAATTTGAGTTCCGGATTCCGGAACAAAAAAACGCCAGAATCCGGTGAAACTCTAGTTTCTATGCACCCTCCCTTAAACTCTTAGTCTATTATTACTCATATTTTTCTGACTAAAGCCCAAAAATATCAAAACTATAAACTTATTATATACAGTTTAGACGTATACGACCTCTAATACTTAAGGATTAGGGGATAACATGCTTAAAGTGCCTTAAATTATATCACCCCATATTCAACAATTAATTAATTGCCAATTAAAAAGAGAATCTAAATTAAAATTTAAAAAGAATTTACCTTCTAAAGCAAAAGAAGGTACTTTACTTCGATTGCCTTCTCTAATTGACTGCTTTAAACTACTTCTTAAAGATCTACTTAAACGACGATTTTCGATCTTTTCAAACCGTTCAATTGAAGCTCTTCTTCTAGCGGTAAGTGGATGATCATTCATTTCTTCCCACAAAGTTAATAAAGGTGGGGGAACGGCCAATAAAAGGAATTTTGCAAGTTTAACAAAGAAAAGATGCCTAATCCATAAAGAAGGTAATTGGCCGTATTGACGCCTTCCTTGAATTGAAAGAATAACACTGGTAAGAAATGTACCTATTGAAATTATCTAAAAAAGAAATAAAAAGGTGTTAAATTTAATAAAAATATATTCCTAGGATGTATTTTTATTAAGCAAATTAAAGCCTCAAGAATCCCCAAATAAAAGCTGTAAATATTGCACTCCCTCCCTTCACTCCCTCCGACCACACACCCCCTCCCTACAAGCCACATTTAACAGTTGAGAGTTGATGGGATCACTTAAGCACTTATAAAAAAATTTCTGAATTAAAACTTACAACAATAATAGAAAGATAAAACCAAGCAATTAAAGGCACAAATTCACTCGTTGTTGGCATTTGGTCGCTGACCTATTTTTTAAAATTTTAATTAAAGACCAGTAAATATTTTTAAACTTTTATTTTCCTTACCATAAGCATAAGAATAGACATTGCTAATAAAGTTGTAATTCCCAAATTTATTTTTTCTGTTCTGTCGTCTGCTGTTGATGCTGGGGTGAAAAATCCGGTAATAGCTACTAATGTAATTATTGAAGTTGGAAGAATTAAATTAATAACATAATATAAAGGTTTTCTTCTAATAACTATAGATGCTTCTAAAATAACCCAAGGCTCTGGACAGCAAGCATATTTGTACTTGAAAATTTTTAAATTGAGAAGAGATTCATATACTTGGGGATGTCATTAAGAGGTCCAATGTCATTAAGAGGTCCAAACAAGGATCGCCTGACCCAACTATTTTTTCCAAAAATTGAAAATGGGGTCTTGTATGGTGCGATCCATGGTCCAAATTAATTTACATCCGCCCTTAAAAACTTGAGATCTTGACACAAATGTCTTGACTAGAGTTAACCCTTAAAATATCTTTGAAACAAAAATTCAAGTAATCCAAGGCAAAATTTTCGGAGAGTATTTACTAAATAATTTCAATATTTATATCTACCTCGTGTCTAAAAATTCTAAAAGACATTACATCCCATTCTTCATTAGAAATAAATGATGCTAGATTAACTTCTGGATCAGCATAATAGTCAAGTGCTGATTTGCTGTTAGTCCAAGAAGAAATAGTTAAAGTACAATTTTGTTGATCGTAAGGGAAATACCTAAAACGGAAAAATAAAAGAAATGTTAATAGACCAGTTTTTTAAATTAATTTTTCTAATATGAGAATTTACTTTGAGAACCCCAAAAAAGTATTTGTCCTATAGTGAAATATGTAAATTAATTGGCTTAAGGAATCCGTGTTGAATTTATATATTTTTTGAGAATTACCATAACCAATTAAGGTCCATTTAACCAAATCTTTTAAAATACAAAAATTAAATTTACCTAATATTTAACCGGCAAGTTACAGTATAAATAGCTGGATAAAGGAAAGACATATTCGACCCTCTTTCTCTCTCCCAAAAAAGAGAATCCGCTCTAATATTCATATATCTTTCTGTTTCCTCAGCCTTTTTTAAAATTAAATTTTATTTTCACAATTAATTTAAAAATACATTCATAACAACAGAATTGTATAAATAAGTATCAGGAATCCATAATACTTCATGAGGCAAAATTGTACTGTTAATCATATCGTAGTCTCTAAAAAACTTTTTTAGATTTTGTATAATAAAGAGGATTCTTCTTTATTTTCCCAAATTTTATTGAATAAAATTATCAAAAAATATTTATTTTCCCATTTTTTAGCTACCTAGGATCCCAATGAAGCATTTCATCTTTCCATTTTTGTATCATCCAAACATTCATTTTAATATTTTGTGCGGGTTCATTAACATCAATAATTTGATATAAACTCATTGAAATATAAATTTTTAAAGGTTTGGAATGGTTATTTACTGGACGAACTCTAACATCTTTAAAAAATAAATATTTAAACGTTAGTCCAAAAATAAATAATAATTAGATTACCATATCGTCCAGGTGCCAGAATATCCCTAAAAGTTTAACTGATTAAAATAAATTTAGAATAGCTATTTCCAAAAATGACTACACCCATAGATATAATTTGTCACCTTTTCCGAGGAAATGAAAAAAAGTTCTTTCAATTAACTCAGATTCCAAGCCTCAATTCCGATTCTTTTCCAAAAGAAATTTATTTTCCAAGTTACGATTTCCCTTAATTCAAAGTAAGTTCCTCCAATTTTCCACCCCAATTTCAAGTGTGGAAAAAATGAGAATCCCATAGGATGGAAGATTGGACAAAAAAATTATTTTCTGATCGCAACCCCAAAACATATTTTTTGAAAATTTCCCCTCACTTTGTAAGCCTCATCAAAGGAACAGTAGAAACTTGAAAATTATTATGTGATTGTCTCGTATCATTCCTCATTTTAAATTTTCCTTCATATCTTCCATTAATTTTATTTTCTTCTTCTTGTAAAGGAAAAAGAAATTCAACAGAAGAATAAATTTGTGGCCTATTTTTATTTTTTCTTTTATTAATTGCTGATTTATTTATTTGGTATTCATTTGAAGATGAGGAGGATATTGCTTCGTTTGAATTAATTTCTGAAGAATCTTTTCTGTTTGTTATTAATTGAGGTTTAGATTGGGGTTGTTGTGTCCATTTAAAGTTGCCGTCTGAATTTGAAATTTTGTTTTTAAAAGAAATTTTTTTAATTAAAAATTTCAGACCATTTTCAATTTCCTCATATTGAGAAGAATTTACTCTTGAAGTAAAAATAACAAAAATAATTAGAAAAAATTGAATGAAAAAGAAGATAATTGAAGGCATAATCTGTAATGAGAAATTAAAAAATTAATTTTGGAATAAAAATAAATAGAATTAATTTTGGATAAATCCAATAAAAGAAAATAATTTTTAATTAAAATATTTTTAAATTAAAAAGCACATGTAATATACAAATTAAAATATTTTAAAGTTATCTCGTGGAAAATAAATTCTAAAAATTGTTTTTGACTATTTTAGAATTTGAAAATTAATTTTTAATCTCGAGAGAAAACTTTAAATAAAAATAGAGGCAAATTAAGTAGGTAAGAAAAAATAAATAAAAAGGAAAGATCAATGGCAAGCAAAGAGTAAAAATGGCCATAAAGGAAAGAATTAAATACATAGGTAACTAATTTTAATAAAATAAAAGCAAATCTTAATTAATCTCACCCAACTTAAGGAAGATGAGTCTTGATATTATGGTAATTAATAAAAAATAAAGAAAAATAAATTAATAGGGGAGGGAGGGTCCTTCAAAATTTTGCTGTCCATTTAATTAATCTTCGCTGTAATTATCAAAGGCTGAATTTGGATTGCCCCAATGAAGAAAACCTTAAAATAATTTAATTTTATTGGTAATTATATATTTTTAAATTACCAATATAATTAATTCCAAGTGAGAGACAAAGAAATATTGAAACAAAAACAATAAAACAACAACGCTTAAAAATTAAAAAAATTATTTTGAATTAAAGCAAAAATTATTATTGAAAGAGTGTAGCAAAAGTTTAGCCACCGAGCAGGATTCGAACCTGGGGTGAGCGCATTGAGTTTTGCGTTGTTTGCGTTAAATTTTGGCCTTGCTTGCGTTTTGTGTTATTTTTGACGAAAATAACGCAAAAATACAACTAATCTGTGGACACAAATTGAATAGATCTACAGCTCGCGACCCACATGTCCGCAAAGGCATTTCTTCAAAAAAGTAATGCCTTTTTTGTAATTTTCCTAAAAAAGTTCCCAAACACTCAAAACAAATTAAACATTCAAAAGAATGTGCATCTCCTAAAATACAGTATTTTTAGATGACATTCTACATACAAATAAAATAAGTGAAGATTCTGATTCATGTTTGTTGATAACGTTTAGTTGGAAAATATCAGACAAATGTAAATTTGAAAAGCCTTCAGCACAAATTGTAAATAGAGATAACTTACTAAAAAATAAACTAGGATGCATAAAAATAATTTTTTAAATTCACATAAGCATAAGCTACTATAAAAACAGTTGAATTTTCAATACTAGCAACCCTTCGACAACTAGATCAGTAGTATCTTACCGGGTTTTACTACAAAAATAACGTTTTAAAATCCGGTTTTACTACAAAAAAAGAAAATGATATCTTTTGTGTAGTTACCACCTTTAATCAATTGGTAAGGGATTAGTACTATTGTAATCAGTTGTTACTCAATTAACACACAATACACTTAAAAATTTTAAAAAATTTTATAATTAAAAAAATTTTAAAATTTTACTTAAAAACACCAATTAAAAAATCAATTAAAAACCCACTTATAAAACCACTTAAAAAAATTCAAAAAATTTTATAAAAAACCCCCACTTAAAAAACCACTTAAAAACCACTTAAATAACCACTTAAAAAATTTTTTAAAAATTTTTAAAAAATTCTATAAAAAACAACCCACTTAAAAACCACTTAAAATAATTTAAAAATTTTAAAAAAATTTAAAAAAATTTTTAAAAAAATAAAAAATTTTATAAAAAAAACCCCCACTTAAAAAACACTTAAAAAACCACTTAAGAAATTTTAAAAAATTAAAAAAATAAAAAATTTTATAAAAAATACCCCACTTAAAAAACCACTTAAAAAATTTTAAAAAAATAAAAAATTTTATAAAAAATACCCCACTTAAAAACCACTTAAAAATTTATAATTAAAAAAAATTTTAAAAATTTTAAAAATTAAAAAAGTTTAAAAACCCCCCACTTAAAAACCACTTAAAACCCCCACTTAAAAACCACTTAAAAATTTTATAATTTAAAAAAATTTTAAAAAATTTTAAAAATTTCAAAAATTTCACTTAAGAAAACACTTAAAAATTTAAAATGGTTAAAAAATTTAAAATTTTAAAATTTTAAAAAACTTCACTTAAAAAACAATCACTTAATAAAAATTAAAAAAAATTAAAAAATGTACCTTCGATTTCGATTAATGGATAAGAGAGGAATTCCATTAATTGAAGACATGCACAAGGGTTATGGGGGGAAGGTAATTAAATGCACGAGTAAACGACAAAATTATTAATAAATATATTATGTATTTATTATTTAATTTTAATTTTTATGTAATTTTATTTAGTTTGTAATTTTTATTTATTTTTAAATTTTATTTATTTTTTATTTTTATAAGAAATTTTTATTTTAATTTAAATTATTATTAGAGGAAAAATATTAATCTAAGCTAAAAACTAGTAAAAATAATTAAAAGAAAACAATTGTGTATTAAAATTTTATTCTGAGCGCAGCAACAATACAAAAATGAGGAAAACAATAAAGCTAACAATTAAATATCTCAAAAAAGATAGGAAACGCTATCTAGTAAAGGGGCATATTTTAACATATCTATTCTTCATTTGTCACAACATCTATACATTCAAGTGGATAAAAATATTGGTGATTCTTTCCTCCAAAAACACATAGGACGGGTAGACGTGGAAGATAAAGGTTTATTCGATGACGGACATAGAAGTATTGCCTAAAAATGAAGAATATTAATAACAGAAGAAAAATAAAATTACCTTATTGTAACACGAAGATATCCTCTGAGAGCAAATACATGATCAGCGCCCAATTTTGTAAGCTTACAAGGATACAATTCCATCTGAAATTTATGTAAATGGTTTGTTACAAGTCCTTTATTTTTCATTGGAGCGTATCCATCCATCAATAGTTTTTGTCCGATTCCCGCTGAAATAACCTCTTCTTCAGTCATTCCAGATAGTTGTTGAATATATTTTAGATTTTCTTCCATTCTTTTACGCATAGCACAGTGCAGAGTTTCAGGCGTGCATCCTCCATTAAACTGACAAAGCAGACTAACAAGGGATGTTTTTTTAAGGCAAGGCGTGGGAGGCTTGGAATCGATATCGTTTCGTTTTTCCCTCCATTGAGTAAAAGCAGAAGTTGAGGTTATACACGAGGTTCGCATGTTGATATTTTGTTAGTAAAATCTGCGCCTTTTATACACTCGCAAGACGAACAGCTTCATTTATATTAGTGCGATTAAAGAAACCATTTCGAGCCTGATAGAAGAATAGTAAAAGAAAAATAAATAGTATGTATAAGATATAAGCAAAACCTAATAGAAAATTTTGTTGAGGAGGCATAATGATTTCGCTATCTATAAAGATTGTATTATTTTCATAAGGATTACGGGGGAAAGGAAGAATTAATTCGGAAATAACCATCATAGAATAGAATATAAGATACAATGCTACCGGTCTCTTATATACCAAGTGCTAATTTGTGAACAAAATTTCTTAGAGCGATATCACGACCTTCAGGGGGTATAGAGTGTAATTTCTGTAGGACTTTGGAAAATGTTCCATAAATTGAACGTAATACTAAAAAGCAAATACAATAATGACCGCACGTGTCAGAGAAAGGTGATTGTAAAACAAAACGGTTTTGCTTAACATTTGAATAGTTTGAAAGTAAGGATCGGCGCATCTCACAATTAGGTTCTTCAGCGAAAGAATCAAAGTATTCTATAGTGTCCGCTTTATCAGAATAACAGGCAATCCAATGTTCTCCTCTAGTTCCTTTACGCATTGTATTTGCAATAAAGCAAAAATTATTTTTTTAACAGAGGAAGGTATATTATTTGAAGAAAAAACCCCAATAAATTTATGTTTTAACGGTTCATATTTTTGCATAATAGTTTGAATTTGCAGCGAATTCATACTGATCCATCAGTGCTTAAAACACGATCAGCATTTATGGACAGAATTGAGTCAAACTCACCCATGATAATCATTTCATATCCCTCCTCTTTTACAGGCTCATTGAAAAGACACCTAACAGTTGTTGTGCCCTGTCTTATGAGTTCTAGACCATTTGTATCCTCAAGAGTTGAAGTCATAGGTATAACAAAGAAGCATGAAGATTTTGAAAATTCTTTCATACCGATACTAAGAGTTCTTTGCTCAGAGTTTGGCCATGCATCGAGATCCATACCTGAATACATATCAACATAGGCGCGCACAAAATTATTATTTGCAAAGTCTAGATCATAAGGAATAGAAGGGAACTGGAAGCCTCCAAATTCTGCTGAAACTGAACGAACATTAGCATTTTCAAAAGTAAATGGAGAAAGAGTAGGGACACCAGTAAATGCAGAAGAATTTACGAAACAAATTATCAAGCGTCTTGGGCATGTACTGGTAAATGCAGCGTGTGTAATTTCCTGGCGTCCTTTTCCAAGAAAAACACTGCGAATTTCATTCTTTTTATAAGCATATTTTGCGGGAGTTTGCTCTAAATGTCTAGCAATTGCATTATTTAGTGACATACTTAAGTCAACCTGCTTCACATAAATTCTCATATCATGAAGTCGTAGACGGTAAGTATGAGGGTTATTTACAAATTCTGCACCCGCCGCATTCGGAGGTATTATTCTATACTTGGGCGCGTGAATAAGAAACTCGTCAGAATTTCTATAGATGGTCCATATAACGTCGCTATGTGGAACTAAGAGCTGATTCTGCCGGGCGAAATCATAATCTAAATGAGAAATCATTCTACAGACCTTACCTTTAGAAAAACGTGAAAGACGAGATTTAAATCCTGCGCCTTCAAAATCATCTTTATCTAACACATCTTTGTAATAAAGTGAAGCCTCATACAGACCTCTACTTACTTCACGATCCGCACCAAGTTCATGAAGAATTATACATCTATAGGCATAGTGGATGCCTGAGTCAAAACATTGAGTACCGTTAATAGAAAGAGTCAGACGACGAATCCATGTAAGTCCTAGGTATTGAGCAACACTAATGAACCGATCCCCTTTGAAATCACCGTAACCGTCGGTAATTGGAACCCACTCACCAGTTTCGTCGATTTTTCTTTCAAGTGATAAATTTAAGTGGAAATAAGTCTTGCTTAGATCAAGATAGAGAGAGTCCCCAAAGTAACGAAAAATAAAAGGTCCTGCAGACTGATTGAGAGCATTAAGTGGAAGTAATTCCTTGTATGATGAACGCTGAATTCCTACATTTGTAGCAGGAACAGAAAAGAATGTAATTCTATTATCAACTCCTTCTGCACTATCCTTATCGATTTTCTTTATTGTAGTCATTGTTGCGATAAAATTCTAGTTAATACACTTATATACTACTACTTAATTGGTCTTTATAACGGCGTTTATTGGTTGTTTGCTTGCCTTTCCCGCATTGCTGCAGCTTTTTACCTACCTTTTGTAAACCCTCACTACCGTGTTGTTGTAGTGCTTCCTTAATTGATCTACCTTGTGCAACATCTTCGAGTACGTTTCTTCCCGCAGCTACAGCTTCTTGTCCAGCAGTAGTTGCTAGATTTTTGACAATCGGCAATAGTAAACGTCCAACAGAACCAAACAAGCCAAAGCCTCGCTGGTATCGTGTCCCTTGAAAGTAAGGACTACTGTCCTTGATTGCCAGCCCTCCTCCCTCTTGGGCATTCAAAAAAGGATCCCAATCAATGCTATCCAAATCAATAGCTACGTGGGTCATTTAAAATAGCGACCGTTGAAAATGTAAGGTTATAATACAATTACCCCAATGGAATTTCACGAGTTTTCCAGTCAAAGTTCTAATTTCTATAGTTATATCAGGATGTCTTTTACCTTGTAAACGATGATGATGTTCAGTCATATATACTTCCGAAACGCTATCTCCTGGTTTACCACTGACGTTTACGACTCTTAGAAGAGGAGCTGTTACGTTTCCGATAATACTATTCTCAACTAATTTTGGTGCATATACTAATAGTTGGCGAACTCCTCCAGAAATGTCGGGCATATACTTAGCAACATGGCCAGAGTAAATTGTTTGAGATTCAAAACCAAGAGTATATGCCAGTTGTTTACTTAATTGAATATATTTTACATTACCCTGAAACCAAAACCAAAAACGATTGTGAGTTAGGTCGTGATGTACGGAGACCCATTGATATCGAGGATCAGATAATTGAATTTTGTTTAAATCAAGAAGTTTCTTTTGGTATTCTGGGGGATAGCCATATTCTGTAACTTCCGTATTATCGGCATCTCTTCTCCGTCGAAAAAACCCTCCATAAATTCTTTTCTTTGCTTCTTCATTTTCCTCTTCTAATCGTATTTTTTCAAGTTCTTTTTCCCAAACGTCTAATAAAAATGAATTTAATGCTGATTCCAATGCAGCTTCCGAAGAAAAGAATAAATCTGGTATCTCTATGCGAGTTGAGCGAACCTCATCCTTATATGTTCTAAATACGGTTATTGATTCGGTTTCATTAGTTTCTGAGTCATCAAGTAAAGAAAATGAAAACGGGTAAATAATATTCGATAGAGCAACTGTCCAGGTTGAATCTAGTTCAAGAGTATCAGGCATGCGAACTGTGAATTTTGACGTGGTATTCCCGTCAACATCTTCAGTGTTTGATGGCAAAATTACATAAAAAGAATCCATTATCGTACAATATCGGTATCTTTAATCCAACTGTTATGTGTATCCTTATATCCTATCCAACGAACAAAATGTTTTAATCCTTCGCGAGTTCTACGTGTTTTCAATATTTCAGCTATTCTGTGCGTGGTATCTAGAGATGTGGGAACCAATTCCTCAAGATAGAATATTCCTTCAATTTCTTCTCCGTTTAAATCTTCGAGGCGATATATAGTAGGGACGCGATTATCGTTAACAGTAACAATACGGAAAAGCTCGTCAGTGTAATTGGCAAAATATCCTTTTTCAAATTTTCCTTTTTCTTTAGCGATTCTAACAATTTGTCCAGCGTTAAGTTTTTGTTTTGATCCTGTATGATTATAATTTTCCTTATATAGCCTCTCGAAAAGTTTTCTAGCGTTTTTAAAGTTTACAGAATTCGGAGTTACCCCTGTTACACGATTTACACTTGCATTGATTCCATCTACTATATTTTGAACAGCGTCTACCCAACGAAGTGTATTTTTCTGGCTAAAATAACGATAAAGTCTTTCTTTTATTGTACGATTAGCACGCTCGGCCATTGAAGCATGAACATCAGGACTAAAAACAACACGCTTATCTATGTCTTTAGAGGCGAAATAATCTCGCATTTTCTTGGCTTGAAACTCTAAGCCTCGATCTGTATAAAGTCTATGTGGAAGAATGCCTTTATTCGCAGAAAATATTTTTTCGAATGCCTCTATCATATTCTCAGAATGTTTAGATTTAACAGGAGCAACTAAAATTTTTCTGCTTAATACATCAATGCAAACTAGTAAATATTTATATCCTTCATTTTGTGCAGCAAGTTTATCAAATATTGCTAAGTCACCCTGCCAATCTGTATGAAGACCGCTAGGTCTTGTAGTGAGTCGTGAGAAACGTCTTCTTGCAGGGTAGTGCATAGTATATACACGTTGTTTATGCATGAAATCATGCACATCCTTCATTTTTAGCTTGGGATACTTAAGACGCGCTTCTTCATAAACACGACGAATTCCCGCATAAGAGGCTGGCGAGTTAAGCGAATAATAAACTTGTTCCAAATGTTTTTCTAGAGTTTTTCCCATATTTTTGGTACAAATTTCTTGTTTTGAGAATTTATACTTACCAACACACGTTTCCTCTTTTTTCCTCTTCCAGATTGGCTACTGCTACTCTCATCGGATGTGGTTTCTTCCCCCCGTGATGCACGAATCATTTCCTTAACTAGCGGATCTTTAGCAATTCTTCCAAAAAGGAAACTGAATCCTTTAGATATAGTCGGTCTTTCACCAGTAATATATTCAATTACATGACTAAAGTTACTTTCCTTAATACTTCTACCGCGAACATTTGTGTCAAAAGTCCCATCATCGTGAATTAAAAATTTTTCTCTGTTTTGGCCTATGTATTCCTCCAGATCGTCAGCGAACCTTTTTGAAATAATTCCTTTGAAAGGTGATACTCTTCTTGAATATGTTCTTTTATTCACAGGCGTATTTAATTCTTCCTTCTTAAAATCATCGAATGGTCTTTTTGGTTTACTACTCTCAAGGTATGGAACTATATCAGGTACAGTATTATCTTGAATTATTACTTTGTGAGGACGATTTTCTATTTTTTGTTTTAATTGTCGTCTTTGATTATACAACAAATTATATTTTTTAGCACGCGTTTCTTCATTTATTTTTGGATCTTCAAGAGTATCCTTTATCATAGCGTCAGTTTGTGCCTTCTCGGTGTGCATAAAATCAGATTTACCTTTTATCATCTTAAGTAGTGTAAGATATTCAATCTCAGGTATCATTATCATTTTCTTTGTGTGCTTCATTCCGTGATTTTATGGATGATATGTTCTGCTAGGGCACCTAGTATAGGTACGAGTATTGCTGCGAGTGCTGGGCTGCCTCCCTCTTGTAAACGTTTGCGAGCACTTTTTTCGGTTCTTGTTCTAGCTATTTTGCGATAAAAATCTGCAAACTTAGCTAGCTTCTGCCTTTGCCTCCTATTTAGTATAAAATTATGTTTTAGTACGTTGGCACAAATTTCAACGATGGCTAAAATTTGATCAGCACTAGCTTTTAGGATTATCGAATTTTTCTTTTTATCCGAACTAGTCTTAGCTAATTGTTGAAGAAATTGATAATTTTCGCGAATATATGGGCTATAATTGAGCGTCATTGTTATTATAATATATTATAAGGGTAAATATATACACTGTTTTTCACCTGGGAATATATTCGTAGAAAGCCGGAGGTGCTCTTCAGCATTTGGATGCATATTTATCAAAAGGTACGAGAATCTTTCCGAAGTTGCATCACGATAAGCCTCTAGGAAATAATCTAACTTTTTTGGAAATAGTTGCGACCCCATTGTCCTTACTTGCAACAATCCCTGTGGATTTTTTGTCAAGAGTATATAATGCGCATTGGCTCTTGCAGTCTTAATATTACGGCCATAGAGAGACTGGGTAACAAAGATAATACTCACATTCCAATTATGAGAGCCCTTTGTAAAAAGGAGATCAAGAAAATCATTTCCAATATTTAACATAAGGTCGTCGAGTACAAGAAGTTGATGTTTTTTAATTAGTTCAGGGTCTGGCACTCCATTATAAGTTGTAATTCCCATTTGCTTAAGTTTAAAGATGGTCTCATTAATTTCTCCAAAGCAGTATAATATTTGTTTTGGTGGAGGATCAACAAGCACTTGGCAGTTTTTAAGAAATTTAAGAAGCCATTGAGTTTTCCCACTACCCGTAGCTCCTGAAATAATCATTGTAAAAGGCGATTGAAACATTGTTATATACTTTTAATATTTTTGTAAAGTCTATTTATATTAATACAACAGTTCTTGATGTATGGTTAAGTGGTATTATGCTATGTTCTCTAATGCTAATCTCGTTACCTCCAAAACTAAAATACATGTAATGGTAGCTAGTTATGGATGTGACGGAATTAGCTTTGGAAAATATAGGATAATACCATTTAGTCATATATTAAGAACTTTTTATGTCTTTAAAACGTGGTTTAGTGGGTTCTGCTTAGACTGTACTACTAAGACACTTATTAAGGACTTTTTGCTATGGATAAACCACAAATTCAGAACGTAGTTTCAACAGTTACGCTACTAAAAGAGATTCTAGATCTTGAAGTTATTTCTAAAAACATTAAAAACTCCAATTACAACCCAAAGAAGTTTTCAGCTCTCATTATTAAAAATTTTGAGCCTATTCGTGCTACAGCTTTATTATTTTCAAATGGAAGACTTGTTTGCGTCGGAACGAAATCCTCTTCCCTGGCTAAAGAGGCTACAATAATATTTGTTCAACAAATAGCTAGTGCGCTAAATGAGACAACAATCGCAATGGATAAATTTAAAATCCAAAACGTTGTTGCTTCATTTAAGTTTCCAAAAACACTGAACCTCCCAGGTAATACTTAAAATTTTTCAATTAAAACTATCTTAAGCACTCTATGACACTATGAGGATTGTGCCTTCTGACTTGTTTGAAAAACACATTTCATTTAATCAAGAAATATTTCCTGGAATGTGCCTAAGGATAAGAGATTCTAGAATTGTTGTTTTGCTCTTCAATTCGGGAAAATGTATAATAACAGGAGCAAGAAACGAAGAATGTATTTTAAAAGTTTATCCGAAAATTAGCAATACAATTTCAATTTTTATGAAAAATTAAAATATACATTCGTTTATTTCTTTTCGAAGTTCCATCAACAAATCTCCTAATTTGTTTTCGCCATCCCATGAACTTGGATCACTTAAGCGATGAAGATCCGAAGACCAAATACCACATGTCCAATATTTATTAACTTCAGTCGCTTCAGCTATTAAGGCATTGCCAGTTTCACGAAGTTGCTTAAAGAGTTGCACATTTTGAGTGAATTTTGCCCAAAGACCCATGTACATGATCTAGGAATTCTATTATTTTGGCATTTTTATTCAAAATACCTTATCCCGCACTTTATTCCATTCATCACTTTTAAATCCTCTAATACGATGACCAATGCGGGTTATTTGATCAGGATTTTGTAGTTGAAGAATATGTTCCGCAATTTCAAAATCTGCGAAATAACGAGCTTTTTGCCATGTGAAGTATTTCTCCATTGTTGTAAAATTTATTCCAAGCACCGAGAATCGTGATGGGAATCTGTTACTGAAGCCACATGTACGGGACGACTGAAAAATAAATATTTTTTGTCCTTCTTTTCCAATTATCTCTGTTGGAGGATGTGAATTATAACACAGTGGTTCTTGATTTACATTCAATTTTGTAAACTGTCCAGAAAGATTTACTAAAATTGAAAATTAAGCTAAATAGAAAAAATAAGTATACCCATATCCGGATCACTGATCATTGCTTTAAGTTCTAAAATTTGTTAAAAATATTAATAGAGCGTAAAAATATAGACGATATCAAACGTTAAATTAATAAAAATTAAAAATTAAAAATTTATTCAATAGGATTAGAAATGGGTGTTCCTCTATATCCATAAGGGTAACAATCAAGCTTATCATCAATAATTCCTTTGTCGTAAATAGGTGCGTAGCGACTAAATATATATTTATTTCAGAGCAGAAATTTTAATTATACCGTTTCTGCGAGCGTGTTGAGACTTCCCCTTTGCGCCAGTTGGGACGGAAATGTGTTCTTTCAAGTACAATTGGATCCTGATCCTTCCCATAGGCGTTGACCATTTTCTTGAAAAAATATTTGTTAGTGTCATATTTATATTTTACCTTTAATTGATCATAGTCAAGAGGAGAATCCGCGCTATCCCAACATCCGCGACATTTAACAACATATTTTATCTCCCCGCTCTTTGTGCGCATCTTCATCGCGTACTATAATAAAAATATTAAGGCATTAAAAATTAACACTGACCTGTTTACATCCTCCAATGTAAATTGATACAATGTGATTATCCTCATACTCTCGACTCATCATTCCAAGCATGTCACCTACTTGGAACGGAGGAGACTTTCCCTTTGGATGAACAATGTAGCAGCTGTCCGTATCAGTATAAAGTAGTTTACAGTCTGGGTCGTTGAATATTTGGTCCATATAGTCGTATAGGAAAACTCGAGCTGTTGCTGTCGTTATAAGAGCAATCACAATGTTATACTTGTCGTGCGGCCGAACAAATTCCCTTTTTGATTGATAAGGGACGGAGAATAGATCGGTAGCAAGCATCTCCACAGCCCCGACTTCTAGCTTAGGATCATTAAGTACTTCATGTAATTCGACGGGTGAACGAGTGATGAGATCCTTTAAATTACTTTATAAATTATTTTTTTAATTTTTCTACCTTCGATAGATTGCATCTGAGAGCCCATCTTCCCCACCTAAAATTTTTGTTATTTATGAATTGAGTAAAAACAAACAAGGAATTGTTGCAGCTTTTAGCCATGTAACGCATTCCTTCATTTCGGGCAATTTTCTCTTTGTCCAATTTTATCCCATATTTTTGCTGATTTCTCATTAAGAATTCCTGTTTAAGCTTTTCCTCGTTGCTAATATTTGTCGGGTCAAGAACGGCGCTTGGCCAGCCGCTTGCTTCAATCTTCAGTTTCATCATATCTTGAACATAAGGACGCAGAAGTTTGTCTGTCCACTGTTCCCAATGCTATACACTGTAGATCCATGTTGCTCGATATCCCTTCTTCAGTGCAAGTTCTAATTCTACAGTACAGACTGTTGCAACATAACCTCTCTTCTTTTCATCGTGTGTACAAAGATTGCGTCCCAATTTTTGCGTATATTCATACTTCATTCTCCAAGAAAAACCAGTTGGAGCTTCAATGGCACATTGATGGCATAGATGGAAAACCTAATTTTTATATTAAAAAAGGATTTTAAAACTAACCAATTTGCCGTTAATTCTTTCTGGAATAACTGGAAGGTAAAGATCATCAGGAGGAATAATAAATAATTTAAAAATTCTTCGATACGGAAACAATTGATCAGGACGTCTCCAGTCAACAACCTTATTGAGTTGAATCACCTCAGGGTGGCCTAATTACTTATTTTTTGTTAATAAAAATTATTTACCGATTGGATAATATCCATAAAAATTCACTGCTGGATATAGGCTAACAACATCGTAACAGGTAATTTCATATTCATTCGCTTGTCCAGATTCTTCCAGATCACATTTTAAACTCTGGGGACCCGTTCTTCCGCCCTATATAATTGAATTAATAGTCTTAAATTAATATTTACATGAAATGCGTCTCTTGGAAAAAGTGGACCAATATCAGGCAATTCATTGAAGAAAAAGGCCATATCTTCCTTTTCTTCCAGCTGTTTCCTAATAGTACATTCCCAAACCATAAGCGGGCGCATTCCTGCTTCTTGAATAAGTCTTCTTCTTTCTTTCATTTTATCACGATTATAAAGAGCCGTTTTTCCATTTAAACAAATATCATTGGGTTTATAAAGGCTTAAACTATTTTGCCAAATTTATTTAAAAGAAATACAAACCATTTATGTCCATGCCATGCACATCCTAAAAATTCTATAGCAATATCCTCGTCGTCGGGTGAGCGGCGTACATATCCATCTAACCTTAGAAGTTCCCCATTTGAAAGACGTAGCCTAAATTCTCCCATAGCACTATTTTGATGTTGTACTTGAGATCCTGTCTCATGTTCCAGCCATTGCATATACTTGAGAGCAATTGCCGATTGGTTGCTATCCCGGTGATAACCTAATTTTTCTTATATAATTATTTTTAAAGTACAAACCGTTATCTGGAATTATCCCTACTTCCAGAGGCTTCAAGTAGTTTATGCCTTAAATAAAATGTAAAATGTAATAATTTTTAGCTTACAGAAATGACGAAGACAAGCACTAGCTAAGGTGAGTGAGGATGATAAAACATCATCTCGTTTTGACGGTTCAGGGGCGATATCAAAAAATAGTCGTTGAAATTTTATAACGGCATGAGCTAGAACACGGACATCTTGCTCGCAATAAAGCCCAATTTGTTCCGCCAGGCAGAAAGGAAAATGACTATTCTCTTGATACCATACTTCAAATTTCTTCCTTCTATCTTTCATCATTGATTCAGGATAATAATATTCCTTCTCAGGAAGCCCAGGTAGTTTTATATTCATGTTTTTGTTGAAGTTCCATCCATGGGGGAAGAAAGCCTTTCCTCCCTCGTCAATCTCCAATCCAAGTGCTTTTGGCAATTGTTCCAATTTTAGAGCCATCCAGTTGAATGAGTCACGAAAAGAGATTCTCGGACAAACTGCTCTTGTTCTTTTTAAGAGAACTTCATAAAGTTTATTGCCTAGAAAATCAATTAAATTTTTATAGAACTTATAATCACCTGATCTTGTGATATTAGGCTCTATTCCTGTTATTTTCATCAATTCTCCCAATAACAAATGCATATCATAGCGCCTAAATTATCAATATATTTTAATTCAAAATAAAACATACCCTCCGTAATGTGAAATTGCATATGTCGCAATTCTTCTTTCCTTTCCAAGACCATCAATTAACCATTCAATAAACTCCTCTAATGGGTTGACGTAGTTTGCTGATGTCCATGTAATTATTCGTTTTCGCTTTATTCCACAAATACTACAATCCATTGAATATTCGTCTTTCCATTTTTTCTCTTCACTGATACAGCGCGAGCATAAAAGCATAGCCTAAAAATAATACTTAAATAATTCTTCTTCCTTACCGATACACAATTAACGTGATGCAATTGATAATTTTCGTCGTTTGAAGGTATGCCACCTTTCGCAATAACTCCAAGTCGTTGCCATTCATCTTCATTTCGAGTAGGAGAAATTAGAGAACATTCAAAGTCAAAAATAACCTTAATAAATTATTTCTTTTTCTACAATAATAAAAGTAACCAGTATATAATCCCTGTGTCTTTTGGGAACGATTGGCTGGACATAACACGGCTCCTCTGTCCGATGAATCGAATGACAATGTGAACAGAAACGAGAATAGCAAACATGTTCGTTCCCATCTGATTCATCATCTGATTCTTGCTTTTTGTTTGATCGATATATTTGGCCGCAATCCAAACACCTATAACTTTAATATATATTATTTGCTTAAATTTACCTCTTATAAAGTCTGCAAATGTTCTTCATAATATGTTCATGAAAACATTTTGGGTTTCTGAAAATGTTGCTACATTTTTGGCACTGTTTCATATATCCTTCGATTTCTTCACACGGATAATCAATACCCATACCGCAGCATCGGGGACATTTTGCTAGGCATGTTGCACGGTGGTTTTTCTTCTTGTCATAAGTAGTCTCGCAATCAAGACAGTAATAATCAGTTCCGAATAAGGTATTTAATTTTCTTATTCCACTGAAATGCTCATCTTTCAAGAAGAGGCATAGCTCGTTGTGCGCACGTTTTTTTCCTTTCCAGATTGGTTTTGCATTGCCTCTATCTCCAAAAATAGCTATTCTATATTGTCCAGGGTATAGAATATCCAAAAGTTTCTGTACAAGAGGAACATGTTCGTCGACGTTGTATATTTTCTCATTCATTGGATATGGCACTTTGTGTTGTTTCATTTGAGAGAGCATTTCTTTTATCAATGATATTCGCTTTTGTTTTGACTTTTCACCACTCCCTTGTGTCAATCGTATAAATTGAACATTGCCTGTTTTTGAGTTTGGTTTGGAAATATATAATATTGTGAGTTGAACCGCTAGAAGCAAGCAATGTCGATTAAAAGGAGGTGGTAAATCCTCATTTTTTACCTAAAATAATTTTGTTATTTTAAAATTTTTTCTTACTGGTATAAGATTGTTGATATCGATTCCATGGTCCATTTCTCTTCTTTTTCTTCCACTTCCTTCTCGGTCAATACGCGACAATTTGAGAGCCTCTTCATGCGATGGCCCCATAACAATCTTTAAGATTTGAATTTAAAAATGTTACAAAAATGTACCTCGATGTTAATCGGCTGGCTGTAAATAGAAGGTCTCCCCATACGCTGGCCGCTTTGATCAACGGTGTCGAACTGTTCCATAACTACCTGAGGTGTGTTCTGTGCAAGTCCACGATACGGAACTTGAATAGGTCTCTCCAACACAGCGCTTCGAATAATAATTGAACACTTTTGAGATCTTGCTCCTGCAGCACGATATGCACGAACGTAAAAGTGGTCAATTAATTGTTCTAGCAGCATTTCCCTCCCTTGTGGCGCGTCGTCAGCATTGATTACTGTAAAAGATGCCCTAAAAATAAATTTTTTTAATTTCTTTTTCAAAAATACCTGAATACTCCAATCTTGAAGCGATTACTTCGAATATGTTCAATTGAATCCTCTCTAAAATATTTATTGATGTTATGGGCCATCTGTATTGATTATTTCTTAAAAAATTGCTAAAAAAGATTATAAAAACTAAACACAAAATCTCAGAGATAATGACTTGAATAAAACAGAATAGTTATAGCTTAATTATTTTTTACGTTTTATCAACACAGAAATGAATCATTTCGAAAAATTGTTAAACTTCTTATTTATCATTCCATGGAAATCTCGGTTCATAACACGGCATGCAGAACAACACTAAAATTATAATTTAAATAAAAGATATATTATTTACTATGAAATTGAGTGCATACATAACACCTCTATCGAACGCAAGGCCAAGCTTTTGAAGAAACAAGTCCCGCGCTTGACTTTTCTGAAGTGATTCGCATTTATTGCACTAAAAGTATTTATTGTTAAAATCTTTTAGTAATTTTACCTGATGTATTATCCACGCATATTTGTATCGTAATAGTTTTCTGTCTCCATCGGTTTGACAGCTTTCCCCAAGTGTGTAGTACAAAACGCCTGCTACTAAAGAACTCTTTTTAGTAATCATTTTTAATTACCTTTTTCAAAAGAATTTTTTGTTTGCGAGTCGCCTTCCAAGTATTCTTCTGTTTTTTCGATCGCCCTCTCTCCTTAAATTGAAATAATAAAGTTTATTTTCTTTGCTTACCCCAGTTTTGCCCATAGAAGTCCGCAAGAGCTATATTTTTGTCCAAATCATCACCGCACATCTCAATTGTTAGTACAAATATTCCACTTGCTCCTCCTTTGAAAAGATATTCTTCTCTACGCATCTGTTGTTCTTTACAATTATTACATTGGTGGACGAAAATCCCTTTTCTGGGATTTCTAAGCATATCCGATTGAACTAACAACTGCTGCGGCAAAGTTTTGTAAAAGCCTGGAACATTCAATTAATTCGAGTTTAAAATCTTACGTTTTTTATCTTCTTGCTCATGTCGAAGTAGTTTATACTCTTCCTCATCCTTTCCTAGTTCAATTATTTCGTCTTTATCGGGTTCATCTGATTTTTCTTCTTCATCATTGTATATGGGATTTGTCCATTTTTCACCAACCTGCTAATGCAAATCTTTAATAAACTTTTTTTATAATCTTACCTTTTTAGTAGGTGCTTTTGTTTTCTTTGGGACAGGCGGATGACACACTCCTGATTTCCCAGAGCTTGACGTCGTAGTTAACGAACGTTTGCGGCGTGCTTCTACAGCGTTCTTCTTCCTTTTTTGCTCTCGTATGAAGCCACGGATTTCTTCAAGCTCAATTGCACTAAGTTCTTCAATTTCATCACCTTAAGTAAAGATCAATTTCTGGCTTGTTTTTCTTCAAATAATTGAGCCTTTACTTACCTTTGTCACAGCAGTTTCCGCTGTAGAGACGGGTTTCCTCGTGTTCATCACCACCTTCAGAAAATAAATGCATTTATGAGTTATTATCATAAAATGTTTTATTCCCTGCCTTGCATTTTGGCTGTCATTTTTTCTGCCATTTTCATCCACTTCTTTTGCAGTAAAGAAATAGAAAAATAGATTTAAAACGAATAAAATTATTTAAATTTAAAATTATTTATATTTCTTTTGAAATAAATAAATGGAAAAAATAGATTTAAAACGCTTAAAATTATTTAAATTATTATAAAATTTATTTAGATTTAAAATGTTTATTGGTATTTAATATAAATATTTATTAAGGACAAAATATTTAGGAAGTTTGGAGATTTGGTCCGAAGAGACGATGTTTTAAAACTGATGCTGACTACTGAAAACTGATCGGTTTTTATACTGGAGAACTCAATGTACTTTGATCGCCCATTAACCCTCCCTCCCTTCCATTAACTTTAAGCCAAACCACTTAATTGATTTTAAAATCCATTAGTCACATTCTTTCGATCCACTTAAGGCTTTTAATTAATTTTTCTCCATTAAATCATGCGCATACATCCATTAGTGCCCCCCCCCCCCATTTTTATCCTTAATAGCTGGTTTTTCGAATGCCCTGGGGGTATTTAAGCAGATATTTTTCTGTTCTTTTTTTCATTTATTTTTTTCGAACTTATTTTACTATAATTTATTTTATTTATTTATATATTTTTTAATTTTACATTTTTTAAATATTATTTTTTATTAAATACAAATTTTTTGTTTTAATAAATTTTTATATTTTATTTTTTATTTTATTTTTATTTTTTTATTTTTATTTAATAAATTATTTTTTAATATTTTTTAAACTTTTTATATTATTTTTTATTCAATTTATTTTTATTAATAAATTAATATTACATTTATATTTTTATAAATTCTTACTATTTTTTAATAAATTTTTTCATTACTAAATTAATAATATTATTATTCAATTAATATTAAATTAATATTTTTTATGAAATTTTAATATTTTTTATAAATTATTTTAATTAATAAATTAATAATTTTTTTATAAAAATTATTTTTTTAATACATACTCTAAAATCCCCCATGCGCATGCATTCCATTAATGGGAACTCCCCAGTCTTTAATCGAATGTTTTGATTACGTGGTTTTTAAGTGGTTGTTTTTTATAGAATTTTTTAAAAATTTTTAAAAAATTTTTAAGTGGTTATTTAAGTGGTTTTTAAGTGGTTTTTTAAGTGGGAGTGGTTTTTAAGTGGTTTTTTTAAGTAAAATTTTTAAAATTTTTTTAATTATAAAATTTTTTAAAATTTTTAAGTGGTTTATACGTGGGTTTTTAATTGTTTTTTAAGTGGGGTATTTAAGTAAAATTTTAAAATTTTTTTAATTATAAAATTTTTTAAAATTTTTAAGTGTATTGTGTGTTAATTGAGTAACAACTGATTACAATAGTACTAATCCCTTACCAATTGATTAAAGGTGGTAACTACACAAAAGATATCATTTTCTTTTTTTGTAGTAAAACCGGATTTTAAAACGTTATTTTTGTAGTAAAACCCGGTAAGATACTACTTAGATCCAATTGTTACGTCGACAGCTGCTCTTCTCAACTTGGCCTTTGCACTCCAGACTTCACAACAATAATGGCACAACCGAAGCTGACCTTGGCGGAGGTGGATGGTCTCATCGAGCGCATTTTGCTAACGAACTCGCAGCGCTTCACGCAACTGGTCGGTTTTATTATTCTTTTAAACTTTTGCGGGCGATAAAGCATTTCCAATTTTTAAGGTCACCGCAAATGACATCAAAGCTCTGTGCAACAGCGCCATTGAAGTTCTTCGTGTTCAGCCGTCTCTTGTGGAGATCGATCCGCCAGTGGTCGTATGCGGTGACATCCACGGACAGTTTTCTGACTTGATGCGCATCTTCTCTCGAGTTGGCTTTCCACCGCTGAAGAACTTCCTCTTTCTCGGAGGTAAAGGACCAACCGCGTTTTTATTAAACTTTCTAACAAATTTTCACAGATTACGTCGACCGCGGCCGTCAAAGCATCGAGACAGCTGTCCTGCTTCTGGCCTACAAGACAAGATACCCGGCAAATTTCTTCCTGTTGCGCGGCAACCATGAATGTAGCAACATCAACCGTGTCTATGGGTTCCTCGAGGAGATCCGCCGACGATTCCCACACGACACTCAATCGCTCTGGATAGCATTCAACAAGGCGTTCGCTTGGCTGCCGTTCACTGCTTTGGTTGGCGGGAGGGTCCTATGTAAGTAAATATATAATTGGGAAAAGGCATTCCCTAAATTTTTTCTTTAGGTATGCACGGCGGAATCTCGGATCGTCTGCGAAGTTTGGACCAGTTGCGCTCTCTCCGTCGCCCGGTGCCTGACTTCGACGCGGCAAACCCAACAATTGAGCTCGACTTGCTCTGGGCCGATCCGGAAAATGGTGTTCAAGGCTGTGTGAGAAGTCCGCGGGGTGCAAGTGTCATGTTTGGCGAAGACGTTGTCGCTCGTATTTGCCGACAATTGGACATTGACTTGGTTGTGCGTGCTCATCAGGTACTACCATAATTAACATTCGACAATTATCGCAGTAAATACATTTAATTCTTTTTCAGGTTGTGCAAGACGGTGCAGAGTTCTTCGCAAACAGGAAGCTCATCACGCTCTTCAGTGCGCCACACTACGCCGCCCAGTATAACAACGCCGGCGCAACTATGTTCATCGACGAGAACTTGCGCTGCTCGTTCCAAGTGTTCCAGCCGGCGGGTTAGTTGATGCTGTAAGATATAGTGATGTAGTGATAGTTATCTCCATTGTCGTCCCGATAATAAAAGTGATTGTGCTCCTTCCTATTCAGTTGTAATGTATTTTCTAATTTCCCAACATATGTATACATATATTGTCACAAATTTGCTGTTTGTATATTTTTCGTTTTTCATATAAATAAATGATTGTTTTGAGTATTTTTTTTGTTCATCCAATATATGCAAAGCTTAAATGCCTCGGGCATACACATACAGTAGCTCTACCACTGAGCTTTGCCCTTTTTAGATCGTTTAACCCCTGCTTACGCGTTTTAAATGCATCCTTAAAATAGTAGTCGTAAGTTCCGGAAGGTATGCGTGCTATTTTAAATTAAGGAAAAAAGTGAATTTCCCATTGAGTTAATACTAAAAAGTAGGGTTGCAAAATGCTCAACTCGATTTGAAGAGCATAAAAAAAAAGACTCGCACTTGTAGAAACTTTCTAATTTTTTTCCGTAACACTCAATAAAATGTTTATGTATTTAATACCTCCAATATAGTCGCTAACCATTCATATTCTTTTTGTGCTAATTGCCGACTAAGTCGAAGATTTTCTTTAAAAATACTTTGCTATATTTTTAAGAATAAACCAAACCATTAAAAAGACCAACAGCTTGCCTAACTTCCATTTGAGCTGCTGCCGAACGGTTTGGTACTATTGGAGTGACTAACTCACTTCCCTTAAATTTTTTGATATTTTTTAAAATTTTTCTTAAATTACTTGACTATCAATTTCATCGTTTTGGTCAATCAAAGAAAGGCTAAAAGGTGCTAATGGTGGGGGATGTTGCCCTTTCCTTAATTGTTTTGATGAATGTCTTGAAATTGTTTGACTTCCTTCATCTACTGTGTTTCGTCTTATTCTTTGATGTTGATTTACTTTAAAAATTATTGATAATTTAATAAATTTATAGAGTTTAATGATAATTGATGAAAGTTTTAAAAATATAAGAAGTAAGAGGTTAGAAAACTTGCTTCAAACGAGGGCTGTCCACAATTGAAAAAAATTTCCCGCAGCCGCAAAACGCAATTGCGGACAGCCCTGTTTCGAACATAGATGGGCTGAGAAGAAGAAGATAAATTTTTAAAAATAAAAAAGGGAAAGAAAGAATGTTGATTATTAAATAAAAAATAATTGAAATAACTAAGGGGTAGGAATGGTCACAGTAAATCAAAAAATTTTGATTTAATATTTGATTTTCGTATATCAAATATTTGTTTGGCCCGTTATCTACTTTTAAATGAATTAATTATTAAAGACCGTCTCTTTTGACTTTTAACAAAAAAATCCTTCAATTAATTTCCAAATAAATTTACAATTTTTTAAATAAATATATTTTACCAATTTCTGCTGCCACTAAAGGTTCAGTAGATTTATCTGTAGGTATTTTATTATTGTTATTTAATTCTTCTCCTTCTCCCAAAATTCCTCCATTACTTTTAATTCCTTTTTTATTATTAAAAATTTGTTGAAAAACTGAACGTTTTTTATTTTCTTCTTTTTTAAATGGATGTTGAAATAATGTTGGATTAAAAGAAGAAGAGTCTACATCTGTTCGGCCAGCCAAATTTCTAACTAATTTGACAGATTTTCTGTAGGCATCTGATGGTGGGGGAGCATTGGCATATTCTTGCGTGCCTTTCCGTAAATGTAAAGGAACTGGAAAAATAAATTTTAAAGAAATGAAGAATTTTTTTGTTTCTTTTTTGGAGGATTTGTAAAATTTAAATGACGAAAAGTTTAAAAGAAGATTCTTTTTAATTCGAAAGATATAAATGCTTGTTAGAAAGATTTTAGCATCAAAAATAAATATTCCAAAGAGGGGGTGGATGCAACCGAGGGGTTTTCAACTCAATGATTCGCTATTTAAAAATCGACAATTTCGTTCATCCCTGATCCCAAACTTACTAAAAAACTAATTAAATTTATTATAATTTATTTAAAGTCTAAACAAAGTTAAAGAAATAACCTTCAGTAAAAGAAATAATTCCAAATATTTTAGCTATTTTAACAGATCTACGTGTTAATCTTTCACCAAGTCTTCCTCTAAAAAAGATAAATTTAAATGAGAAAATAGATATGGGTAATTTTTTTTATTTTTATGCAGAATTTCTCCCCTATCAGATTTTAAATAGTTAATCTTAAAAGGAGAAAAGAAAGTTTATTTAATTAAAATTACCTTTTTTGAACCCCAATAACAAAAGAAGAGGCAAGTGTCCCCATACTTATAACACCTTTAAATTGTTTCTTAAATTAAAAATAAATTAATTTTCTAACCAATCATTCCAAGAATAAACCTTTAAAAATTAAAAATTAATTAAAAATTAAATATAATTAATTACCAGCCAATTAAAGGAATAAATGTGGAAGTTGTTGGCATTTGATCGCTAACCTTTAAAGGAGGATTTTTTTAATTTATATTTAATTTATACCAACCATTAACATTAGAATAGACATTGAAAGAAGTGTTGTAATTCCTAATGATACCTAAAAAATTATTGAGGATAGGAATTCCAGAACTAAATGAAAAACAACCCCCAACAAATTATTTACTACCTTTTCTTCACGCATTCCACTAGCAGATGATGTACTGTAAAATTTAAATTAACTTTAAAATTTACCAAAAATAAAAATAAATATTTAATTAATGATTAAAAAATTTACGTAAAGAATCCAACAATAGCAATTAAAGTAATAATTGCTGTAGGTATAATTAAGTTGATTAAATAAAAGAGAGGTTTACGTCTCAGATATCTTTAAAAATAGAAATAAATTTAAAAATATGTAATTTAAGTTTATTTTTATTTTTTTATTTTTTGAAATTTATTTTAGAACAACTGCTTAAAAACAAATATTTAAATCAGGAAATAAAGAGTAAAAAGTACAAATTTTTAAAATTAATATGTCAATCACTCAAAAATCACTTGTACATAATTTTTACTTGTAAAATTAAATTTTAAACTTACAATTTTAATTTTAGGAGTGTATAATCTGAAAATTAAAAAAATAATTATTATTTAAATATTCAAAATAAAATAATTATTAAAAGTTTACTCAAAAATTAATAATTTTTTAAAAACTTAACTATTTGGGCAACAACTATATTTAACTTCCTTTCTTTGTATTGTTGTTTTTAATAAATACCATCCTTCATTTTCCAAATAATTAGAAGTTCCAATATTGTCAGAATAAGGTAAATAATCAATTCCTTTTTTTAAATTTAAATTTTAATTAATTTTTAATTCAAAAATTACCTTTACTGTCATATGTCCAGGAACTAAAAGTCATTGTACATTCTTGTAAATCGTAAGGAAAATAACGCAAATTGAGCAAACAAGAAAATTTATAAATTGTTGGATATAATAATTCTACTAAAACTGCCTTAAAATTAATTTATAAGAAATTAAAATAAAAAACAGAGGTAAGGATTAAGTGATATAGGAAATATGGCAAAATTAACGAAAATTAACGGGAACAAAAATTAAAAGAAATTAACAAAAACAGTCCCGGAAACTCTCTAAATTGTCTGATACTACGTAAGTATTTTTCAATAAAAATTTATAAAACATAAAAACCCCTTTAACCCTCCATAAATTTTAATTATTCTTTTAAGTATAAAGTAAAAAAAAGAAAAATTAATTTTGGAATAATTAAAAAAGACATAAATTTGTTAGAGAAATAATAAATTTTAAAGATTAAGAGAAAAATATTTAAAAATTTAGCTTGTCGTATCTTAATTACATTTAAATTATTTATCAATTTATCAATTATTTATCAATTCAAAATATCCCTTACTTTTCTAGTTATATTAGTTGTTAATTTAGCATTTAATAATCTGCGAGAATCATCATCCTTTAATTTAATTTAAAATTTAAATTACTTGAAAAATAATTATTACTTTCATCACAAGTGAATTATAAAGTGTTGTATCTGGTAACCAAATACTTTAATTTAATTAAATAAATATATTTTAAAAATATATTAATTACCAATCATAAGGCAGTCTTAATTCTGTAATATTTCCATATTCCTCTGGATGCCAAAAAAGAAATTCGTCATGCCATCTTTCAATAATCCTTTAAAGAAATTTTATTTTTTTAAAAATCCTGAAAAAATACCAAGAATTCAACAACAAAAATTGTTGAGGTTCATTCTTAAAAAAGAGTTTTTTAATTAAAAAAAAGATGTTTTTATTTTAAATTTTTCTTATAAAATAATTTGCGTGCTTATGTAAAGCAATAAATATTTTTATTTTTTTATTTTAATTTCCTTTCGTGACTTTTTTTTGCCTAAAATTTGTTTCAAAAACAATCTTTTAATCTTTTCAACTTTTCTTGTCCTCGGAGCTTTCTATACTTTCAAAGTTAATTTATCAAAATTTAATTTAAAATCAAAATTTTAAAAATAGAAAGTAACTAACCAATTCCAAAATTTGATAAAGATCCATTGAAAAAGTGACGTTAATTGCCTTAAAAATAATTTCTAATTTAAATTATTTATATATTCAATTGATCTAAATTTCTAAATTTTCACCAAATTTCCTTTTTAAAAATTTAAATTAAAAACCAAGTAAAGTTAATTTATTTGAAATTAAATTTTAAAAAATTTTCAAAAGAATTTTCTGACAAGTCAATCTTTCAAGGTTTATTGCTAAAAAAAGAATCAAAGCCTGTCCTCTGACTTGGATTTTGAAAAATCCGAGTTTTAGCCTCTAAACCCGGTCTTGTTCTATTTAAAAATAAAACCCTAAAACTGAAAATTTGAAAGTTTTAACTTAAAATTAATTTTTTTATTAATAAATATTTACTTTATTATTATCCCAAGTAGGCTTAGTTTTTCTATCATAAGATTCTAATATATCTTGAATTAATTTCATTTGATTACTTGCTTCAATACCTAACCCGCAACCAATACCTAATAAAACTGAAAAGAAAATTTAAATTAAATTTTTCAGACAAAAAAACAAACGGAATGTAAAAATCATTTTTTGTTGTTTAAATATTTTTAAATTATTAAAAGAATATTTTAAATAATTAATTAATTTTTTATTTTTATTTTTATTTCCTCTATATCTTCTCCATTCTTTTAATTTTATTTCTGTTTTTTTCTTTCATTTTAAGGAAGTAAATATATTTTAAGAAAAATTATGTAGAATTTCTTTGGGGAATTAATTATTGGAATAGTATTTTTTAATAAAAAAATAAAAGAACATTTTTATATAAAAAAGGCATTAAACATCTTTAAAGATTAAAAATTAAATAAAAAGTTTATTTTTGTTTTTGATAAAAGTAGGGAGGATAAGATTAGGGTTGGGTTTTTGAGTTGGGCCGACGGTCGAGCAATTTTTTGGGCTTCATTTTAAACACGGGCCAGCCTGGCCGAGTCTTTTTCGGGCCAAAATTCGATGCCCGATTCGATCTTTCGGACCGGACCCCCAACCCTAGATAAGATAAAGAATACTTAATTAGTTTTACATGATTTTACCTATCTGGAAATGGTTAGAATTTTGTTATTCGAAGTTGTAAATGATTAGAAATTAAATGTTTGGGAATATTAAATTTCCTACCCTGGAGGAAAAAAGATTGAGATTTTTAAAAAATGTAAAAAGTTAAGTAAATTTATGTTTAAATGAGGAATCTATTTTTCTCTAATTTAAATGCTCAATTTAAAAAATAAAAAACTAAATGGCAAATAATTAAAAATATATATTTTGGGTGACAATAATAATTCAAAGTGTGGCAGAAAATATTTTCTTTAATTACATCATAAACAAAAATATAAATAAAAAAAAAGAAAAGGAGCTACTAGTATAGAAGAATTAAAGAGTTAAAAATAATGGAACAAAAAAAGTCAAAAAATAAAAGGATTAAAAATAAATAATTTCTTTATTATTTATTTACCCATTTTCATTCATTCGACCTTTTTTCTTTTTTTTAACTTTTTTTAAAGGTGGGTGGTATTAATATATATGCCACAAAAAGATGAATTCATTCCCCCCTTCAATCTGCCAACTGTCAGCCCCCCTTTAAAGCTTTCACGCGTTCTTTCTCTCTCTTTCCTTTTTTTCTTGTTTCATGCACAACTGCTACAAAGAAAGTAGTAATGTTTTTATATAATAGCTTCAAATAAAAGAGAGGACAATTTCCATTCTCGGGTTTTTCCAGAAATTAAAAAGAAGAAACTAATGAAAATAAAGAAAAAATGAAAACAATGCAATTTATTTGAGAAAAAGGGTTGGGGATGACAATTACCCGAAAATATGTAGTTGTAAATAGTTACTTTTTAATTATCATAGAAATTTAATAAAGACAAAAACACGAGTAGAGCAGTTGGGCTACAGCTACATTTTCTCTCCTTCAGCTAGTGCAAAAGGTTATTCGGCGGCTGGGAGCGAACCAGCATCTTCAGTAGACCGGACTGATGTGTTATCCATTACACCACGCCGCCTACTGCACATATTTAGGAAATAAATAAATAGCTAAGTATATGCTTTACATTAGTAATAAAAATAACACTTGATAAGACAACTTTTTTAGTCCACTCGGATTCTTATATGTATTTTCAACTAAATTTTCATTTTTTGTTAAACACAAAAATCAATTATTGTACTATTCATGAAGCATTAAAAGTTTATTTTTTCATCAAAAGAATAAAATTAAAAAAAGTAAAAATAAATATATTAATCGAAAGTCAACTTCCTTAAATTGTGGGGTGTTTTGCTGCTTCAATGAGGGTGGCACTTTTAATTTTTATTTTTCTTTGAAAAGAATTAAAGGAAGAAAAAGTGGATTGAGTCAACAAACAAAAATAATTATTAAGGCACCCCACTGGTACGTTTTGGGGACTTTTATTTGGACTTTGAAGTTTTTATAATGAAAATAGAGAGAGGGAAATATTAGAATTGTGCAATTGCAAAATTTAAAATTAGAAAAAAATTTTGTTGAAAATTCTAAATTCTGTAACAAGCGGCTTTATTTTCTAAATAAAATTTGACTTAAATGAAGAAAAGGAAGGATTTTAAAGGAAATTTATAGGGTAGATTCTCCTTTCTAATTAAAATAATTTTCTCCGAATCCAAAAAAACTTTTTATTAAAAAGGGTGTCATGGAAGTCATGGAAGTGTATTAGTCCTTATTTCTAATCTTATATTTATTTTATAACCCCTTAATTTCCATAAATTTACTCCCTCAGGATCATATAAAATAAAAACCAAAATTTAATCAAAAAACGATTTTAAAAATATTAAAAAAATCTTTTCAAAAAATAAATACCCAAATATTTTTATTCCTAAATTGAAAAACAAATATTTAGTAGGAGGTTACATATTTTTAATGGTCTATTTGTTTTGTATGGATAAATAGAAAAATTTGTGGGGGGAAGGACAACAACATTAGGTTATAAAGGCACTTTGGAAATTAAATTCTTTAAATAAAAAAAATTGGCATTTGACTTTAAATTAAAAATTTATTTATTTAATTTGTATTTTTTTTGTTTTTAAAGAAATAAAAAAAATACAAAAAAGTTTTATTACTTTTTACTTTTATTTGGAGAAATTTTTATTTAAAAAGCAATGAAAAAGGGACACGAAAAAAAAATAAAAATTGGAATAAATATTTAAATATTTTTTAGTAAAAAATTGAGGGAAAAGTGTGCAGGCAATGCTTTTTTGAGATTTTTTTAATAAAAAAAAGTAAAGCAATATATCTAGGTAGGTTTTGACAATAATAGATTATTACTCAAAAAATGAAAAAAAATGTTTTTGGAAGTATAGGTAGGTTAGGTAGACATTTTAAAAGTGTAGAAGGGGAATAGGAGGGGAGGGGAGGGGAGGGGGGCATTTATAATGCATAAAATAATATTTTTTAGTTGAAAATTAACAAAATTGGAAACTTAAAAGTGCGAACGTTTTTAACACTTTTTGTTAATATTTAAATTAAATTTTTGACATTTGTTGCACTTTAAATTTGTTTTTTTGAAAATAAATTGTTTATTAAAATTGTTAAAAAATAATTTTGTATGTATTTTATTTCCTTAAAAGAATAAATCTTGATTTAATACAGTATTAAACCGATTTAAAAGTTGAAAACATAGTTAACTATTTGCTCCGCTATGGTCTTAATTATCATTTCTAATCCTACAAACCTTTAGAATTTTTTTTTATTTTTGTTCTCTCCCTACAGTAGTGTTGCGTCGTAACTGTAAATTTGGCCGGAACTGAAACTGAGATTTTGACCGGAACCGGATCTAATTTTTGGTGAAAATTTTGAGAATTTTGAGGGCTAATATCCGAATTTCTTCCTTTTTCAGCGCCGCCTTCAAGGTTAACCCTTAGTCTAAAAATATTTTTGTAATACATATTCACTTAACTATCAACCAGATAATCTCTCCTTTTATGTACATATTTTTCCTCATTTTAATAATGAAACTTGTATTTTGTCAACAATATAATTGAATTATAAATGACCTAATATTTTGTCTAGTCTATTTTTGTTTGATCTGTTTTTGGTCAACTTTTAAGCTCAGGCCGCTATTAATTTTATTATAAAAACGCGAGCAAAATAAAATAAAAATAAAAAATGATTTTTAATAAAAAGTTTTTAATTATTATATTTAATTTAATAATTATAAAATATATTTTAAATATTTATGGACAAGAAATAGCCCTATTTGCGAGTAATGGGTGTTATTCACATGATATTATGGTAAAATCTTTAAGAAAAACTATTCTTAAAATTTTGAAATAAAACCGGACCTCTTTATAATTACCCCTTTGCAGTAATTTTTCGTCTTATGATGAGGTGTAAGTAGATAGAGTTAGATTAATTAAAATATAATTAGTCAGTACTAAACCCAATAACCAACCATAATGTAAAGGATCTTATATGAGATACCCCCAATATACACATTAAGGTTTTTAATTACAGAGATGCCTAATCTATACTCTTTATTTAAAATACACCCCAGTGTAGGATACATCTCACTATATGATAAAAATAATGCTAGGAGAAGGAAGATAAGTATAACCATTATGATTCATTTGTGGAGGGATGGGAAATAAAAAAATCTTTGCTTTTATCCTTATCATAACTTGGGAGTGTGTCTAGCATCTGGAGTATCTAATAATGGGTGTATCCTATAATGAGGTGTATGTTAAATTAAGGGTAAGTTCATACATTATTTCCCTATCCAATTGTGCGTCCAACATTTTAGAAGAACTTATCTTAAATACGGGGAGTATCTAGTATTGAGAGTATCTTATATTAGGATTGGCTGTTCAAATCTTAACAAAAATAACAATAAAAATTTAATAGATGCGCGAAGTCGGACTCGCATTTGAAAATATGAATTTGCCTGAAAGACCGTCAAAAATTCTCCCAAATAAATTTTCAAAAAATTCTTCAAAAATAAAAATTAACTGGCTACAAATTTTTATTTATGATTTTGGATTTGGAAAAGTTGCAAAACCTAAAGACTTTAAAAATTTTTACCTGGTCGCTAAAAGGGCAAATTTTTATACTTAGGTGATAAAATCAAAAAATTTTAGTTACAAATCATTTGGGTACTCTAATAGTTTAATATGTGCTGCATTCGCATAAGCAAATAAATAAATTAAAATATAATCTCCTCCGTTTACTTTAATAAGCATGACGTGGACGTCATCTTAATTAAGTGAACTAGGTTCAGTTCACTATCAATCGGTTCAGCCTTGGAAATAACTATAGTTCAGTTCAGAAAACAAATATTTATTCAGAGCGTTAAAAGTTTATAATTATTTTATATTGAATTCAAAATAAGTTAAAGAGTTAAATTGCGGGGGAGTATTTATAGGGATTCTTACACAAACATAAATTGTTATTGAGAATAGCTAGGTCAAAAATTAATTATATAAAAGTGAATAACAAAATATATGATAAGGGGTTTTGGGTAAATATTTAGTCGGGAAAACTCAGTAAACCTTTTATAAAATTGGAAGGTCAAGAGTTTATCATTTATTTATTTATTTTTATATTTTGGGAAAAAGATATTTTTTTTTAATTTATTTATTTGCTTATGCGAATGCAGCAATATGTTTAAGCTGAATTATGAGGAATATCGGGGAATTTAGGCGTTGTATCATTTGAGCACGAAGGGTGATTTAACTTTTACTTTACGTAGATTTTAAGCCCTAAGAATGTAAGTAAATTTGAGGTCCGACTGTAACTATCAAAAAGTTCGGAAAACCCCCGAAAAAACCTGTTCTACCTACAGTAGTTCAATAAAATATTTAAAACAGTTAAAATTACAAAATGTTGAGAGAAGATATTTGTTTTATGCTGGACGTTCGGAGTTCATTACGGAGCCTATAAAACCTATAAATAACAGAATAAAGCATTTTGGTTGCTCAAATTGTGGGTAAGACTTCTAAATCAATTTTAACATTACATATACATATGTCAAACCTCGTTTTAAATTGACCTAAGTTGATAACATTAATTAAGTTCCAATAGGCAGCTTCCTTAAATAATGGCCAACCAAATTTTGGAATTGAATTTTGAAGAGGATTAAGGAAAAATTTCAAAAGGAAGCTGCCTACTCAATAAACAAGGTTTTGACTGTTAAATCTTGTTTTTCAGAGATGTTGATGAGTACAAAAATATTTTTGAAAATTATTTTATCAAAAATAAATCAACATTTAATTGTCAATCATTTAATTCAACTACAAATTTAAATTTAAATAATTATTTAAAACAACCTGATAATTGTAAAAATAAAAAAATTAACAAAAATAACTTTACAAATATTAAATTTCAAATAAATTCAACTCAAATAGAAAAATATAAAAAGATTAAATTAGAATTTTCAAACATTGATTGGGAGCTTATCGAGAAAAGAAGTTTTGTTCTAGTCAGTTTTGGAAGTATTGCTAAGGTTTATATTTATAATTTAATTTAGATTTGTAAGTTATAGCAGGGTCTAGTCGACTCTATTCTCGAAACTTACCGAAAAGTTGCAAAATCCCAACTTTTCTCGTGCCGGTTCCCAAATCGGAATTTTTTTATGTCGGCTAGAACATTGTTATCTACATAAAAGAACATCACAAATTTAAAAATGAAATATAATAGTGTAAATAAAAGATGCCGGATATGTCAACACGTATATAAAGTTTAAAAAAATATTGAATTGAAAGCCTGATTTGTGATATCGGCTGACAATTTCCTAGTGATTTCTGGATTGATTCGGCGCTGTAAACTGCATTAAATCTTTTATTTTTTGAAAACTTAATATAGACAATTTTAAATTTAAGGTAGAATATATGCCAAAAATATTATTAAACATTTTCTTGAATACATTTTCAACTTCATCTCATTTAATTATTTGGCAAACAAACAGTCCAATTAAAGAAATAATTAATGAAAATATTACAAATAATAATTTACCTTTAAATATTCAAATTGTTAAATGGGCACCGATTAAATTACTTTTAGGTAAAGTTTAGAAGAATTTCGAGAAAAATAAGCTTTATTTTTAATTATGTAGCACACCCAAATTTAAAATATGCAATTCTTCATGGAGGTGTTAATACTTTGAATGAGGCATTAATGTTTGGCAAACCCATTTTAGGCATTCCTTTACAAGTATTTTTATAGTAAATTTCATTTAAGAAAATTGTCAACTGATAGATTTTAGAACAAAACTAAAACAAAGATTCGGCCCTGTTTCGGCACATCAAAAGTCATAATCTTTGTTTGTCATTTTTGTTTGAACTAATTATTTCTGTGATAGCATTCTAAATAAGCCAAATGCTGCTCAGTAAGGTTGTCGGATCCGGATATCCGAAGATTTCCAACTATCCGACAACCTTACTGCTCGGGGACAATTTTGCTTTCCCTCCATATACTGGACCTATCTAGGTTTTAAATTGAAATTTTTGATTTGAAATTGAAATTTGAATTATTTATTTAAATTTCAATTTAAAAATTTGAAATTAAAATCTATTGACGGTCTCTAAGAAATCCCCGTAAGTCTTAATCAGCCAACCCTAATACTAACCATCCAAACCATTCTAAATAAGCCAAATCACCTATATTTTAAATTTAGGGTGATCAGCCTTCAAATTTACAACGTCTTGTAGATCTCGGAATGGCTGAATTGGTTACTATACGGAACGTTTGGGGAGGACAGTTAAATGACAAAATGTCTAAATTAGAATCAGAATATCCAAAATATCTGAAGAGAGCAATAAAAATATCAGAAATGATCAGATCTTATCGAAAACCCCATTCGGATCAACAAAACTTTTGGCTTAAATGGGCCCTTAGAAAAAGAGATATGTTGAGGGATAAAAAATTGGGAGAGAAATATTTTAATTTTAATAGACAAAATAATTATATTTCAATATTAAATTGGGAATTTATTATTTTTGTATTTATTTGTTTAATTATATGTTGATAAATTTATTTACTTATATTTCTAAGTTTAATATTTTAGACGTGGTTTACTTATGATAACGGTTTACCGTTACTTTGTGGTCACTAACGATGGCTAAGAGATCATGGTCAAGTGACATAATTGAGTTGGTTACCATAAATAAGACAAATCCTCCATATTTAAAATTCAGGGTGACCAGCCTTCAAATTTACAACGTCTTATTGTGAGAGAATAACCACAAGAAAAGTAGTTTTTAAGGAGAAGTGGTAACACAAGAAAAATGGTTTCGGTTTGCCCGGAACCGATTTGTAAGCCTGAGACGGATCATTTTGAGTTCCGGTTTCCAGAACCAAAAAACACCGGAACCGGAATTTACGGTGAAACCCTATCCTACAGTACACAAAGTTTGAAAAGGTAGGCGTTACGAACAAATGGTATTTCAACAGTGACGTTTCGAATGTTTACAAAATGACATTTTAAATATTTTTTAAGGCAATCCCGGAGAATTGGGGTCCCTGCGGAAAAAAATCTTAAAAATAAGAAAAAGGATTTTTCTAGGGTAAAAAAATATGCTGATTACGAATCCGAGCTCAGATTTTGAAAAAGTCGAATCCCGAACCCGAACCAAATTTCGAACCCTGAACCCGAATTTCGAATATGCAAATGATAGCTCATTCGAAAGAGCTCGTCGAGCTGCATCGAATGACACCAAAAACAACGCGATCGGACCTGTTTCGACAAAGTTATGACATGGAGTAAACCTCTGGGAGTACTGTAAGAGTCGGCGACTTATGTCATAACTTTGTCATAACTTGATCAATCACTGTAATTTTGGTGTCATTCGACTCACCACGACGAGCTCTTTCGAATGAGCTATCATTTGTACAAACTTTTTTTTACTCCAAAAAATCACCCCTGTGGTTTTTCAATATTTAGGGGTCTGTATCTCGGTTCAATCCGGTCGGATTTCATTGATTTTGGTGTCATTCGACTTAGCTCGATGAGTTCTAGATTCTTTTGAAAGACTGGCCATTTTGTACAATGTCCGACAATGTTTGGGGTCAAAAATCCTGTTCGGGGGCAAAAGTCCAAATTCGGGTTCGGGATTCGACTTTTTCAAAATCTGAGCTCGGATTCGTAATCAGCATATTTTTTTACCCTAGAAAAATCCTTTTTCTTATTTTTAAGATTTTTTTCCGCAGGGACCCCAATTCTCCGGGATTGCCTTTTTTAAAATTTGTTACGGTATTTTAGATAACAAAAATTTAATTTTTAAGTTCATGCTTTCTTTTAATTTTGTTTATCATTTTTTTAAGATTAAATAATGCTTTTTCTTCTATTTTCGCGTAAAAAATATACTGGAATATTTGCTGATATTATTTTAATTTTATTTGTCATAATACTTGCCGGTAATTTTTATTTAAATTTTGTTTATTTAAATATTTTTAATTTTAGCTTATTTAGCGGATTTAGCAAAATCAAAAACTTATGAATTTTCTGTTAAAAGTTTAACGAATAAAACTAAATGGACTAATTGTTTGTTTTTTTATAAAAATTTTATGACACTTGCAAAAAAGCAGGAACTTTTTAGCTGACTTTTTATGTGGACATTTTTCCTTCTCAATATTTTTCCTTAAGCGTCTTCTAAAAAATATTTTTTATTGTTTATAATTTGTCAAATAAAATTATAACAACAGTCACTCCTAAAAACTGTTGGGAGAGGCTGACTTAATTCAGGGAAATGAAGTTTAAGGTGTAACTTCGATAATAATTGTTCCATTTTTAAGTAAAAATCAAGGAATAAGAATGTGACGATTTCGTTAATTTTCTTTTGCCATAAGAAAAAAGACTCAAGAAAAACTCAGCTAAAAAGTCTTGACTTCTTTAAAAATGCCTAATTTTTTTCCTTTTTTCAGTTCTTAAAGGGAAAGTTAAAAAACGATTGAATCAAATGAAAAATTTTTCAAGATTTAAAGGCCTCCCAAAAATTCCAAAAATATTTCCAAGTCGTCTTTTAAAGCCTGATTCTAAACACAATCCTTGTGTTGTGGCAAAGACTAATTGTTTGAATGGAGGACTTTGTACGAGTGTTGGGCATGAGTTGTTTTTGATAAAAATAAATTTTAAAAATATTTTTTATTAAAAGATGGTATTGTGAATGCCCAAAAACTCATTATGGACGTTTTTGTGAATTTGTTGCTGATCAAACTGAATGTGAACGAAATTTATGTCAAAACAATTCTACTTGTTATAGGTAGTAAATGATTTATTAAATATCTTCTTTTAGGAAACCTCACTGTATTTATTCCGAAATATTTTTGATAGGGGGCCCATCGTAGAGAAGACCCAAACCCACACCGGGGTTAACGTCCTCTAATAACAAAACAAAAATCTTTTAGGAGTTCTATAGTTGGTAATTAGGGTTGCCGGTCCGGTCCGAAAGATCAAGTCGGACATCGAATTTTGGCCCGAGAGAGGCTCGGTCGGGCCGGCCCGATAAAAATGGGGCCCGAAATAAATGACTCGAGCGTCGGCCTGACTCGAAAACGGCAACCCTATTGGTAGTATTAATCTCCTTTTTTCTTTAATTTAAGCACAGAACATTACCGACAAGTCTCAAATCCAAACGTTTCTCAAGTCAAAGCTTGTGCTGATAGAAAGATGAAGGACAACACAAACAACGAAACTTGTCTTTTCAGTTTAAATGTAAAATATATGTGTTGGTGTAAATATGGAAATGAGGGAGCTTTTTGTGAATTTACTGAAGGAATGCGTTGCTGTGCTGAAGATCATTGTAATTATCATGGATTAATTGAGTTTGTAAATATTTTTTTTTAAATTCTTTTAAAAAATTTTTTTAAAGTTATACAGATGTATTTGTGAAGAAAAAAGGAAAATTTGATTTAAAAACACTTAAATATAAATTTAAACCTGTATGTGAAGAAGTTGTTTGTAAATGCGTTTGTGAAGAATTTTACAATGCAGAAGATAATGTAAGGGAAATTTTTATCAGAAAATTTTTTTTGTAATTTTTAAGTGTTCGACACCTGATCCCTGTCGCGATCTTGAATGTGTTAATAGAGGGATATGTAAAACTAAAATGAATGGCACTGAAAAAATAGGTGTTTGTGATTGCCCGTTAGATTATGAATTTATTGCACCGAAACAAGGAATTGAAATTTGGGGTAATTTTAATTTAATGAGGAATAAAAAATTTAATATTTTATACAAAAACAGGTGAACGATGCGAATTCATTAATGTTACAGATGATGATATTAAGGAAGATCAAAAGGCATGTATTCCTTGTGAAGAAGGAAATGGATTTGATTCATATGTTAATTGTATAAATACACATTGGAAGGATATGTCAAAATATTCTTCTAATAAACAAGTGAAGCGTGGCGCGAACTTTGCGGACCCGAATTTTGCGGACCCGAACTTTGCGGACCCGAAATTTGCGGAACGAAAGTTGCGGACCCGAAGGTTGCGGACACGAAGTTTGCGGATCTGATCTTTGCGGAACCAAGATTTTAGGACTGACACTTGAGTAAAAAGGAAAAATTAAAAATTTTATTTTTCGATGATTCCGGCAGAGTTTACCATGATCCGTACCTGATTCAAGAGTTTTTCTTGATTTTTCAAAATTTTTATCAATTTTTTATCTTAAAATTATTTCATAATTTAAATAATCGAGAAAATTCCTTAAAGAAATCATTTATATGGCCCTTTCATAAGGCCATGATGCCTGAATTTATCCAATTAACGCCGCAGGCTAAAATTTTTGAAATTTCCGAGGTTCAGTAGACTCTATTGTCGGTCCGCAAATTTTTGGTCCGCAAATCTCGGATCCGCAAAATTCGTGTCCGCATAGTTCGGGTCCGCAAAATTCGGTTCCGCAAAGTTCGGGTCCGCAAATTTCGGGTCCGCAAATTAAAATCCGCAAATTTCGGCGCGCCAAGTGAAGCCATTGGATATTTCAAAATATTTTCCTAAGGAGTGTTTTGATAATGGAAAAAGAAAACGTTGCACTGAAGCATTGAAAGGGAAATTTTGTTTGAATGGAGGCAAATGTGAAGCTATTGTTTATAACAGTTAGGTTTAACAAAAGTAAAAAGCTCATTAAGGAATCTAATATAAGCCCATCCCGGTACTATATTAACATCCCGAGTAGAACTTTGCCCATTCGTAGGCAGGAGAAAATAAAAGGAAAATTAATCTGACAATGAGATTAAATAGAGTTGGGGAACGGGATAAGTACCCCCATCCCTATTTAGAATCCCACTCAATGAGATCTATTGAAAAATAGTAGTCCAAGGCTAATAGGACATTTACGGTATTTCTATTTTATTATTTCTATTTCATAAACAGTTTATTTTTTATCCCGACACTCTCTCCCAAGTTTATTATACGCAATTTCAAATTTATCAAAAAATTAATTCTTTCATTTTCTAGTCACTTTATTCACCGGAGAAGATGAATCTAACAATAAGCCTTTCTTTCTCGTACCAAAATGTGAATGCCCTTCTGGTTATGACGGCGATTTTTGTGAAAATCGAATGTTAGATGAATGTGACCGCAGGGATATCGAAGAACACAAAAATTATTTAGCAGAAATTGAAAATCCAAATAAAATACTTTTAAATTTTTCTCAAGAAGCATTCATTCAAACATTGAAAAATAGACTTGGTTGGAAGCCAAATTATTTTGAAACTAGAAGGGATGCTCAACTTCAAGGTTTAGAGAAAGCTTTGCGCAATAGAGGTAAAATAATATTGGGAAAATTTTTAAATTTTTATAAAATTAGGAATGAAGACATATTGCGGTCCACATGGTTTTTGTCGCCCTTATATTGAAGAGGATGGAATGAGTTGCAAGTAAGAAGAAAAATTTTATGCAGGGGGATGTCTGGAATTTATTTTTAATTTTGAAAAATAATTTGTCTTTTTGGAAGGGTTGATGTCCCTTCTGACCCTCTACATAAATTTAATCAAATAACAATAATTATAAACTAGTGTTCTCGGTTCTGGCCCGAATCGAAGAACCGAGGATTTTTCGGTTCCGGATATCCGAAGAATTTTCAAAACCAAAAACCCTAGTATAACCGTTTATTCCTGGGAAAATTCTAGGATCAAAGCTTAGGATTTTAAGCATTACTGCACTAGTTTTTCGGGTTCCCAAGCATTTCTTTCAAGTAATTTCATATTTATTGTTAGATGTGATCTTGGCTACAAGGGTCCTCGTTGTGAATTGGTAGATCCTTGTGAGCCTAATCCTTGTAAAGAAGATGAAACTTGTATTGAATTTCCAGTTGCTGACGATTCTATAGAAGAATCAGAGCTTACTTATGTTTGCAATAGTTAAATGATTTTAATATTTAAAGGATTTTCTTTTGTTTAAAATTCTAAATTAAATTAATTTTTTTATTGTTGAATGTGTATTGTTGTAATAAATTTTATCTTTTTTTAATTAAACGTTATCTTAATTTTTTATATTTTTTTATTACATCGGTTAGAATTTATATTCTCCCGTTATTGTTTTTTTTTTCATTTTTTTCACATTTCTTATTAATGCGAGAATTGTTTATTTAATATTAAAGAGAATTAATTAATCTAAAATAAATAATTCTTACATTACTATTTATTTTCATTGCATTTTTTGTATCGCCTATCTAATCTTTTTATTTTTTTTTGAATACCCCTGGTCCATTCTTAAAATTTTATTTTTTTTTAAATCGATGATTAATTTCTTTTGGTAAAAGTAGGAGGGGAGAAAATTCGTGAGAAGCTATTTTTCATTTTTGATCTTTAGCCGATGACGGTTCGTGACATTATGTGCTCCTCTTCAATTTTACTCCTATAGAAATAAAATAATTTTGTGAATCATTAATTTTTTCGATGATTAAAAAATTTAAAATTTTATATTTTGTGTTTATTTTTCAAAAAAATATTTAATCATTTTAGTATTATTTTAAATTATTTTACTATTTTTTGCAGCCATTTTAGGTACCTATTGATTTTTCCCCCAAAATTTTAATTAAAAAAATATTTTTTAAATTATTTTTTTAATTTTTAGATGCTTTTTTAGTAAATCAAACTTGGTTTTGATGACAGATCTTAAACTTGTCTTTTTCCACAATAATTCAAAGAAACTTGAAAAAGCTTCTCATGTGTTGGTTGAGGTTATTTTTACAAATTTTAATTTTAAATAATTTTTTAATTTGTAAAGAGCGTCTTGGGTGATCCTCGTTTTAATTCACGCAAAGGAACTATACTTGGATTTGTTGGTTCTCCCTTGGTTTGCTTTGGATTTTCTTAAGATTTATTTAATTAAATTTAGTGTTATGACGACTCAGATGAAGAACCACGTATCGAATACCTGTTGGGAGTTGGGGGACGATGGAAACATGTTTCAATAATTTTCATATTGGTAAGACGTTGATTTTTAGTTTAAAGGAATTTTCTGGTTTTCGACGGTCCAGGGGTGGGCATATTTTTAATTTATTTTGTCCGCTGCTGAAAAGCACAACTTATGAAAAATTCACGATAAAAAAATATATTGAATAGTTGTACCTTTGTACTGGTGCAGAACAGAGATAAGGAAGAAACACGTATGGACGAAATTCCATTTCGCTATTTAGTGCCATTCCTTCCATTTCGTTTCGGATGCAAATAAAAAATTTCTATTTCGCCCTCCCGGATAGGGGACAGGTAGAGGATCACATCCCTTCCCTAACAAAGTTCAATCAAATAAACTAAATGTTTTCTTAATTCAGGAACACTTGTTACACCTGTTAAAAGAAACGACTGTTAAAATGGGAAAACCTTTTACAAAACTTCGCTACACAGTTGTGATACCTTCTGCTTCATTTTCCAACGTTCATATGTTACCTTTCAAAAGACACTTTAGTGCTGTGGACGAATATTATTTTGAACAAATATCTTTTGGAAATATCCTTCACCACAACCAACTTTATGTTCAACGAGCAATTAATATTTTGGAAGATGTCTCTACAACATTGAAAATAAATAAGAAATTTTTACCAAGTATAGCAATTTCAAGACTAACACAAACCCAAATGATTAAACAAACAAAATCGACATCGTTTGATAGTGGCACGGGATCATCTTTAGTTAATGGGGAGTCAAATGAACAGGTTTTGTATTTTTTGTTAGTTTTGTTTTGCGAGCATCTTAACTAATTTTCGAATATGAGATATGCGATATCCATTTCATTTGAATTTGCTGACCATTCAACTAGGCTGTATTTTAAGATTAGAATCTTGTTGAACAATCCTGAACGAGTTTATTTTATTTCCTTCACTTAATATAAAAATAAATTTTTATAATTTCTTGTCGGGCTAAAATCTATCCACAAATTTTCTCAAGTTTTTATTTTTAAATATTAAATTAAATTTCTAGAAGCAAAGCTGCAGCTACCATATGGCGGCCGAAGATTCAGATCATGATGATTATATAGTTCGCGAGTTGACTCCTCCACCAGAATCATTAACTTTGCAGGAAGAGAGTCATATAATTGCAGAGTTTGAGCACGATTTACGCGTTTTAAATCTTCGCTTCTTTGTTACTTATGATTCCCGAAAAGATCGAAAGAATGGATGGCGAGTTATTGATCAAATCCGTCTAGTTATTAAATACGAGTCAATCAAACAAGTTCACCTTGAATTAGAGAAGAGAACACCGAACACATTTTGGGCACGACTTGTGCTTCGATTAAAGCATCCCGTTCAAATATGGCGTATTGGTGATGTTTTTGCACTCAAAACTGCACTCACAACTGGTAAAGGTATTGATAGACGACGACATAAAGGAATTCGAGTAAATAAATGGGGAGGAGATAATAAAATAACAGAAGATTTGGCAAATTCGTCTGTCATTGTACTTGATTTTATGGAAGAAAGTCCTGAACGTTTATCTGCACTTATTGGAAGATTAATGGGGCTATTAAAGTTGGATCTCGAATTGAGGAATATTGAACAACGGTTTGGATTTTTAAAAAGAAATTGAATTATTATTTGTTTTTTTTTTCAGTTTTGTTTATACCATGCCGCAAGTGTAAGTATTTTTATAGAATATTAAAAAAATCTAATTCCTAAATAATTTATAGATCTTTACCTTCTGAATTCGACAACGATTTTGAACTTTATTATTGGATAGAAGCTTTGGGATCGCGTGGATCTGTTGTAATCGATCATTGGGTTAACGAAACTGAACAGAAGAAATTTTTCAAAACACTCATTGACTGTTACAAACAAGATCGTCAGAGAACATTAACTGCACTAGAAATGCTATCAGATCGATTTCTTGATAGAAGTGAAGTTCGCGATAGAAGAGGACTGACCGGATTATTTCAAGATATCGAGAGGGATCTTGCAAGGAATAAAATTGAACAAGAGGAATTGAAAAATGGTTTTGTGCGTCTTAAAAAAGTTTGGCAATATTCTCTTAATTTTTTGAATGAAATTTAGGTTATCATCACACCTTCACGCATGATTCTTTGTGGTAATGAGGTTCTTATGGGGAATAGAGTTGTTCGAATTGATCCTGTGAATTATCCTACTCACAAATTTCTTCGAATTGTCTTTCGTGATGAGGATGGAAGTAGAGTGCATCAAACATGTATTGGTGGTTCTCTGATTGATGGTTTCATTAGAGAAAGATTGAGAGGGGGAATGTCGATTTGTGAAAAACCGTTTCATTTTCTTGGAACTTCAAATTCACAAATGCGCGAGGGAGGATGTTACTTTCTTCAGGTATGTTATTCATTTTTATAATATTTTCAGAATTTATTATTAAAATATTTTTGCTTTGAAAAATATTTTTACTACATATTGCTGCAGAATACACCTTTAACTTTTTTTCATGAAAATCAGTTTTATCGTTATTAGTATGCGCTAATCGCGAATCTGTTGGCGGATTTTAAATGCTTTGCTTAAATACTTTGCTTCGTTTTAATACTTTTTTCATTTGAATATTAAAAATGCTTGATTTTTCGATTTTTAGGTGGCTGGATTTCGAAAACGAAGCAAATTATTTAAAGCCTTCCTTCGAATTTCTGATTTGAACAGTTCATTAAACCCCATGCAAACTTTAAAGGTGTAGTCTGTAATCTGCACCGTTACCTTAAAATAATATTCAGGCTGAACTAGAAGAAGTTGGAGAGTTTCGCAAACGATTAGGCCTTTTCGACCTTAAAAAAGGTATACCTAAAATGATGTCTCGTCTTGGCCTTTGTTTTACCCAAGGAAGAGATACTAATGTTGATATGAGTTTACAAATGCTTGGTTTTGATTTTATTGGAGGGCCGAATTCTAATGGTTTACATTAGATTTAATATTTTAAAGTTTTATGTTAAATTTAGGAGAGCATTATACAATTTCTGATGGATGTGGTTGTATGAGTATGGCAGCTGCGAGAAAAGTAGCAGAAGAAATGGAGCTTGATCCAATGAATCCCCCTTCGTGCATTCAAGTATTTTTCTAATTTGGTTTTAGTTCTATTCAACTCTAGTTTCGCTACGCTGGCTATAAAGGTGTTCTTTCAATTAACCCGAATTTGGATGCTGCTAAAAAATGTTTTGACAAGCTTCATAAGGAAAAATCAAAAAAGGAGACTCGAGAGTCCTACATGGCCGTGGACTTTTATTTCCGCCCTTCACAAAAGAAGTTTAAAATTCACGAAGAAGAAGAACGTCTATGTCGTTTTGAAGTCGTAAAATATTCTGCGCCGGTGCCATTATTTCTTAACAAACCTTTAATTAACATACTTGATCAGGTTAAACATTTGTTTAAATTTTATAATTTTATTTTTTAGGTTTCAAAACTCCATTCTGTCGAATCTTATGAGAGAATTTGTAAAAGATTGCATATGTTGCTTGATAAGCACATCTTTTCTTTATGTTCAACATTGACCGATGAATTGAGGGCTCGGAAACGTTTATCAGAATTACCAAGATATGTTGAGTACGACATGTTAGATGCGATTAACTTCACTCAAGAACCTTTTTTCCGACTTGTTCTACGTGCAGCGGGGAGAGTCTCCCTTTTTAAACTTCGTCAGAAACTAGCTATAGCAATTCCATATCAACTTGGTCGTGTAATGTTTGGAATTGTTGATGAGACTGATTCATTACAATACGGCCAAGTTTTTGTACAATACTCTAATGAAATGGCAGCTTTCAATCATGGGAAGGCCAATAAAAGACATTTTGGCAAGAAGATAATTGTGACAGGTTTTTGACATTCTTTTTTTGTTTAAAAGTTATTTTTAGGTCCAGTTTTAATTTCTAAAAATCCTGCAATTGTTGGAGGGGACGTTAGAATGTTTGAAGCAATCGATGTCCCTGCATTACATCATTTGGTCGATGTACTAGTTTTTCCACGGTTTGGACCTCGTCCGCATCCGGTTATTTTTATAAGTAAATTTTAAATAAATTTATTTGTTAGGATGAAATGGCTGGTTCTGACTTGGATGGAGATGAATATGGAGTTATTTGGGATCCAGAGTTGGCTTTCAATAAAAATGAACCACCGGTTCATTAATTTTTCTAATTTTTAGAAAAAATTTTCAGGCTGACTATACACCAGTTATTTACAATGAGGAAGCTGGCGATAGCTTTGATTGTGAGCAGGATGATTTTCAAGATAAAATGGCAGGATTCTTTGTGAATTACTTAAAGCACGATTCAATTGGACGCATTGCGAATGCTCATTTGGCCTGTTCTGATTTATATGGAATAAAAGCAAAGGTAAAATTTTATTTAAGTTTGAGGCAACAACAATACAAGTTTGTTATTATTTGTATTGTTGTCCAAGCCTGGTTTTCCTATTAAATTAATAACTTATAATAAACGACTTACATCAATAAACTTTTGAATTTCTCAGGTGTGTGGCAATATTGCACTTAAACATCAACGAGCAGTTGATTTTCCGAAAACAGGAAAACATTCTGCCCCTTTGGAATACAATTGGAAAGGTTCTGATCCCCCAGAGAGATTTGAGAGAGCGCCAGATTTTATGGAAAAGGAATCTTCCGAGGTTTAAATTTTTGTTAATTTGTGTTAAAAATATTTGCATTTTTAGCCTCAATATCATAGTAGTCGCCTTAATGGACAATTACACAGACGAGTTAGTGAATTGAGCGATTTTCTTTCTTCTGTAATTGTTCAAGAATCAACAAATTTACCTGATCCTGATGAAATGTTACTTTCTAATGATGGACATGATGCTTATTTGGATAAAGCTCAAAATGATTATAATTTGTATTCCTATAGAATTAAGGTAATTTTTTAAAGAATTTGGGGTAGAAATCATCTCTTCTTAAGTTTTTTTAACAACTTTTTTTTCGAAACAGAAAAACATTCTAACAATTGTACTTTAATTTCCTTTTACTCGTTAAATTACTCAAATTTTTAAGAGATTAATGGACGAATATGGAATTCAATGTGAAGGCGAATTATTCTCCTCAAGTTATTCTGTTCTAAGAAATCGCATTTCTGACCGAGAGACTGATGATATGTCTTTCTTCAACACAACCTATGTTATCGGTCAGCGTCTGTGGGAAATTGGTCGTTTAACTCGTAAAAAATTTTTTGCTTCTGCTGGTGGTAAAATTGAAAAGTTAACAGACGCTAGAGGTATTTGTGTTGATCCGTCAGACAAATTGCGATTATTGTCAAGAGCTTATTACACTATTGCTTATTGTAAGTTTTAAATATTCTAAAAATAAATTTTATTTAAACAATTTCAGATGCAAGCAAAAGACAATATCTTTCGTTTCCTTGGGTTGCCTGTTGGGATGTACTTGACAAAGTTAAACGCACAACAATATTAAAAAGAGGAGTGACAAATTTGGCAATTGATCCTTTTGCTGATAGGCTATTAAGTCATATTAATTTGTTTGTGAGAAGATATGAAGCAAAACTTAAAGAATTCCGTGAAAGAATTTTCCAAATTGATTTTGAAGGGCCTGAGGAAGAGTATGAAAGAAAGTGTTTTTTGCGTCGATATGCAGAGAGATACCTAGGTGAGTAAAATTAATTTCTCGTTGCGGATACGGGGAGGTAATTTTGAGAAGGGATCATCCAAAATTGCTAGGAAATATTTCTCTAGCCTTATTTGGGCGAAAGAGGAGAATTGAGCTAAAAATTGATGTGATATTGAGTGATATGTTTAACCAGGATTGAATCTATGTTAAAATATTTTTATTTTTAAGGGTTGGATATTCTCTTGTTTTTCTGCAGTGAGTGGGGTCAAAAGCAAAAATTATTTGAATTGAGTCCTATCAGAGAAGAACATTTATGTTTATTTGTGGTAGGCATTGAATTGTCTAGAGGATCTTTCTATGAAGTAAAAAGGACTGTTTAGTTAAAAAAAATATTTTTATTTTAGACGCCGAAAGATTGGAGTGATTCTCCATCATCTCCCTCTGCTGATATCTCTTCAAGTTTGGGCAGGCGTTTCTTCATGTTTTTGGAGGCGATGGCTTCTTTACAGTCTAATCGTAAAGAAATTTTTGATTTTCGACATTTTGGCCTAGAATATCAACATTTTTTTAATAATGGTGAATGGAGAGTATTACAACAAGTAGCACTAAATACATATTTACATTTGGTATTTTCTGATCAATTCGACATTGTTTTACCTTCAACTGTAGAAAAAGAGAATTTATTTGTAAAAGAAGAAATATTGGAAGGATCTTGCTTTCAATTAGAACTTCCAAGTACAACAGTCAATGATAATTTTGTAGAATATTACAAATTGTTGGAGGTTCTCTGCAAGGAGAGTGGGTGTGAGCGTATAATGATGCGGTGCCATCCACGTTATAGAATCTGGAGGCGTCGGTTGGTGCCCAATGGCGAATTTCCTAGAGCAGTAAGTTAAACTTAGAATTGGATATATTCTCATTTTCTGGTTAGAAAGATCCCTCGTCTTTAATTGCTTTCCCATAAAAATAAGCCATAATTTAGATATACTCCTTTCGTTCAAAATAATATTAAAATTTTTCATATTTTTTAAGATGAGAATCCTTGTAACATCTTGGGGCAAGAAACAAGCTATTGGACAATTACGTCAATTACTTGCAATTAAGCCTCAAATGGATTTATCTGTAGATCATCGTCTAGCTGTTAGAATAATTCCTGAAGTGACATTAGAATTATTCAATGAATTATTAGACCGTGAAAAAGTTAACTGGGCGATGGAGTATCAATTTAATGGTATCAATCAAATTGAAGAAGTTGAAGAGATTTCGGAGAATAGTCAAGAGGAAGAAGAACTTGTAGAATATTATGATGATAGCGAATGAATTCATTTTGAAATGTTTTTTTTAATTTATTTAGCTCCACTTTTATTTCCTTTTTTCAGTTTTGAGTGTTTGATCTTTTATTTTTCTCTTTACTTTCTTTTTAAATAATTTTTCTAAAATATACAGATATCCAATTATTATTGCCACAAACAATTGCTTATTAACTTAACTTATTTTAGCCTTTTATCTCCCTCAATTCTTGTCGTTTTATAGACAATTTTTGCCCCCTTAAATTGCGTTTCAGCTGCGTGCTATTTCAATTCAAGCCATACCGTTTAATTTCATTCCTACTTTTAAATATCACTTTATTCATGCCATTTAATTAATTTTTATGCATTTATGAGCCATTTTACCTTTTTATTGAATAAAAATTGCAAAAACATTTGATTCGTATTTTTGTTAAGGTTTTGATAATTAGGTTTTTGGACTGATTGAAGTATAATATGTATAATATCTAGTTAGTTCTCTATAGACAGTCATCTGTCAGGAAAACCGTCAGGCATAAAAAAAGTTTACTACAGAATTAATGCCTCCTATATGGCCGTATTTGTTAAGTATGTCTAATGCAAGCATTATCAAAATGAATCATCCTTACATTAAATTGTAAATTCTGTATCCTTTTAAAATTTTATAAGGACCAAAATGTGAGGAATTTTTCTACCTTATTGATGACCTTAAAATTGCTCGTTTCTTAATTTTTGTTTTATTTAGATAAACATAATTCTATTATTTTATTTTTACGAAAAACAGTGATACGTTTTTAAGCACCTCCTTCTTCTGCTGGTGGAATAGATGGAAAAAGTGGGAGTTCCCCGAGAAAGGGAGGCAATCGGGTCTAGCGTAACCAAAAAAAACTTTAAAAGACATCCAGTATTATTGTAAGAAATATAAAAAGCTTCAAATCCAAAGAAAGTTTTGGCAACCTTTTTAAATTCAATAAAATTTATTTTTACAAAAAAACCTCCAAAAGGTAAATAATCCATATGTCCTCTAGACACACCTTCAACACACCTTGGTAAAAAGCCAGAAGGAACTTTGCGGTCATAACTTTGTTAAATTAAAATTATAAAAAATGTTTGCAAAAAAATTTTTGTCCGCAAAAAATTTGCGGACAAAGATTTTGTCCGCAAAGAATTTGCGGAAAAATTGTAAAAAAAGGGACCATGCTAACATAAGATGCCCAAAATTCTTTGAAGAGTATCGGGATTGAGTCTACCACCAGCAAAACAAAAAACGATACAAACGGGTTTTCAAAGATCACCTTTAAATCACTCGTCTTCCCGTTCAAATTTTGAACAAAATTTAAATTACAAAGATATTAAAAACAAAATCTTTAGTGTCAATATTTCCTAAAAAAGTCAAAAAATTATATCAAAACATTTATTTTTAAGCAACAAAAATCAACAATTTTTATTTTTTAACAAACCAAAAAATTTATTATTTCCATTGGATATATTCTCATCAACCAAAAAATATTCTTTTCCTTTTATCCTCATCATCCAAGCAATTAACGACCGCTGCGAGAAAGTCGATTCGCTGGCTTGTCAAAGTAAGCCTTCACACCCTCCATAGTCCCTAATGCACCTAAAGTGTAAAATTGTCAAAGAAATTTTTTGAATTTTATTACTGCTTCCAACACCATCCCAAGCAAGAAGAACAGCCGGATCATCAACATCTCGAATGGCATCGTAACAAGTCTGGTAGAGTTGTTGAAGAAGTGCCCGCTTAGTAACGTAGTTAGCCTTGCTCTGAAATTAAAAAAAATTATTTTCGTAATTTAATAGGAAACATACGCCTCCTTCTGGATTGACATTATCAGGCCACTGAACTTCACCCAACTTCTAAATTATAATTAAATAAATTAAAGTCTAAAATTCATAAGATATACCACTAAAAGAGCATTTGCATAACCCTTAGTTGAAATTCCAACAAGGCCACGATACAAACCTAAAAAACAATTAAATATTGAGTATTTTCAAAAATAATAACTCTCAAAAGAAGCGTCAAAAAAACTAATTTTTGCGCCAGAAAAGTGCTTCTGTTGACCGTCCATAATGCGCAGTTTCCCAATAATGTCGTTGAACACGCCAAGAACTTCAGTCTTGAACTAAAATAAATAAATTTTTAAAATATTTCTGAAAAAGAATGGAAAAGAAGAGCCAAATCACCCTAGGGAATCAAAGAAAGTCAAGTGTATTATTAGGAAAATACTCACAATACTTAAATAAATAAAAAATTTGTGCTGATATTTAATCAAAAAAAGATCAAATAATTTAGATGTTTGAATTCCTTTCCATTTTACATTAAATGGAATAAAATGGATTAAATCAGCCAATAACTCTTTTGGCAAAAATTTTTTATTTTCCATTTATTTAAGTATTTATGCGCATTTTACTAAGAAAGGAAGTTGTCTAGTGCTTGTTCCCACTATTGTTTCAGGGATAGTCAATTAAAAATGGGCAATAAAAAGAGGATGGGAAAATACAGCCCAAAAGCTATTTGGCCTTCCCAAACATGGATTTTTATTTAAAATCCAAATATCACTTCGTGCCCCATTTTTATTGACCTACTTGATTTGGAGGATCCATTTAAGTCAACAGTAGACGAGAGATTTTAAATTTTTTAATTTAATCAAGTGTCCACAAAAATAAAAGATTTTTTTAAGCAAGCGAAAGTCTACTCTAAAATTTAAAACAAAACAGAGTTTTGATGTACTATTTTGAAAGAAAATAATTAAATAAAAAGATTATGCGAAGATAAATCAATAAAAACTAATTACGATGTCATTCAGAATGTTTAGGAAAATTTAAGATTGACCAAAAGAAGAATTGAAAAGATAAAAAGTCCAAAAATAAATAAAAAAAACAAAACGCCACAATTTAATAGTTTGAGCAATATTTTAAATAAAAACATCAAGGTAAAGAGTATGTAAATTGTGGAGACCTTTTCTACGCAATTTTCGTCGTAAAGCTCAATTCAGATTCTAATATCAATCGAGAGGTAAGCAAAATCGTTTTGTGGGATCCCTTGGATTTTTCCCAAAAAATTTTGCGGGATTGCGGACACGGGATCCTTTTCCGCACTGTCCTCTAAAGCAGACATCTAGCTGCCATTTCAATATCTCTAGTTACAAGAATCCTGCTTAATACTCACAACGTCTTAGTCTGCACAAATCCTTGATCTTCCAAATATTTGGATTTGACCTTCTGGGTTGTACCAATGTGTTGAATTGAAGCCGCAGTGAAAAAGGAGTTCAATAAGAATTCTTCCATGTCCAGAATTTTATAATTAATTTAAAAAATTCTTCCTTTCTTATTTTTTCTCATTTATACATAAAAGAAATTCAAGTCATTTTCATAATTTTTTAGATAAAAAATCAAAAAAAGGGCAGACAACGACCTTTTTCAAATGCATACAATTTTTTCTCCCTAAAATAATAATAATCCAAAAAAATATTCCTATACAACAATCATCTTCTCCAATTTTTATTTTGTCTTCCTATAAACGCCACCAACTCATTGAAGCACGCATTTCTTGATATATTGGCCATGCCTCTACTTTGCCTTTAAAAAATAAATTTTTTATTCAAAAATGTTTGAAAAATACCAGTTCCCGCGCATGCAATTTCTCGGTCATAAACATTGTCCATCATTGCAGCTTGCACAGTATCTGCACTAATAAACGAAATTTTACGTTCGAGTTTGGATAGAGTTATCTTTCCAGTATTCAACACCTGGAAAAACAAAATTTATTTTTTAAAGGGCACCCTAAAAAATATTTTTTGAATTAGAGGAAGGTCTAAGGTTCGATGCTTTGCTATAGTCCTGTAGCAAGAGGAACATGTGGAAACCCACACGGGTACCCTTCTAGTTCAAGAAATTTATTAAGAAGTCGTCCAAAAATTATTTTTTGAAGTGAAGGCCCAGGGATCCTTCCCGGTCAAAAATAATTTTTAAAAAAATTTTAACAAAATATTAGAAAAAAACCTCAGTAGCAATATAATTAGCAATTTGGGTGTTTGTCTCCAAATTTGAAAATAAATTTGTTTTTACGCATTCTTCGCTCTTTCAGTTTCTTCATCAGTTATACTTGTTGAAATGTATCTAAAAGGATGCAACAATGTACTCATTGCATTATAACAAGGTTCAATTAATTCTCCATAAAAGACAAAATAAGCGCCGAAAAGTCTAAAAAAATAACTGATTTAATATTGTAATTTTTTGGAGTCTATTTTGGGGTTAGAAAACAAAAATGAGTTCCGAAGATGTATTTAGGTCGAGAAAACATCCTAACTATTTTGGGTGTGAAGAGAAGAAAATTGGACGGATACAGAAATTTTTAAATATTCAAGGGAGACTCAGGTTCAATGCCTGGCCAGTTAGGGGCAGTTAGGCCCCTTAGATATAATCCCTGTATAACAGGTGGAATAGATGGAAAAAGTGGGAGTGCCCCGAGAGAGGGAGGCAATCGGGTCTAGCTTTGTTTGTAACCAAAAAAACTTTAAAAAATACCCAGTATTATTGTAAGAAATATTAAAAGCTTCAAAGCCCAACATTTCCTCTTCTGCTGCAGCTTTTTGAAAATCATTGAAGGAGCGTTTAACGACGCCGCATAAGTTTTGTCCCATTGTCATAAGAAAGTTTTGGCAACCTTTTTAAATCGAATAAAATTTATTTTTACAAAAACTCCAAAGGTAAATAATCCATATGTCCACCTTCAACAGCCAATTCCTTGAAGAGTATCGTTATTTAGTCCACCACCAGCACAAGACGAAACGATACGAAAGGGTTCGCAAATATCACCTTTGAAATCATTCAACGTCTTACAAAAATATTAAAGACAATCTTTAGTGTCAAAATAATTCTAAAAAAAGTCAAAAAATTATATCCAAACATTTATTTTTAAGCAACAAAAATCAACAATTTTTATTTTTTAACAAACCAAAAAATTTATTCTTTCCATTGGATATATTCTCATCAACCAAAAAATATTCTTTTCCTTTTATCCTCATCATTCAACCAATTAACGAACGCTGCGAGAAAGTCGATTCGCTGGCTTGTCAAAGTAAGCCTTCACACCCTCCATAGTCCCTAATGCACCTAAAGTGTAAAATTATCGAAAATCTAATTTTTATTTCGTTTACCTTTACCAAAAGATTTCCACTCACGAAGAACAGCCGGATCATCAACATCTCGAATGGCATCGTAACAAGTCTGGTAGAGTTGTTGAAGAAGTGCCCGCTTAGTAATGTAGTTAGCTTTGCTCTGAAATTAAAAAAATCATTTTCGTAATTTAATAAAAACATACACCTCCTTCTGGATTGACATTATCAGGCCACTGAACTTCACCCAACTTCTAAATTATAATTAAATAAATTAAAGTCTAAAATTCATAAGATATACCACTAAAAGAGCATGTGCACATCCTTCAGTTGAAATTCCAACAATGCCACGATACAAACCTAAAAAACAATTAAATATTGAGTATTTTCAAAAATAATAACTCTCAAAAGAAGCGTCAAAAAAACTAATTTTTGCTCCAGAAAAGTGCTTCTGTTGACCGTCCATAATGCGCAGTTTCCCAATAATGTCGTTGAACACGCCAAGAACTTCAGTCTTGAACTAAAATAAATAAATTTTTAAAATATTTCTGAAAAAGAATGGAAAAGAAGAGCCAAATCACCCTAGGGAATCAAAGAAAGTCAAGTGTATTATTAGGAAAATACTCACAATACTTAAATAAATAAAAAATTTGTGCTGATATTTAATCAAAAAAAGATCAAATAATTTAGATGTTTGAATTCCTTTCCATTTTACATTAAATGGAATAAAATGGATTAAATCAGCCAATAACTCTTTTGGCAAAAATTTTTTATTTTCCATTTATTTAAGTATTTATGCGCATTTTACTAAGAAAGGAAGTTGTCTAGTGCTTGTTCCCACTATTGTTTCAGGGATAGTCAATTAAAAATGGGCAATAAAAAGAGGATGGGAAAATACAGCCCAAAAGCTATTTGGCCTTCCCAAACATGGATTTTTATTTAAAATCCAAATATCACTTCGTGCCCCATTTTTATTGACCTACTTGATTTGGAGGATCCATTTAAGTCAACAGTAGACGAGAGATTTTAAATTTTTTAATTTAATCAAGTGTCCACAAAAATAAAAGATTTTTTTAAGCAAGCGAAAGTCTACTCTAAAATTTAAAACAAAACAGAGTTTTGATGTACTATTTTGAAAGAAAATAATTAAATAAAAAGATTATGCGAAGATAAATCAATAAAAACTAATTACGATGTCATTCAGAATGTTTAGGAAAATTTAAGATTGACCAAAAGAAGAATTGAAAAGATAAAAAGTCCAAAAATAAATAAAAAAAACAAAACGCCACAATTTAAAGTTTGAGCAATATTTTAAATAAAAACATCAAGAGAAAGAGTATGTAAATTGCGGAGACATTTTCTATGCAATTTTCATCGTAAAGAGAATTTATTATAAAAATAAAATTTTTGGTATAAAAGTGAAACTTGAAAATTTAATTTTAAATCAACTTCTAAACAACATCAAGTTTCCAGTGTGCTGTTACGTGATGGATTCTCTCTTAAATTCTCTGCTTCGTCCTGCTGTTCAAATGGCCAGAAATGTAAATTTTTTCTTTTCTTTCTATTCACTTTGTAAAATTATTTTTTAATTTTCAGTTAGTCCTAAACGATTCCGACGACCAAATTGAGCAGATGCGCGGTGACCGAGAAGAGGAGGAGGTGGGACAAGGAGGGGAGGAAGAGGAGGACGCCAACGAAGAAAGCATCCGCAGTGACGTAGCATCGAGTGAGAGAAGTGACACGAGTGTGCATCAATCTAATGAATCGAGTACCGGCAGAACTTCGGGGTCAACTAGAAGGAGCAGCAGTCGTTCGGGAAGTACCAGCGGAGGGCGTGAGCAAAGTGGGGAGACCAACACAGGAGGGGAGGTGTGTTTGATTTTGAGTAATTGTCTTGGAAAAATGTTTATTTTTTCAGACAGATAATGCCAGCGAGCAAGCGTCGTTCGTGGATGAGTTGCCGAATGGTTTGTGTTGACACACTCAACCATCAAAATTTTAAATAATCTTTTTAAAAACAGATTTGCTCTCTACGCGTTCTGCCCGTTCTCGTTCGCCTCCTCGAGGAGAGTCTGGAGTCACTACTGCCATCAGCAATTCGGAGACTAATACGGCTCTTGGTTTGTCACCTTCTCGTCGACGGGCCTGGGACAATGAGTATGACGACGTTAAAACCGCCAGAGTCTGCCAGAGGTAGCTGGAGAGAGTTTATATAAAACTAAAATCCAATTTTAGTGAGGAGAACTTATTGGCAAGTGTGGGAACGTTCAAATGCTGATGGTCTTCGGATTGGATAATGATAGGATGCTATTTGCTTTGCCTAGATGTTGCCAGTTTTGTCTAGAATATTGTAAAGAAATATAAAAAAGGAAAACCTTATTCGATATTTACAAATGTTAAATATATTTATTTTCATTTGTTGTTTGTATTGGTTGTAATTTGTGTTTTGTAATAAATATGTACATTAATTGGGTACGGCCCAAGTAGGCGCGACCGAGTAGGCGCACGGCCAAGTAGGCGCAAGGGCAAATTTCTTAATTTTTACCCAAAAATTTTTTTGTTAATCTTCAACTAATTTTGTTAATTAGTTGGCTGAATAATCGAGCAATTTTATTCAGTCACTGGGCTCTTTCCAAAACGGCCCTCCTTAGGGCAAAAAATTTATTAAGTGAAGCTCGGTGATGTTTTTATTTTGTGATATAGAAAATTTTTTCTGTTAATATTTTTCTCATAAAAGCTTGATACTTAGCTGTTGATAAGTTTTGGAGGTTCTACTGGTCAAATTTGTTAATTAGTGAAAGCCGCGCTGCTTTGATAATTCCTGTGGCTTACCAATGTTATGAATACTAACTAGTTCAGCTAGTTTAAGGGAATGTTATGAATAATTAACCTGTACTAACTAGTTAGCCTTTAGGAACTAACTAGTTTAAGGGAACATGAAGTTTATAGAAAGGTACAATTAACAATCAAGATAAGACTAAAAACTTCTTCAGGCGTTTCATAAAAAAGTCCAGCTACAGTTAGGATCTCTGGATGATCAGATGCTTTTAATGGATTAAAAAATAAATTATTGTTTTTTAATTATTCTTTTAGCTTTTAATTATACTAAAAGGTTTGCGCCTACTTGGCCGTGCGCCTACTTGGCCTTGCGCCTACTCGGTCGCGCCTACTTGGCCCGCGCCTACTCGTGCGTGTCCCACATTATATATATATAAAGAAAGTAGGGGGGTTCATCTACAAGAATCAAGATTGCATCGAAGGCGTAGAGATAGGTTCGGGGAAGTTTTTTTGTTATTTTGGGGCACCGGTGTAGTATTTGGGAAAAATCGGAAAAGTCGAAATTTGGTTCGACAAAGGGTCGAAAATCGAATTCGAAAAAAACGACACTTTGCCAGTTTCGGTATAACTCGAAAGTAAAAAGTCGGAGAGCTTAGCTTCTGCTGGCTGGCCCTCAAGTTGGACCAGATCCAACATTAATAAACTTTAGTTGAAGAGTTTCGGTCGACTTGAAGGGTAGATGTGCTCTGGACAAAATTTGGACAAAGTGTCACTTTAGAGGTTTTGGGACCTAAACATGTCGAAAACGAATCCAGACCGGAAATTTTTTGCCTGTAATCTTGCAGAACTCCCGAAAACACACCGAATGACATATAAACGGTTCAAAACGGACTTTTCTGGACAAAGTTATGACCGGTCAAACCCAAAGTCGCAAAGTCTGACTTTTCAGACTTTCGACCATAACTTTTTTTTAGGGACCGGGATAGAAAATCAAAAAAAAGCATTTTGAGATTTTTTCGTTAGGTTTCGAAATCCGTTGAGATTTTTAAAATCGGCCGAGCCATCTTGGAGCTACACATGGTATTCGCAGAATTGTCGTTATTTTGGCCAAGTATTCGCGAGCTTAGGGAAGGGGAAAGTCTAGGGGTGGAAAATTTAATACGACATCTACATGGGAGTGTGTGGTATCATTCGATAGGTCTAGGTGAGGGGAGTTTGAAAAAAATATTTTCGGGGGTCACTTGAGTCTCGGAAAAATTTTTTAAGGAAAATAGATTCTAAGGTATAGGGAGGGTTGGGGAGTAGTTGGACTCTTTTGGGGAGGCTTTGGGAGGAATTTTGGGAATAAGGGTCACTTGAGTCTCGAAAGTGAAAAATTTCAAAATGGTCGAAATCGGTCGAGTATGGTATCATTCAATAGGTCTAAAAGAGGGGAGTTTTATAAAAATATTTTTGAGGGTCACTTGAGTCTCAGAAAAAAATTTTTAAAGAAAACAGATTCTAAGGTATAGGGAGTGTTGGGGAGTATTGGGACTCTTTTGAGGAGGCTTTGGGAGGAATTTTGGGAATAAGGGTCACTTGAGTCTCAAAAGTGAAAAATTTCAAAATGGTCGAAATCGGTCGAGTATGGTATCATTCAATAGGTCTAAAAGAGGGGAGTTTTATAAAAATATTTTTGAGGGTCACTTGAGTCTCAGAAAAAAATTTTAAGGAAAAGTGTTTTTAAAGTATATGGTGTAGTGGGGGTGACTGGGAACGCTTCAGAGTAATGTTTGGTCGATAGGGTCACTTGAGTCTCAAAGGTGAAATTTATTCAAAATAAGCAAAAAAGACCGATTGGGGTATCATTCGATAGGTCTAAAAGAGGGGAGTTTTATAAACATATTTTTGAGGGTCACTTGAGTCTCAGAAAAATTTTTTCAAGGGAAATTGTTTTTAAGGAGTAGTGTGGGTTGGGGAGTATTGGGACTCTGTTGGGGAGGCTTTGGGAGGAAGTTTGGCAATAAGGGTCATTTGAGTCTCAAAAGTGAAAATTTTCAAAAGGGTCGAATCCGGCCGAGTGAGGTGTCGTTCGATAGGATTAAAAGAGGGGAGTTTTATCAAAATATTTTTGGGGTCACTTGAGTCTCAGAAAAAATTTTTAAGAAAAATAGTTTTTAAGGTATAGGGTGTAGTCTGGGTGGCTGAGAAGGCGTTAGAGTAAGTTTGGTCGACGGTGTCATTTGAGTCTTGAAAGTAAAATTTTTCAAAATTTGCGAAAAAGACCAATTGAGGTATCATTCGACAGGTCTAAAAAAGAAGAGTTTTATAAACATATTTTTGATGGCCACTTGAGTCTCAGAAAAAAATTTTGCCTGGTCAAACGTTTTAGATTTAAGGTACTGCGGAGCGGGGATGGCGGTATAATTTAAGGTACCGCGGAGCGGGATGGTGGCATAATTTAAGGTACCGCGGAGCGGGGGAGGGGGCATAATAAAGAAAAAAATTAAAGGCATAGTTTAAACTTGCTTAATATATGAGATAAGACCTGCAAAAATGAAAGGCATAGGGTAAACTTGCTGAATCTTGAAGAGAATTTAATATTTAGCAACTTATATTTTTGTCGCAATTTATATTTTTGAAACCGCGTAGCGGCTAGAGACAGCCCCGGAAGGCAAAGCATCGTAACTAAACCCGCCATGGGCGCGCAGCGCCCATTCGGCCGCGGAGCGGACGAAGTTTGGGCCGAAGGCCCTAACGGGCAAGGCTTAGGTTCCAACGCCCATAGGGTTACGCACTTTACCGCCAAGGCTTATCCATTTTAGATAAAGCATACGTAAATCTTATAGAGCTGAGGAAAAACACACAACTAGCCCGCGAAGCGGGCTAGTTGTGTGTTTTTTATATAATATATAAAAAAAGGGGTGGGGGTCATTTTTAAAGAATCAAGATTGACCGGAAGGCATTGTCGGATTCGGATGGGGTCTTTTTTATAAAATTTGTGGGTGGTTGTAGTATTTGGGAAAAATCCGAAAAGTTAAAATTTCCCGCGGGAAGGGGAAAAAATCCCGGGAAAACTGTTTTTCCCGTTTCGGTTTTTCGACCTTTTCGACCCCTAAACGAAGACGTAGAAAGTCGGACCTGCTTGCTTGTCGGATCTACACCTGATTCTCTACAACATAGCACTTCGAATTTTTCGGTTTCAGTGGACCGAAATTGAGATATAAATTCCACCGGATTTTCGCACTTTTCCCCGTTCGCGTTCAGGGGACCTGAACTTGTCGAAATCGAACCCGTATCGAAAAATATTTGGTAGCAATGTTGTAGAGCATCGGATGGGGCACCCTACAACGTTTGTTTGGGCTCCGTAGGCCAAAGTTAGGAAAAGTTATGGGAGGTCGAACAGCCGGTCGCAAAGTTCGACCTTTTAGACTTTCGACCATAACTTTTTTTTAGGGACCGGGAAAAATAATCAAAAAAAAGCATTTCTAGATTTTTTCGTTAGCTATCCAAATCCGTTGAGATCACGGAAATCGGTCGAGCCAACGAGGCGTGAAAAATGGCAACACCTCTTCAGGTCGAACTTATTTTTGGACGAGGAAGGGGTAGGTCTTGGGGTGAAAAATTAAACTGAGAGATAACTGGGGTTGTGTGGTATCATTCGATAGGTCTAGGGGAGGGGAGTTTGAAAAAAATATTTTTGGGGGACACTTGAGTCTCAGAAAAAATTTTTAAGACAAAGTGTTTCTAAGGCATAGGGATGGTTGGGGAGTGACTGGGGGTTATTGGGAAGGCCTCTGAGAGTAGTTTGGGTGAAAGGGTCACTTGAGTCTCAAAAATTTTATTGCCAGAATAAGTTGTATGCATGTGGGGTATCGCGGAGCGGGCATGTGAATGCTTGCAAAGCATTTTTATCAAATTTTCATAGTCGGACACTTGAGTCTTAACATTTCAAATTTTGCAAAATTCTATTTTTTGACCGCGCGTAGCGCCTAGAGGCAGCCCCGGAAGGCAAAGCAACATAACTAAACCCACCATGGGCGCGCAGCGCCCATTCGGCCGCGGAGCGGACGAAGTTTGGGCCGAAGGCCCCAACGGGCAAAGCATAGGTTCCAACACCTATAGGGTTACGCACTTTACCGCCAAGGCCAAATGTAACTCGGATAAAGCATACGTAAATCTTATAAAGCATACGTAAACGCTACATAACTAGCCCGCGAAGCGGGCTAGTTATGTAGCTTAATTATCTAGATAAAAAATTACAGTGTTCCATCTGAAATAATATCTCTCTCGAAAAATTAGTGCCACTCTAAAATAATCCTCTTCCCGACAAGTCTTTAGAAAGTACTTTTAGCTCTTACTTCGACAATTAGTTAAGGGGCAGCAATAGTCTTCCATAATAAAACTGGCATTTGGTTAGAAATCAGAATCGAAAAACTGATTGACCCTTTTGAACTATTTTTTCGATTTCTTTTTTTGATAATACAGAAGATTTATTCGCTCTGTTGGCACTGAACTGTTCCTATAAATTTTAAATGTTCACATTAAAAAATAACGAAACAACTAAAACTAGAAAAAATTATAAAATGTTCTAACGGAAAATTGTTGTAAAATGGTAGTTATCGAAATAAAATGTTATGATTTTGTTTCAGCTATTTTAAACCTTAATTAATTTTCAGGTAAAATACTATGTAAATGTCTAATTCAAAATTTGATAAATTGGATAGTCTTGCAGAAAATTCCAAAGATTGGACTCTTCAAAATGATATTGATGTAACTTTTAATTAAATTTTTTTAATTTTTCGATTTCTTTTTTTAAAGTTAAAAAATATACTTGAAGAATATTCAAAAAATTTAATTAAATCAAGTGAAGGATTAAATGAAGGAATTAAAAAATTAAATGAAAATATGGAGAAAATTGATGTTAGATTGGGAAATGTTTTTAATAATTTAAATTATTTAAAGATGACGAGACTTGTTGAAGAGGTCAATTTCTATTTTTGGAAATATTGGGTCTAAATATGAATCCTGAATATTTTTCGAATTGTTCAACAGTTAATTATGGAAAGGGTTCTTAATTTTCCTTAGGTTGTATATACTTTTACAGATGGTCAGACTTTTTCCTTTCTTCCATTCCAATTCCTTTCTAATTTTGCCATTCTATTCCTCCTTGGATCGTCGAAAGGAGAAATTTTACTATTCTGCAAAATTTCTCCATTCTCCTTCCAAAACACTTGTGGAGGAAAAAATGGGGTCTGTCAGGTCAATATTACCTAAATTTGTTCTGTCATATTTTGGGTTTATTGCCTCAATTTCTAATTATTTAATTCTTTTTTCTCACTTAGAAGGTTGATGATATTTCTCTAGATACTCTTGTTCAAAGAAATCAACGAAATGTTAATGAAAAGAAGGTTTATTTGAATAATTTTATTTAGAAAAATTTTTCAAATTTTTTAAGAATTTAACAAAAGAAGAATTTGAACAACAAACAATTCAGACAATTTCTTCTTCAATTATTAAAGCTTTTCAAAAAATTTCTGAAACAAATATTCCTATTACTGAGGGGTTTTCTACTTCCGATCCTTTAGATCCTTGTAGCAGTTCTCAAATAAAAAATTCTGATTTTAATAAAGAAATTGAAAATCCTTTTGTTAAAATGTGCAAATTTCCTCCAATTATTGGATCGAAGGAGTCTTTTAATTATTCAAGAAGGGGAGTTGTATTGAAGGAAAATACTCCAAATATTACAACAAATGTTGAAAAAAGGTTTGTTTTATTTTTAAATTCGTATTTGACAAATTTAAAAAAAAATTAAAAGTTTTGCATCATTTCCTTGCTTCTAGCAATATTTTAGGTTTATTCCCAACTTGGAAGTAGTTATCAGGGATCGGAGTTGTAAGGGAAAGGGTTTATGTTCTGAAATTTTATTCTTTTCTGCTCTATTTTAAAATGCAATATTAATGGCCTTGAAACCTTGCAGACCTTATATTTTTTATTTATTTTATTAGAGCTTCCCTCTCATTTTTATAGTTAGTACTAACAATAAACTGTTCATGGCTTATTGCTAGGACGGAATTTTTTGAAATTCTTTTAACAATGAAGCTGACTTAATTAAAATATTTCTCTAACATTTCTAGTTTTTTTTTTAAATTTCAGTTCAATACAAAAAGTCACTTTAAAAGAAGAGGATATTCAATCAACGTCTTCTGGACGTTCTATTCCTCCTCAAGATCCGACTGCTGGATTTAATCAAACAAAAACACTTCTTGATCAAATGGTTGCAAAAATGGCTGAGAAAAGTAGGGCAATGGGAATTGAACAGGTTTTTAATTTTATTTAAAAATTTTTAAAATTTACTTTTAAGGGAAATTCTGAACACTCTTCTCTTTCTCAAGGGTTATCTTTGGAAAATTCGGGTAAAACTACAAGTCCATCTTTTTCTTCAACAAGTTATGAAACTTCAACAAGTTCGCGACCTGCTGAAGTAATTTATTATTATTTTCCTAAGCTCAAACTTATTGCTAGTTAACTTATTAATTAAAAGACAATCTTTTTTAAAAACCAATCTTCCCTTTCCTCGATTTTTAAGACAGTGAGTTTGTTTTCATTTATATTAAAAATTGTTTACAATTAATGTCTTTAATTTTAACAATTTTAAATAAATTTGCTGAACTAATCATGCCCAAAAACTTCAACCCCCCTCCCCCCCCCCCCCCCCCCAAATCCACATTTTTATAAATTATTTTTTAATTTAGAAAATACAAAAGCCAGAAAATGCTCATTTCATAAATGAAAAAACTTCAGAAAAATCTTCAATTCATTCTTCTAAACAATCTACTAATTTTATTAAAAATCCAATTTCTGCAAAGGAAAGAGATGAAGAATTATTTTCAAGTACAGAAAGTGATGATTATGAAGATAATACAAGTATTTTTTCATCTAATACAAAGAAATCTGTAACGAGTGGAATATCTAATGAACAACAAAAAGTTCCTTCTAATATTGTTAATATTCCAAAAGATGATCGAAACAATGTAGTGATTCAACATTCTTTGGAGGTTAAATTTAAAATTTTCTTAGAGGGGTTAGGCTAGTAAAGACAAACATTGATTTTTATATTTCTATCAGAAATGCTTTGTTTTTGAATTCGTACGGAATCCCTCTCCCTCCAATTATTACAGCAAATATTGGACTAAATATAGAACAATGTCTGAGATTTTTCGTAAAATGTTTTCTAAAATTTAATTCACCATTTTGGCCCAGGCTTTGTCATATCTTTAATACAATATATTTTAATATCCACATATATTTTTATTTTTTTAGACAAAAGAGTTCGAGAAGACTTCAAAACCTTCAAATAATCAATTAAATTCTTCCAAACAAAATCAACAATTGACGGTTTATTAAATTTAAATAAATCTAAATTTAAAATTAATTTAAGGAACAATCATTTACTTCTTCACAAAATCAAGTTTATATTAAAAATGATAAAAAAGAGTCCAAAACTGGTGAATTTAGTTCTGTTTCTGTTAGAGGTTTAATAGCTCAAATTGGTAATAAAATTCCAATTGGCCGTCCTGATGAGAAAAATGCAAAGGAAACAAATCGGAAGGAAAGAGAAGAAAAAACGGAACAAGAGGAGCAGGCACAAATTTCAAATGAACATTTAAATATATTAAAGGTTTTTAAGGAGTTTTTTTATTTTATATTTGTTTTTTAGGGAAGAGTTAAAGGTCCAGCATCGAGAAGAGCACCTTCACATTTAAATGTAAAATTACAAAAAAATAATAATTTGGATGAAAATTCTAAATTAAATGAGGAATTTAATAAATCTAAAGAAAATGAAATAAAAGAATTGGAAAATAGGAAAGAAGATTTGGAAAAAGAAGTTGTAAAACCTATAGAAAAATTAGAAGTTTTAAAAGAAGACCCAAAAATTATAAAAGAAAGTTCAAAAGAACTTCCAAAACAATTAAAAGAACAACCAAAATCAGAAAATACCCACCAAAAATCAACTGCAATATTTAATAATCCCAAACCAATAAAGAAAGGTCTTTCAATTTTCTCTTCGAGTAGTGACGATGATTTTGATTTAAATATTAATAAAAAAATTGTAAAAGAAAAAGTTGTAGAACAACCAAAACAATTTAAACAACAAAAAGTTGAAAATATTGGAGAAATAAAACAACAAAATGTAGAAAAGTTGAAATCAAAACCTGGTGAATTTTTTTAAATATTTTATAATTAAATTTATGGAAAACCCGGGAAAACAGAAAAAAAATAAAAAATAATGAGAAAACTTTTCGTCTAAAATTCTTCTTTTTTGATATTTTCTTATATTTTTATTTGATATTTATTTATTGGGATAGCTCTACCCAGCTTTGAAAGTAAACAGGGGAAATCTCTTTTCCCCTGTTCCGAAGGAAAAAATTCAATTTTAAAAACGATTAAATTTCTCTAATTTTTAAAAATTTCCTATTTAGATGTAACACAACAAAGAAAAGGCCTTTTTGATGATTCTGATTCCGATTTTTAATTTTATTTTAAATTAATTAATGCTCATTATTGCCTTCTGACTTTGCTTTACTCAAAATAAGCAATTCGATTATTACGAGATATATATTCTATATAATTTTTGTGATATAGCAAAAATATATTAATTTACATATATTATTATAAATTTATTTGCATATTTTACAAGTTTTAAATACGCGTGACATTTTAATATATTTTAATAGAGTTAATCTCCTGTCAGTTCAGGTGATAGAAAAATTATTACAAAAGTATATTAAAAATCCATAACATTTTTGAGAGATTGAAAACATGTCGAGAAGGTCACTTATTATTTTATTTGACCAATCTTTCCTTTTAATTTAATTCTCAGGTTATTAGGGAGGATTCTTGAAGACTAATCAAGATTAAAAATCTGGGGATCATTCTACCTGTTTAATCTCATTCTTATTAAAAATCTTTCTTTTTTCTTTCAAATTTATTTAAAAACAAAAATTAATTTTTTAAAAACATTCCAAGGACAGATTTTTTACTTGATCATTCCACAACTTAAACCAGTCTAGTTTTTTTGTTCTTCCATATTTTCCACTAGAAAATTTAATTTGTATAAAAATGTATGCATTGATCCATGCAACAATTTTCTCTTTTTTACATTCCGGAATTTTTAACATAAATGAGAGAAAGAATGCACACAGATTTGCTAAACCAGTTTTTTGACTAATCTTCTTTTCCTCTGAAAAATATAAATTAAAGTGTGGCCACGCGTTACGATCTTTGGTCATTTTTAGGAAGGAATTAAAAACTACATACTTTCACATTCCCTTCTCATTGTCAGCTGTAATTAATGGGAGGGGTTTTATGCAAATGTTTCTTCCTCTTTTACAAGCAAGCAATGATTCTTTAAGTCTAATAAACATTCTTTCTGAATTCTCTAAAAAATAAATTGTTCTACTTTTTTAGTCCAAAACAATAAGAAAAATTAGTAATTGTATTCTTGTACAAGAAAAACTAATCTCATTATTACTAACTCAAAGGCAGTCCTCGTTTAATTCATTTTACTCCAGCAATTCTCACCCTTAATTACTCGTCGAGAATTCCAAAGAAAAAGTACTATGTCACATACAAAAGTGGTTATCAAACAATTCTAACTAGAATAGTTTATAGGATATTTATTCCTTTTTTGGCCAGACAATAGGAATCAGACTTATGTATGTCACCATTATTATTATCACTATTACATATTAGAAGAAAAAACTAACTGAAGGATTAACATTTTACTATACTATTTGTTATATATACAATTCTCCCTCCTATCTGTAAGTTTCCTCTTTCTAAAATTCTAGTTAATAATCATTCACAATCATGCAAAATAACAAAAATCAGTTTAGAGAGAAACTGTCGCAACTTTTCAAAATATTGTGAAAATATTATTATTCCCCTTTGACCAATCGATTTTATTTTTTTCTTCTCTTAAAAATTTCTTCATTCATTCAAGTCTAATTCTTTCACTCTACTCTCAATTCCTCTTTTTTACAGTCCGAAAAAAGTGGTTTTACGCCTTTCTTTCATATTTTTCTCCAACCAGTCGTTTACTCACCAATATATAAATGATAGATGAAAGAATTGTGAGGCAGCCATTTTTTTCTCCCTCCTCTCGATGAAAACACAAGAATGAAAACGAAGAACAACATTACTCTCCTCCTTATTATACTTCCCCCATTTTTTCTCTTTCCTCATTACATTTTACCCAAAGCTGGACGTAATCGTAAATATATTTTTTAAAAACATTTTTTCTTTAAAAATGCGCATTTTTGGTCAAATTTGGATATTTTATCCTTGTGGACGTTTATGAAAGGCTAGGAACTTCCAAAGATTATAATGAGAAGATTTAAGGTAGCAAAACTAGTCCCCTAAAACTAAGGCTAGTTCTTCTTTTAAAATACAACTTCCAGTCTCCTCCACCCCTTACCTTCCCCCCACTTTAAATCTTCCAGCCAGACATCTGGAGACTTCTTTTTGGTTTCAAACAAAAAAAATAAATAATTCATTCATTGACCACTTTTTAATCTTTAAAAAACAAAATTTTCCCCCTTCTCTTTCTCCTTGTTTTACATACAATTGTCATTATTGCTAAACATTTTTTCCCTTCAAAATCGCCAACCAGCCGTTTGTTTGCGTTCGTCTGTTAGTTTTTTCCAGTTTATTGTTGCGACCGAATGACTTTTTTTCTGTAATATATTTGGCCGGCTGGTTTTTTTCTTTTCCATTTTAACCATTTTTATACACAATTCTCTTTTATTTATTGAATAACCAAATATTTTTTTGAATTAATATAAGCTAACAATAAGGCCATGTTGCGTTCATTTTAATTTATTTTAATATAACATATATATTTTTTGAATAATTAAACCAAACCTCAATGTTCTGTTTTTTTTCTTCAATATTTTTTTAAATTTCATTACTCAAAATTTAATTAAAAATAAATTTTTTTATTAAAGAAAAGTATTTTCAGAATTTTTTTGATTTATTTCCTGATTCTTTTGAGAGAATAGATAAATAATATAAATCATTTTCCCCTCTTTTAATATTTCGGATTAAATATATTGCCAAAATTATTTTCCTTTTATTTCGTCTTATCATGAAATTCTCTAAATAACAAAACCTTTTTATAGGTTGCTGACTAGGATTTCTGCTAAAATGTCTATCGATACAGCAAACTTCCTCGATCCTTTCAGTTTGATATATCTAGACTTGATTTTACATCAATTTTAATAAAAAATGCTTGTTTTGCTAATTATTTATTTAAACATTTTTGGAAAGTTTTCAGATTTATTTTTCTATTTAATACTTAAAATATTTCAGCAACCCTTTTAACAACAATAAATTAATTAAATTTTCTTCAAAATTAATATTTTTCTTCTACATAAAGTTAAAAAAAAATTCCAACAATTTTTTATTACCTCCTCAATATAAATTCTAAATTAAATATCCTTCCCTTGTATTTAAAAATGATGACTAATGTCCAAAAAAACTCAACAAAGATGATTCATTTAGTATATTTTATTTGCTTCCAGAAGAGTTTTTATTTATTTTCTCTTATATTCCCAATAAAAACCTTTTAAAAATACTCTAAGTCAAAATATTTTAAAAGAAATAAAATTCGTCACGCAATTTTTTTGGATATTTTATTGCTATATTTTGGGTGATGTTTTCTCATCTTTTTTGGTATGTATTTTATAAAAGAAAATTATTTTTTTAATAAAAAAATTTTGAGAAGGAAAACTCTGGTTTTGGGAATAGACCATAACCAGAGTCAATTGTTCTCTCACTAGTGATCGAGATTTTTGAAAAACCTGGGCCTGTTCCTGGGTTTGATTTATTGACCTGGGCCAGATTCAGAAAAACCCCAGTAAGGTGAAAAAATGCCTGGGCTCTGGGTACAGGAGAGCTCGAAGCCTTGGTCCAAACCCAGCTCTATCTCTACTAGACACCTAATTAGCGATTTGTGATACTTGAATTGGTAGCAAATATTTTTTTGTGAAACAACAATAAAATATAAAACCAGAGTCAATTGTTCTCTCAATTTTGGAGAATTATCTCATTGTTAATATTTATATTTTGAAAATAATAATTTTTTATAGTGGGGGCATTATTTTAAAATAAAATTTAAAAAGACATTTAGGGGTTAGAAAAATTCCAAAAAAATAAGAAAAAAAAGTGCAAACTGCGCATGTTTCTTTTTCTCATCAATTTTCTCTAATTTTCTATTCTCGATTGTTTACTTGAAATACTTTTTGTTTATTTAATAATTTATGGTCGATAATATTAAAAATAAATAAAAACAAAATAAATAGTAAACAACTACTAACGGATTAAATAGATTTTTTAAAATCCAAGCCATTACGCACATTTTACCAAAACAATATTGAGGTGAACAGAACTTTTATTTTTTAAAAGTTAAAGGGAAATTTTCTTGGTCTTCATTGGGGGTAATTTGTTTGTTTCTCAGATATGAATTTTTCGAGAATTTTCATTTTTTTCCTCAGATTTTCAATTTCTTTCCTTATTCGTCTGAATTCTTTTTTTAAGTAAGATATCTTTTCTGTGAATTAAACTCCATACATATTTCATTTCTATTTTCAAAAATAAAAATTTTTGTTTATTTAAATAGTCCCTCTAAAATATTAAATTTTAACCTCATTCTTCCTTTTTCCATTCCCGACCCCCTTTCTGATTTCGAGACCACCCATTTACATGTCTCCTCCTTACTTTTCTACTCACATCTCTTTTTCCTAATGTCATCTCCTTCCTACACATATCGACGACAACAAACACAATTTGGGGGCCAAAAAATATATTTTTCAACCCGAATAGCCTCAAAAACATCCTCCCCTCCTCTCCCTCCTTCTCAATGTTTTTATTTTTCATTTTCTCTTCATCATTCGCCCTCGAGCGTTGAATTTTCTCTATTTTGTTTTTCCTAACTCTGCGTCTCTTTCCTTTTCTTTTGTCTGTCCGTGCCTGTCCGTTCCTGTCGCGCTTACATTTAGGACACTACTAATCGGCGGTCAGCAAGCTTAGGAAAAATTGGAGAAAAGAAAAATTTTTAAAAAATATTAGAGACATAATGGTCAGCAATTTATATGTAGTTAGAGGGGAGAATAAATTGACATGAGAAAAAATTTTTTTCAAAAAAATTTTGTTCCAAAAGAATAAATTTTTTTCCTCCCTCCCAAAAACTAGGCGTGTCAGACAAAACACCGTTCACACATTAGAGTAAAAAATACCGTACAATTTGCCTGAAGTAAACAAATTTTTAAATAAAATTTTTGGTGTAGGGTACACAATTTTTTGCAAAAGTTATCACATTTTTGAGAAAAATCTATGGACATTTTGTCCATTCTCTAAATATTTTGTGTTTTGAAAGAACAACAATTTCTCTTCTCCTTTACTCTCTATTTATTCTTTGCATACCTCTACTTAAATATTTTCTCCTATTTTCTCTTTTTATATGCGCATTCTCTATTCTTTGGCGGTCGTTTGTTGGCTTTTCGCCAAATAACCATTTCTCGTGACTTAAACTCCCCCATCTTCTTCTCTATTTTTCTCCTTTCCTTTCACAGTCACTAATCTTTAGTTTAACCTCGTTTCTCCGCCATTGGTCATTCACACTAAAAATATGTTCCAAGAGAATAAATTTCGTTTTATTTTCTTTCCGGTCATTTTCGTTCCCAAACAGAGATCTCTTAATTTTTTAACGATAAATGTTCTAAAATATTTTTTAACCTTGAAGATTTTTCTATCCTTTTTCTTAATATTTCTTTTTATAATCACACTAGGCACTCATGAGATCAACGCGGCCAAAATGGTTTTAAATGTCGATTTTTAAAAAACTGAGTAAAAGGGCAATTGAGTGCTGCTACGGAGGATAAGCCTTTGCTGCGGTCAATGTTCCGTTCGATATGCTTTTTTCATCCGTATCGAGAAAAAATTTTCCGCGGTTTCATAATTCCCATTTTCCCTTGAAAATACGAATAAAATAAAAACATAACCATAATCGGACCAAAAATTAGATCAATCCCTCTAACTCACTTAACCCTTTCCGAATTTTTAAAAATCGACGTTTTTTAAAAATCGACGTTTTAAAAAACGTCGGTTTTTTAAAAACCGACGTTATTTATCGGTGTATTTTTATACCCATTTTGGCCGTGGGGATCTTTTACTTTAGCTATATTTTGTTCTGATGGACACTCATGAAAAATACATATTTTCTGAACTTGTCCAAATTTTTCGTTATTTTTCACGTGTTTTTAATAATTTTTCTAATATTTCTCCGCTAATTTGATCTTTAACAAAAAAAATAATTCTAGAAAATTCTTTTTTGCTATTTTTACCTGTTCAAAATTTTAAATCCTTCAATTGGGCGAATTTTGGCAGTTTGCCAAAATGGTTCCTTTAGACACAGCTCCCTCATTATTCTACATATCTTTTTATGCTGTCTTTTTCTTTTTTCCTCTTCTTTTGTCCACTCATCTGGTCAATGGCGCTTGGGTTTTCATCGTTTCTTCCCTCGTGTTTAGTCCCTTCTGGCGCCGTCTAGTGGACTTTAGACGGTCTTTACCACTTACATTGTTCACCAACGATTCACTCATACAAGTGCTATGTTTTCTGTTGTTCTAGAAGAAATTTTTTAAAATTTATATTTTTGACCGGTTTCCCTCCCAGCTCTTATTTTATGAGAAATTTTCATTTTTTGCGCTTGGCTTGGATTTTAAAATTTTTTTTGGGGTACATCTCCCGTTCATCGTTTTCTTTTCACTTACTTCAGATTAACTGGTCGATTATTTTTAAATCTAATTGTTGACCATAAATTTTTATTCTCTAATTTATTCTGATTATGGCTAAAATCTCTATCTGATCAACCCGTAGATCCGAACTAGTCTCTCGTGTCCGTCTTTGGCGCTAGTCCAAAACGGGCCGCATTTGGGTAGACTGGCTCGGCGTTTCGGGTGGATTGGTTAGGTGGAAAGGCCTTTTTAAGCAATTCTACTCTATTAAATTCTTAAAATTATTAAAATTTAAATTCTTTTCCTACAACATTAACAACACAAATTATTGATAATAACAGAATGAGAATCATTAGACGAAAAATATTTAATCGCTGTTCCTTTTTAAACAAATTTTTTTTGGAATTTTTGATTTTATTTGAAAAATAAATTTTCAATCATTAACCCTTTTTGTTTAAATGAGAGGTTTAAAATTTGGAAAAAAAACATTTTGAAAGAGTTTTGAGTCATTAAATTACAAACTTAATAAATTTAAATTGCATAATGTGTATGTTGAGGTAGTAGGTTGTATAGTTAAAGAACAGTATCAGTCGGAGTAACTAACGCAGCCTGCTCACTCGGCAATCACATTCTTGCTCGAAAAATAAAAAAAATTGAATCTTTCTCATCTCTCTTTGATAAATGCGCAGTTTGCACTATGAAAACTTTAAACTTTTTGATATAAAAGAGTACAATTAAAAATAATTTAAACAAATTTTTATAATAAAGTCATGAAAAAATTGAGCAGATAAGTTACATGAATTAGTTATTTTGATGATCTTTTTGATTAACTTTTGGAAAATAAGTTTCAATACAAAAGGTGTATATCAGGAATGTACGAGTTTCGTCTTTCACCGATTTTTGCATTTTTTGTTGTTTCACCATTCGCTTTTTAAATTGACTTTCGCAGTTCGCTTTTTTGAGCGAAATCTTTATAACCCCTAATGACAGATATTTAATTTGAGTGAAAGATAAGCGGGAGAAGAAAAGGAAGGGTAAAAATGAGGCAAGTGAAAATAAATATAATTTTTTGTCGGAGGAATGTATAGTCGATTGGTTAAGTGTCTGTCTTGGATTCGGATATTCGAAATTTACGGTTCGGATATTGGATCCGAATATCCAGCGATTTCCCAGGATCCGACAACTCTATTCACAGTCAAAGAAAAGAGATTTCTAGGAATCATACACAAATAAAAAAATCAAGGTCAATATTTTCCTTTATTTCTGACGTCCTCTCAAAGCCACGATAATCTTCTAAAATCTTCTGAATCCCCGATGTAAGGATTATAAAGGTTATCTGGGATTGGGATAATTTATTGTGCTATTTAGATTTTCTTTTTGAAACTTCTAAAAGTCAACACAAGATAACTCAGGCGTAGAATTTCCAAAAAGGGAATTTATGAAGATTAAGATAGGAATTTAGTATTTTAACAATTTTGGGGTATCTTGTGAGGGTCTGATCATTTTTAGTGAAAATTTTTACACGTCAATATTTCTAGGATATGGATTATTTTGTAGCAAATTTTATGGGCTTTTCAGAAGGCCTAAAGGATGGAGATGTTGATAGAAACTTATAATTTATTGAACTCATAATGAAAAACCAAACTGTTCGCAATTTTTTCCCCGCACTAAAAGTGGACTGTCCGCAACTTAAGTTTTTTGGATGGAAATTCTCAAAATAGCGCTATTTATAAATTTAGTTATACAATTTACACAAAACTATCATATATTTATTTATTCACAAACGAAAAAATGAGTGAAATCAACACAATTATACAAGGCAAAAGAACAATAAGTGAGTGAAATCAACGCAATTATACAAAGCAAAAGAACAAGTGAGTGAAATCAACACAATTATCCATCAGTTCTTCTTTGTTGTTGTTCAGCCCTGTGTTTTTCATACTGCTCCGCAGCCTCCCTCCGCTTTCGCTTGACGACCTTTTCATATTCGGCAAGGAACGTTTCCACTGTCGCTTGTTCAAGCTTGCCTGCCACGACTGCTGCATCGATGACTGCTCTGTGGAGAAACAAGTACTGAAAATAAAAAAAAATTTCTTTTAGAAACAGTTACACTTAGAGTACTTGAAGGTCAGTTTGAATTGCCCGCTCCCGTTGATTGCGCACAGCTCGGTAGACGGTCGACATCTGGATCAGGTGGTCGTTCTGGATCAGGTTTCTGATGGCGATCTCTATAGCAGCATAAGTGCCAGTGCGGCCGACTCCAGCGCTGCAGTGTATAAGTACGGTGCACTTCTTTTCGATCGCCTGTCGCAGAATCGCAAGTCGGAATTGGCGAAACGAAGTTGGATTGTCAGGGACGTCATGATCGGGCCATCCATCGAACCGGAAATGCGCTACCTATAATTTTAAGAATTCGGTTTAACTCACTCACTCTTTGCTTACATCCATGGGCTTTTCTCCTCTCAGTGCGACGTTGAACAATGTCCTTTTCACATGCGGGTTAGAAGGCGATTCCTTTGTCTGGCCCCTTTGTTCCACAGTGACGTTGCCATAGTTGGTCGATTTCCCCTGCGGAAAGTAGTCTGCACATTTCCTCCGCCCATCCTCGACGTACTGGCAGAGTTGAACGATGACCTGGAATTGAACGAACAATTTATTTTAAACGTTGATATTCAGCTAAAAATTTAAGTCCTACCGCGCAATTGTTTTCTGCAACCATTGTCCAGAAGTGGCCGATCGTCCTGTCCACGGGTCCTTGGGCGCAAATCATTGGAAAAGGTCCACCTTTTACATGCGATGCATGAATGTAGTCTATCCCGCCGGAACTTTTCAAGATGACCCGCGAATGGTCCAGAAGTTGGACGTCCTCATAGCGGTTTAGGCCCAGAGACTCGCTCTCGATCCGATTGAAAGCCTGGTACGTTCCGCCGGGTCGCCTGTACTGCTGGAGATCTAGGGCGTACTGTTGACGAACAATCCTGACTTCGTCCTGATTGATGACTAAAATATAAAAATACAAATCAGCTTTTTAAAAAATTTTGCAAAATTCAAGAAAATTACCTTTAAACCAGCGCTGAGCAGCATTCTGTTCTTGTATGAGCGAATTTGTTGATGACCGTTGTCGTTCTTCGTCTGGTAAAGGCTCAACTGCGGCTCTCGATGCTGCGTCCTGACTCCCCTTACAATGGATTGCTGACCACCTGCCGTCCTCCCCCTGGATGCACTGCGTCCTTGAGCTGTTCGACGATGGTTGCCGGCTGTTACCATCCTTCTGTTGCCGACAGAACAACGCCTATTGTCGACTGATACGCGCCTGTTGTCCCTGCTCTTGCTGCGTCGACGTCCACGTGAGTCCTCCTTCCGATTCGGCGCCATCATGAGTTGTGAGAGTTGTGCCGATTAGTTCGTCTATTTGCTTACTTTTTATACTACGAATTCCCGGTTTTATCAGTTACGCTTCAATATAAAAGCAACCGGGTTATCATCGGACAACCATCACCGACAATACACCCAATCTTCCAGCTTTTTCTGTTCAATGGACTCCGACTACATCAACTTAGGCGCACCTGCGGCCGCGTGGAACCCAGCATCACAGAATCAGCAGCAGACTACTGCGCCCGAACCTGCTGGCCCGCGTTGTGTCGACGGCGGTCAAGCCGAATCTACCAACTCAGCCGACGTGATACAGCAGCCGAATTTCGATCAGTCCGCCTACGTTGACTTGTCTACAAGGGCGCAGCCGACGGCAGAGAACGAGACGCTCTATCAGGCCAAAAAGGCTAGTTTTTCTTTGAGTCCATTTCATATAATACATAAATAGTTAATTACAGGTTCCAAGCGCGCCGGATGCAAGTTTCGAGAAGCAGCAGCCTCAGGAGCAAGCATGTGGTAAAGAAGACAAGGGAAGCGTGAGCAACGACAAGCTTGCAGTACCAGAAGGAGCAGATCTCTCAGTGCGTGACAATGACTTGTTTGCCATCATGCGTGTTGGATATGGTCCGCTTCGTCTCGTTCACTTTGGACCTTTCTCCAGAGTCTACTTTGTGCGTCACAAAAAGAATCCGGCACATGAGTGTATGGTGAAAGTTGAAGCTCCCAATGAAAAGAAGTGAGTTTTAGGGCTAAAATCTCATAAAATCTAAATTCCTTTCAATTATTAACAGGAGGACTTTGGGCATTGAGGCTCGCGTTTATCTTGACTGCAAAGGCGTTTGTGGCTTCGCGGAACTCTACGACCGTTTCCAGACGTCCGACGGCAGCCGTGTTCTTGTGATCCAGCGTCTAGGCACCGACTTAAACCGAATTAGACTCTCGCTACCCAATCAGATCCTGACTCAAGCTGATGCACTCAAACTTTGCCTGGAAACTTTTGCGCGCATATGGTCACTCCATGATCGAAATTGGATGCACCGGGACATTAAACCGAGTAATTTCGTCGTTGGACTGCCTCAATCGGAGATGGATGACCAAGTCTTCATTATAGACTTTGGATTGGCTCGGCAGCGTCGGGAAAAGTCACGTCCAACCGGAGCGTGTCCAATATTGGGCACAGATGCCTACAGGCCGATTTCGAATTACAGCCGTGTGGAGTACCAGCCGAAGGACGATATCGAATCCTGGTTCTATATGTGCCACGAATTCTTTAATGGTAAATTTTTTGAGATTTACCAATTTTGTAAACCAATTTATTTTTCGCTTTTTCAGGTGATTTGCCTTGGGACAAACTTCCTCACAGCTCTACTCTCGACTGCAAGATCCACTGCCGCAAATTGGGACGTGATCTGCTGCTGTCTAATATGCCTGACACGTTTGACGAGATCTTAAAGTCCATCGACTCCTCCAAGACAAAAGTCGACTACTTCCAAATTTCGACTCTTCTGAAGGCTGCCCTTGCAAATCTGAGTCAGGAACAGTTGGCCGAGCCGTTCAGTTGGAAGGTGGGAAATTGGCCTTAGATTAAATTAATTTGTTTAATGACTTCTTTTTCTTTTAGAAGGATCCTACAATTGTGCACCGTGCTATCGAAATTGAGCAACCAAGAGTCATCCCTGGCATTTGAAAGGAAGATGTGAATGGTTAGAATAAAGGATGTTTGAAATATGATTATTATTGTTGTATGTAAATATATGTCGGCGGAAAATTTCAATTTTAGGAAAATTTCAATTTTTCCGGAAAATTTCAAATTTTCCGGAAAAATTCAATTTTTCCGACGATTTAGGAAAATTTCAGTTATTAATAAAGTTGTCAGTTGAGTCTGAGCTAGTTTTATGTTTTTTGGTGTTGTTTGTGTTTTTTATGATTGTTTTTGTTTTTTTCTGGGTTATTTATAAAATTTTTTATTTAGACAAGATTACCATGTATAAGTTTGGATAAAGTTACGACACGAAAAACAAACAACATAGACCTATGGGGAGTAGGCAAGACGCTTGTGCAAAACCCCGCGCTTCGCGCGGGGTTTTGCGGCACGCATCTTGCGGGAGTCAACGGTCGCTGGGTTCTACAATAGTAACATAATCCTACTCCTTTTGTCGATTTTCGGCATTGAAATGCCGACCTACCCATTCAGTAGTAGCACAAAAATTAAAAAAAAAACAAGAACTAAAAAACAAAATTTAAAAAAATAAACAAAAATATTAAAAAAAGACAAACAACCCAAAAAAACAAAACATAAAACAAAGGAAAAACAAAAAAGAAAAACATACTCAAAAAACGAAAAATAAGCGAAATAGTGCTAAACAGACTATTAAATTAATTTAATAACTGAAATTTTCCTAAATCGCCGGAAAAATTGAATTTTTCCGGAAAATTTGAAATTTTCCGGAAAAATTGAAATTTTCCTAAAATTGAAATTTACCGCCGACATATATATTGTTTGTATGTATTGTTTGTATATTGTTTGTAATTTGGTATATGAGTGTGGTTGTAGATATTTCTTATGATTTACTGTAATACTATATTGTTTGAATAAATTTGTGTGATAAAATCTCATAAAATAAAATTTTTGTTATTGTTTAAGCTTTAGATAAATCGGTTAAAATATTTTACATTTAAATCAAAACAAAAGTTTTTGTTTCAAAATTCCAAGAATTTTGTTAAATGGAAACTAACAAAATACTTAAAAATTTTAAGAGGACAATTTTTTCATAAGCAATACTATACAAAAAATCATTTTTATATGTCATTTTATTGTCGTCATAATTCATCTAATTCATCTTTAACAATCTTCTCACATAAACATTTTTTCAATAATGAATGGTAATTCAATTCTCTTTTTGTCATTCTCGCTTCCAATCTAAATATAATTTTATTTTTTAATTAATTTTAAAATTCTTTTAGTAAAAAGTTGATTCTCTTATATTAGTCCCCCCCCCCCCTAGTCCCCCTCTCCCCTTTAAACACTTATTGGACGGAATTCGAAAAATTAAAAAAAAATAATATTTTCAACCTCAAAATTTTTTTCAAAAAATTATTTTTATTATTTTCTTCATTCTGATAAACTCCCCAATAAAATTCTGTATATTCCACATAAAAATTTCGAAGCTTCTTTTCAATCTCGTAACCTTTATTTAAAACAAATAAAGAACAACTTCCATTATTTATCGCTTTTAAACGTTTTTTTACACATTTATTTATTTTTTTGCTAGCTTCTTTTGCTTTAATTTTCCAATTACTAAAATTTAAATTAAATTTATTTTTTTAAATACTTATCAGATAAATAATATTTAAATAAAAAATTAATATCCAAAAAATGAATGAAATTAATTTGAGCGATTTATGTTAAAGGATGTAAAAGGAATTCCTTAACCACAATTTAGGATTGAATTTTTCTATCTTAAATCGAGTATTATTGAGGGTATTGTTTAGGCAGCTCTCCATCAGAGGTGGTTCGGAACAGTCAGAGGTATCGAAAATCGGAAGAGCCGGGAATCGGAACTGGCTCAAAAGTCGGAACTCGGAAATCAGAAGGAAAAAACGTCGGAAATCGGAATTCCGACCCACCTCTGCTCCCCATATATGTATAAAAAATTCAAAAATGTCATCTAAATAATTTTATTTTCTATATAGATTGGAAGCGAGAATTGCAAAAAAATTAAAAATCAACTCTTAATTTATTTTTAATAGAGATCCGACTGTAAAAGGAATTCCTTAATTTTCTTAATTTTTTAAATTAAATTTTAATAAAAATTAAAAACTTTTCTCGTGGTTTCCCCATTGAACGTTCCCAAAATAAAATTCCCAAAAAATTGTCCAAAACTTCTTTTTGTACAGAATCTACAGTATTATCAATTCTTTCAATTTGTTCAAATTTTTCCTTTGGATTTTTAATTAATTCATTTAAATTATTTTTATTTAAAACTCCACGAAAATAATTAATTATTTTATTTATTTTTTCTTCGAGAAAAGGAAAACTTTCTCGAAAACAATGTTCAAAAGGTGTCAAAGAATTTTCTTCTTCAGAAGTATTTTTTTGAAGAAAGTCTGTAATTTCATTCTCCAAATCAAAACCTTTTAAAATTCAAAACTTTTTTTAAATTTAATTAAATTAAATACCTGAAGAATTTAAAGGGAAAATATATAAAGATTGGAGAATTATTGAAATAATAAATATATTATTGAACATATATTTAAGAAGTGTTTGGGGATAATTTAAGGAGAAAAATTTGAAGAAAAAAATTTCTGAAGAAAATTTCTTTAACAAAAATTTAATTATTTTCTGAACAGATTTTTAATAAGTTAAATTTTAATAAAATTAATTTTAAAAATAAAATAATGATAAATAAAATTTATATTTTATATTAACAATTACACAATATATATTTGCACTTTTCAAAGGAGGAAGTGAAAAAATATTTTATTTGAATATTTCTTAATTTTTAAAAAATATTTCCAAATATTTTATTTCTTTTATAAATTCGGAAATGAAATTAACAGGAAGTTAATATTAAATTATTTGTGTCTGATGTCGTCGGAAATTCTAAAGATGTTGGAAATCGAAAGTAACGAAAGATCTATGGATAAACTGCAAAATTGATTTGCGACTAAAGTTGTCGGATCCTGATCCCAAAAAATGCCGGATATCCGGAAATTTTCGGTTCGAGTATCCGGATATCCGAAGATTTTCATCTATCCGACAACCTTACTGGTGATACATTAGAGGGGTTTTATAAAAAAAACCCCGATCCAAAAATTAGCGTAGCCTATTATATTTAATCAAGTATACAGAAATACCTTTACTTTAGTAAAATGAAGAATGTATTTTTACATATTAAGTAAAAATAATGAAAGTTCTTTCTTTTTTCTTCAAAGATTCAAAGTGAATATTTTTTATACGTTATTAGTTCTTACGAAAATATTGACCCTTGATTTGGGCTGAATACAATTGGAATTGTGGATGGAAAAATTTTCTTTTCGATTGTACAGAGCGGATGAAAACACAAAAATCATGTTTTAATGTTATCTAAATTGAATTGCCAATCTGTAAAGGTATTCCTTGGACCAGGAATTGTTCTAAATAATTAAGAGCTGAATTAAAAATTCAAATTAAATAACCAAAAAATTTATTCTAAAATTTTAAAATATTTTTTCTCTCTTTTATTTAATTCCAAATAATTTGAAACATTTAATTAAAAATAATATAAATTCAAAAAAAAAAATCATTTTTAATTTCTTTCTTTTCTTTTTTTATTTTCTCTTTTCTTCAATATTATATTCAAATTGCGGGGCTGATCGTTTTCCAAGAGATTGCCCAGCTAGAGAATCAAAATAACGTTTAAAGGGTGGACGTAAAGCAAGAACTGGTTGATGCATTGATGGACCTGGCACAAATTGTGGCGGGCCAGCTAAAAGGTTGGCAGCCAAAGAAGAATCGGGAATGAAAAAACGCTGGAAAATAAAATTGTTTTTTAAATTTAAATTAATCTTTCTTGACTGAAATATTTGTTTATTAAATTATAAAGATTTTTAATTTAATATTTATTTTAGTTTATCAAGTTGGGATATCATGTCAATTTGTAATAATTTATAGTCTCTCTTTCGAAACTTTAAAATTTCAATTTCAAGCCATGAGCTATCCTAAACTCCCGTTTCGGTGAAGGTTAATAAATTTAAACTCATTTTCAAAAAAATTTTTCTGTGGATTTTTGATTTGATCAGTGAAGTTATGATATTACATAATTCCTTTAAAACATTTTTAATTATAATGGGAATTTTAATTATTTTATTAATTATTAGAAAAATTTTTCTATTTAAATGGAAATAAATTTTTATTTTAATCTTTTGGTTTCATTAAATATAAATTACTATGTTTAAATACAAATAAAGTTTGCGTGGAGACAAAAAAATATTTAAAATAATTTTTTAAATACAAAAAATTCTTTATTAAAAATACCGTTTGGAAATCGCTAGAATGTCTTCCAGGAAATGCAGAACAAATTGCCAACAAAACAAAAATTAAGGAGATGCCGAATGAAACTTTTTTGTTGCTGCTAAGAGATGACATTTTTTTGATAGTTAGTAGAAGATTGAAATGTAAATATTTACTGAAAAAAATTTTGGAAAAAATATAAACAAACAAAAAAGTGTTTGCAAAATATGGAGATTTATTTTTAAAAAATTTAAAAAATAAATAGAATATAAAAAATTTGTTAAAATTATAAGGAACGGCAAGATAAGAAAGGGTGGTACACCCCAAGTTACAGCAGAGCTATAACTTCGTTCAGAATTGTCGAATCCGGGACAACATGGTATGTTCCGATTCAGCTCATCGAGGCACATTGAACCATACAAAGGCGTCCCGTATTCAACAATTATGAACAAAGTTATAGCTCTGCGGTAAGTTGGCCTGCTCCTATGAGAGAGAGATCATAAAAGGGTTATTGAATTTATGAAAGTTTTCATTTTTAGCCAATCCCAATTTGCAAAACTAGAAAAATAGGTGTGCTCATGCTAACAAAATATATCATTGAAGGAAAAATTTTAAATATTTTTCAGTTACTAATCATTAAAGGAATCAAAATTAAAAGCGATGCCAATAGAATTGGCAACAATTCAGGCCACTTC